CATAACTCCTCTATTATCAGAAAAGTGATTCCATAGCATATCTAACAAACAAACCACCTAATTACAATTGCCTGGGCGCAAGTATTCTGTTCTTCGTTGTCATTTCTTTCAGTATTGTACATACTTTAGGTACGTTATTATTCCCGTTCCAAAGACCTTGTTCATCTCGAACAATGACGCCCGAGCTATTTTATTGCAAAAGTAAATATACTCGTCCGTAGAGCAAGTTAAACTATAAGGGCTCTCGAAAAGCGCTATGGCGTAGTTATCCGATAGGTTTTGTTAACGTCAGTAAGCCTGTATCGCCCAGTTCATGCATACCTGTGATCTGCAGCAACATAAAGCTTCTATCCAACTTCTGGCACGGGCTTTGGAAACTGTTGGTTGTAACACGCCGATCACTTTTTACTACCCTATGTAGCATTGAATCAACAGATACCGGGACAGCTAAAGTTAGTTAGTGTTGATACAGAATTGCTAGCATACTTGGGTATGTGATAGTGCTCCATTCATGTGTATATGTACTAATTGTTGTATTATATATGTATGTGGGTTACAGTAGTACAGTCAATAATGAGAACGTTCGCTATATTGAAGCAAAGTGTGTATGATATCTTTCAAAATTTTAAATCCAAAATCATGCAACATATATACGTTATCAAAAGCTGCAGATCGAAAATACGATATGGACAAAGATTGCGTTTGTCGATTTTTAAGGATGAAACACAATGGGATCGCAACATAGCTCACTTATTAGTGGGAAATCAACACAATGAAGACAATGTGATATACTGCTGCCTGTATGCCCAAAGCTGTACTACTGTATGTAAATTTATATAAATGTTCCCTTGACATCTGATTACCTATCAACATTATAGGCTACTCCCACTTCTTTCTTTACTTAACTTACTCAACTACAACTACAGTACCCTTAGCCTCCTCCTCATACGTACATATTCAGTGCGATTTTAAGCCGCCATTAATCAACTTTCGTTGCTAACCACCTGCAACTTATGTATACGAGCTGGTCAATAGAAGATACCATTGTCAGTTCGGAGCTGAAATGGTATCGCGTCAGTGACCTGATCGATTATATATACACGGTACAAGAATAGTTATTTACCATTGACTACCAAGGCGAGAAGTTCAAGGCGCCTTTGTTGGAGCACTTGTCTCCTGCGACAGAACAGCGCAGATTCGAAAAAGGAGATACTCTGATATGTCTTCCCCAATTGATTTACACGGCAAGCCTAGTAGCAAAGACGGCCCAGGGGAAATATTCTACATTCGGCGCTGCTGCTGTTGATGAAGACGGTAACCATCTTAAAACAGTCTTGCTTGAACTTCTTGCACAAGCTCTCCAATATATCGAATCTTGGCAGGGCGTCTTTGACCGAACGGCTTTTGAAAAACGGTACAAACTTGACTGGATTGATGATGATGATGAGGCCTGTGATGTTGACTATCACGACGAAAGCGACGCCAAGCCAAAATTTTCAAAGCTATCTAGGAGTGGTGACGCATCGAAGGACCAGAGACGAAAAAATGGTGGTCAGCATATCGTGCCCATTGTAAAGCCCATTGAAGGAACGAAGCAAGAAGACAGAAAAGAAGAAAAACACAATGGTGAAACCAGAGCGGATTTCAACGATCCAGTCGAGTCGACAAGAATGGAAAAGGAAAATTCATCTACAACGAACAACCTCACACCCGACCAAGATAATCCGCCGGAAGATATGCAGCACTGTAGCAAAAGTACAGAATTTTGCACTGTATTGAAGTAAAAGGTTCCAATAAGAATCCAAATTAGCGATTCCTCATAATCTTTCTTAAATGGCTTGTTATGATACAATAGTACTCCTCGAGAGACACGAAAAATGGTGCACCGCCGAAATGGTGCACCGAGACTTGTGACAGCGATGTGACAGTGGTTCGAGGCGCACAGAAAAAGTGCACCGACAAAGTGCCAGAAAAGTGCACCCATCATTCCTTTTTCTCCTGCGATTTCTACCATTCGTATATGCATCTTATACGTTAATTTCTCTTCCAAATTTCACTTTAGCTCTGGCACTGTGTAAACCGAAATTTATGATATTTAGTAATATTTAATAAATTCTATTCTGCTATTTTCATATGACACTTGTGCCAATGTCTATGAAAAATTGTTTCTCGTTTTCGGTCAAGCGTCTTCTATGAAGATACCGCCATGTAGTCTTGTAATCTGCCTTAAGTCCAAGACGATGCCAACCTATCTCATGATAAGGTCTGACGGGTGGCCACTCCATATGTCGTGCTCTGGATGGAACGAGGTCGATTGCGTTGAAGTGATTTGAGCTAAGAAAAAGAGTTATTGGCTGCGGTTGCCGATTGGTTCCCTTTGGGATAGTAAAAGGCAAGTACAAAACACTGTTCCAATCCAAGCGATCATCATATACTGCAATCGGCACAGTATATGCATCTGCAGCAATTTGGGCATCTATTATCGCATTGAACCAATAATCCGAACTGCAAGTGTACTTCTGGTATTGTGCTGTTTCTGGTGTGATACCATATTCCATTCGTTTGATCGCATTTTGCATTATGACCTCACGTCCGTTCCATAGAGTATCGCGATAGAAATCATAGTTCGCAAAAAGCTGATCAAGAATTGCTTGTTTGACCTTAATATATTGATCTTGGTCACCATGAAGTTGGAGAGCAAGGGCACGATATCCACACCATCCGTCAGCTTTGATTTGCTTAATTCCCAACGAGCAATCGAGCGGGATCTCTCGATGGACGAAACTATTGAATTGAAATCAGTTATACTGCCAATCGCTTCCAATAATCTATTAATATTACCATGGTTCTCTTCGAAGACTTTTCCTGTTACTTGGCCATAAGTCCTCAGCTTGATTTTCCGTGTGTTTTCGTTTCTTCTGCTTGTTTTCAGTTTTCTTGTCCATCGTTTTCTCTGTTTTCTTCTCCGTCTTCATCTTTTCTTTGGTCTTGCTCATTGCAATTTTCTCCTTCACTTCTTGCTTCTTCTTTTCATTCTTCATCTCGCCACCCATGATATATTGCATCATTTCGTCTGACCCTGTCTCCAAGTTCTCAGCCATTGTCTCAATTTCTTTCAACGTGAACGGATCAACTTTCATATCCAAAAGGTGCAGGGCGCGTTCATCAATCTTATTCAAGATATCTTGCTGTGATACTGCTTTGATATCCTCTTTCGAAAGTCTTTTGGCGAAGGGCATGGTGCTCTTGTTGGAGGTTTTTTCTGCTTGTGATAGTGTCTTGCTTTCAGCTTGGTCGTCATAAAGAAAATGGTCCAGTTGTTGTTGATCGGTGGTAACATCATTAACAAGTTTACCGAAAACATCCGGAGCACGTCCATCATTGTCAAAGTTTTTCTTTGATCGTTTTCGAGTTTGTCGTGGTGCTCTGTTGTATGAAGCAGGCACCGCATTTTGTTCATAGTTTTTCAGTGTCAATTCATCTGAGCGGATATAATTCAACGTTTGTGGAAGCGCTAGAGATATAGGCAAGTTGTGTACAGTATCTCGGTATAAATCTCTATGGAACGCTTCCACTGCATTTGTGGTACGATAAGGGTGGCTGCGGAGGGCGTCATTCATGCTGGAGCGATGTCGAAAAATCATGCTGCTTATAGATGGTTGTAGCCACCATTTGAGCCATTTGAAAGTATGCTTGAAATTTGTCACCAGTTCCTTACAACTACGGCAAAATTCATCAGCATCTTCAGTTGTCCGAATGATGCAGGTCAGTTCACGAAATCGTTCGCTGGATTCGGGTAGAACGATGCTGTGATTGCTGTTGAGACGTTGAACGGATTGCATCCAGTGCATATAGCACCCTTTTAGGAACCGCATGCCGTCATCCTTACTGGTGTACTGTGTGTAGGCTTGCAGAAATCCATTCCTTTGTGCCAAAGAGAAATCCATCATCATACCGAGAAAGGAATTGTTGCCTTCAAACTTAACGTTGTACTCTGTGAAGAATGCAAAGAAGTATTGGGCAAAGTAGGTTTGTGAAAGGCCATCCAGGACAGCTTGGAAGATCACTGTGTGTTTTTTCAGCTCAGGAACATAGATCACTGTTGAGCAGAGATAGTATCCTTTCTCAAATGCCTTGAAAGTGACATCGGTAACAGCCGGAAAATCTTGAAAGTGAACATATTCTTTAAGAGTCGGTGACCGATACGCCAAAAAGAATGAGCCTGGCAGAACGTGGGCGTGGAGGAAGTACCCAGGGAACTCATTCATAATCTTGCCCAAGTCGCCGAGAAATTCACCTTTTCTTGGAATATCTCGTTCCTCGCGTACTTTGTTGATTTCATACTCGGCTCTGTCCCTCGTGCCAAGAATTGGGTTGATCTTAATGATCGATTCAACGATTTCCCCAGTTCGCTTGTTGTTGCCATGAATTGCTGCCTTGGGTGTCACCGTTGGATCACTTCGAATTCTCTCTGCCAGTGTTTCCTTCTCTACTTCCGATAGATGCTTCGCAGTATATTGTTCGTGGTCATGTGTGCCGATCTGCTTAACAGTGCATTTATTGCCGTCGAAATAGTAGAACGCCTCTGTTTTACAAGTGTCAACGTGCTCTAAATCGCCTCCGCAGCGCATACACCCAAGCTGGCATTGTTTATGAATTTGTTCAAAATCGCAGCGCGGGCGCAAATGTTTGCCATAGAATTTGCAGGCCTCTCTAGTGCAGCGGACGAAACCATTGCATTTCTTCTTGTAGCGATGGATATTGTGCTTTTGTTTTCGAGGACCATAAACCTTGCGCATAGACCATCCAATGTCCAAATTCAGTTTTACGTACCTGTCAAAAATCGAAAAGTTTTGAGTAAGTTTGATTGAGTGTCGTGAAGGACTAGATGCTTTGTCGAAAATAGTACTTTTCGCTTTTGGAGTCAAAATAGGCGGGAGCCTCCTCTTCATAGGAGTCCTTAACAAATCTTCTTCGAAAAAAGGTAATGTATTTGGACATTGTTATATTTTGAACAGTAGATTTTGCTTGGAATGTAGTTCAAAGCGTTCTTTCAGGAACCGAAGAGAAAAAAGCATATTTTCCGAGTCACAAATCTCGGTGCACCATTTCAGCGGTGCACCATTTTTAGTGACACCCGTACTCCTCTTTTTAGTTTCATTTCTGAAAAAAAAAGTCTTTGAGCGCTGACACTTCTTTTATCTGTTAAACAGTTTATAGCACATCATACACTTCTTTAGCTGATATTTTTTCTGGTAACAATATAACGATTTACACTGAGACGGCAAATTAAAAGACAGCAACGTCTGCAGTATTTTCTACATCCAAGAGATGTGACTATATGCAAGAAATCTTTTTAAGAAGAGCACGCACACAAAATACAGATTCAGGACATGATATAGACAATAAGAGAATGGCATTGAATAAGCATCAATCACTCTAGCAGGAATACTGCTCAATTAGATAGCATCGAACGTGTAGCATCCCAAAACAGTACAGCAGGTCAAAGCGACAGTACGATCTCGTCGAAAGAATCAATCATACACTCGGTTGCCTCTTTTTCAGGCACACGCAAGGAAACTCAGCTTTGCTCTTTTTTTTCTTTCTTCGACATAATATAAAAAGTATAGAATGGATAATATGGCATCACCGATTCCTCTGGACGTGGAAATGTTTCGTACCCTTGAAGCTCGTGCCAATGAATTGTCAAACAATCTGAGTCAAATGGTTCACCGTTTGCAAGTTGAAATGAAACAAGTAAGAAGAATAGTGTGGTTCTTCACAACTGTGTTCTTCTCGTTGGCGTCTCTCAATACAAGCACACCTCATACTAACAAGTGTGTATATTCGCTGTAAGATGTCAACTTCGACAACAGAATCTTGTAGCGTTTACAAGGAATCAGTACAACGATTATCTGAGCAAGTAGACGCTTGTACGGGGAAAACAGTTCAACTCATTGCTGAGTGTGACGAACTCGATAAGGACCTAGCTCAGCTACATATTATAGCCAAGCAAATGTAAGGTTCATTTTCCTCGCCGTTTATGATATGTCATGGGTACATCATAGTCACATAATACTCAAAATGTCGCATGCGGTTTGATGTCATATATAGCAAAACAATTGATAAAGCGTTGGATCGATTACAGCAAGCCATCTAGTAATGGTATACACTATATTTTTTCATTGCTGTCTTTTTTCTTGCATGTGAAGAGGAGGAAAAGGGCCGAAGAAGAAGGTGACGGGGATGGATTGAGAGCTATACACAACGACAAATTACAATAGAAAAATGTGATGACAAAGAAGGGAAGAACAAATAATGTCAAATGAAGGAACCGAAAACCGAGGGATGAGTCTCATCTACCGCTGCATTAACGAAGGCGGCATAAACACATGCACATTTTCATCCCAAGCACATGTCGCGACTTGTCCTTCCATGTACAGATTGTAATCCAATCCAAGCACAAATTCTGTATGCGCATCATGCACTTCCATCATATTGTTGCCGGGTGGTGCAGCCGTGTCCCAGAACCGCACGCTCATGTCATAACCTGCACTTGCCACAACGTTGGGTCTGTGAGGCGAATACTTGACGCGTCGTACAGCATACTCGTGACCAGCAAGGCATACCACTTCTCGGTTCGTTTGACGCATATCCCATATCTTCACCGTGCGGTCAACAGATCCAGTGACAAACATTTGATCCTGATACTTGTTCCAATCCACAGATAAAATCTCGTTCTGATGGGCGCGGATGGTTTGCGCAGACCGTGGTGCTTTGAGATCCCACAGTTTGACGGTTTGATCTCCAGAGCCTGACATGAGTAGCGTTGGATTACGTGGTGACCATGCTGTGCTGTATACACAGTGGGTATGTTCGGTAAATGTTTGAAGCGATCGTGGGGCTTGAGGATTCCACTATACATAATCACGGTTAAAATTTTCACATGCAATATATGCCCCGCACGCTTGGTTATAAACATGACGACATACGATTTTGACGGTATGATCCCAAGAGCCGCTTGCAAACACGTCTTTACTGATCAAGTTCCATTCTACCGAGAATACTTCGCGTTGATGTTCTTGCCAGTTTTGAATTGGAAAGTCCTAATAGTTTCTCCTTATAAGCAAGCTTACCCTCCCCAACATGTAATTCACGCATAATACGCAAACGCTCAAGACTTACCGAAAGCGTAACATCCCACATTTTTATGGATCCATCCCCACTCGACGTAACCAGTTGATTTTCGTTTATTTCACTCCATGCCAAATCAAAAAGGCCATCTTGCGTATCATATCTATGAAAAATTTCATGCACGTTTAGCCTTACTGCATGTCCATATGGGTGTATCAAACAAATATTACAACTTACACTCGTTCGGTTACTAAACCGTCAGGTCCACCCACAGCCATTAGCCATAACCGTCCATTACCAACGAGACCGAAATTAGACGCCGTTGCTACGGCAAGTTTGTTTTCAAAAAATGGACTCCATTGCACCTATAAAGCACACACACGCGGAGAGAGGACAACTCCGTTTTTAGTCATTGGAAATGCACACCCTCAAAAAAAACTATAGAAAAAGGCCAATTTACCGAGTAACCATTATAGCCTTCGGTTCTAAATTTTAAAAACATGTTTGTCAACCAATGAGGTTATATCAGGTGAAGGAAAAACAAAAGGCGTAGAGAGTAAGGAAAGAGGCAAAAGAATGACGGAAGTGGTGGCAAACGGATATGGAAACTTAAACCCCCTTTTTCGCCTGTTTTTTTGTGACTCCACAGCCGCCTTGGAGTAATTGTTGCTGACACAACTTTTTTTATGCAAACGTTCTTTCACACACATTTCATTCTACCTTTCTCCTTCTCAAAAACGTTGTGTGCTGACACCATTGTTTGATAGAAACTGTTACCATACGCTTTTCAATTACACGTCAGTTAATCGTATGAATTGTATCGACGAACACCTCCATGAGCCAAGAGTATGAGCACATCCTTCTCCACTATCCGCTGGCTCTAGGAAGCTACCGTACTATGGATGCTGCAACACAAATTCTCTGAGTGAATAATACACTGATTTGTTTTCCCAAGCACCAAAACAAAGATCGATTTGTTATACATTCGTGCAGCAAACCAGTTTCTAGTCTTGTCATGATACCACAATGCATGCTGATTCATGCTGCTGCTACATAGTTGCCTTGACTCGCTACAGTCTAGACTCCAACTTCACTAGGTATTTATTACCATGTCAAACTGGTTTGATGCACTCTTTTAATAATGTTGAATTGTAAATATTGGCAACAGTTATTAACTACTTGTTGATGGATCGTTACACAAGGTTCGTTTTCGTTGTGTGAATGAAATGCTATGTTGCCATGTCAAAAGGCATGTAGCCAAGTGTTTGATTGATAATCTAATTTTCCGGTTAAGTTTTATCGTTTCGAGCATTGAATAGATCAAAGCTAGCGTTTTCGAGTACATACTGTGCTTTTACTTGTTCGTGAGAGCTACTAATACGTAGAGAACAGCAGTCATTTCAACTGTACTGCGAACGAACAACATCCACTCCTTGATAAAAGCCGCATAGCATAGCTTTGTAAGCAACAGACCGTGTTTTAATCTGAATGTATAGTAGACTTCCCGATATATTGTATGTTAGACTTTGAAAGCAGAAGTTCAATGGGGGTGGTGTCCGGCCCTCAGGCCGAGCGACTCTACAGTGAGGTGCTTTACATCAAGAACCATGTCATGATAGTAAGACATGCTGGTAAAAGATGCCTAGACAAGGACATCATAGTAGAAACCGTCGTAACATAAAAAAAGCCAAGTAGTGTGCCTAACCGTCAATAAAGTTGATAATTTTTAATGATAGAAAGAAAAAGAAGGTTGACAGAAATGATGATCTCAAGCTGGCTATTTCAAGTATAGAATTTAAACTGGGATGATGTCACAGAAAAAGCCAAAAACACGGTCAAAACTTTTTCTTGTCGGAACGAAAAATCTCGGATATAGGCCCATTCTGAAAAAAAAAAATAAAGAGAAAAGCAGACGACAAAAACTTTCTCTCTTTATAAATATATACTATATATAAGCCATGGCCTCCGCACAGAACCTTGCCACGCCACCCCCGGGCCTGTACTCGCCACTGTCCGCATTCCCTCAGAAGGATCAGACTCCTGCTGGATCGCCTTACAATCCCTTGCACTGGCCCCGTTGGTTCTCGTACCACAAGAGCCGCCTTGGCTTACCAAACCCAGGCAAATTCGAACGTTTGCACGGTGAAGTCAAAGGTAATTAGTGCATATATTCTTATTAGACAAAAGAAGGAAAGAACGACGCGTTATATATGCTTACTAACCGCCCACTGGCTTCAATTCACTGTTTTTCTCTGCATAATAGAAACGTTTGTCACAAACTTCTTGTTCGACGGCGCACAGGCGAACATCATTAAGGAATTGTCGCCCCACTTCCATGTCCAGCACCAATTCTCGCTTGGATCGCAAGTTATGCCACCAATGTATAACTTCATGTCGGGTTACATGACGGAGAGAGTAAATATCGACGCATAATAACAAAGAAGAAGAAGGAAAAAAGAACATCAAGGTTATTAATAGTTTGTGTTTTTTTTAGACCATGGCTCAGGGTACGATGGATAATGATACCAACTTGAACGCGGTTATTCGACACATGTGGTCAATGAAATCGTTGACCAAGGTCGTTGCTCAGGTGCGAATTTACAGAAATTGATATGCGCACGGAATGTACGAGGGAGAAAGAGAGAACTTATGATGTAAGTTATCGGTTCATATAGATGACACACATGCCCGGCCACTCGATGCTTCAGGTTGAACACGACTACACCGGCGCGGATTTCAGCATCAACTTGAAGGCCATGAACCCCAACCCTATGGAGTTCACTGGTTTGTACGTTGCCTCGTACTTGCAATCGATCACACCCAAATTGGCACTCGGTACCGAAGTTGTGTTGCAGCGTCCTACACCCGACATGGAAGAGACTGCCATGTCGCTTGTCGGTAAGTACAGCGGCAAGGACTTTATTGCCACAGCACAGTTCCAGGGCTTGGGTGCTATCCAGGCCTCGTACTACCAGCGTATCAACGAAAAGGTCGACTTTGGTGTCGAAATCAACGCCTTGGTGCAGGGTCAGCGAAGAGAGGCTGTTGCTACCGTGGGTGGCAAGTTCGACTTCCGGCAAGCTACTTTCCGTGGCCAGATTGACACCACTGGTCGCGTCTCTGCTGTGTTGGAAGAAAAGATGGCTCCTGGCTTCTCGTTCTTGATCAGTGGTGACTTGGATCATATGAAGGTAAGGAAGAATGGGCTACAGCAAGAGTGGGACTTTTCGAGGAAGGATGAGATGGATATGAAGATGATACAGAGAGGGAAGGAGGGCTAAGCATGCATGTATTGTATATGTCCAATTCAATAGGGTCAAAGCAAGTTCGGTGTCGGTATCATGTTGTCTGCTTAGAAATAAAAAGTATAAAGTACCTTTCCTCTTCTCTTCTCTTTCTCTCTCTTTTCACCCAACCTCTACCCCCCTTTACACACTTCTACTACACAACAACAACAACAACAACATTCGACACACTCGCACTATATTTTTGTACAAAATGAGAAAAAGTTGTATATGCTTTCAGTTTTTTTTAAACCGCTACAGACAGAAACAAAAAAGAAAAATGAACCTTAGAGTTTCCTAGTACACTAAAGATTGATATATTATTTGTACTTCTGGTCCCTGTTCTTTTGAATCTAATTAGTTCCAGTGCGCATCGAAGGGTCTAAAAACGTATTTGTGCGTGTGGGCTTTTCATATAGCAACGCTGTTTTGTCATGGAAATTCCCATGGTAACCATGCTTAGTCAAACAGTACTGAAAACGGCTGTTTTATCGCAAGTTACTGCACATATAACCAACCCATAAGGATGCGTAATGAACCATTTACTGGGAGATAAAGCAATACAAGAAGCAGATGTAAAGGGATAGAAGATTGAATGCTTGCAGAGGGTTCTGCCGGGTATTCAAACCCTGTGGATGAAGCTCATTACTTAAGGTGAGAAACGATATGGCTGTGATTTAGATGATTTGTCAGTGTAAATTCTCAGTTGTCAGAATAAATAGGCGCCCGTATATGGATATCCTAATTCGGCAGTTCTTCTTCTTCTTCCATAAACGATCATGACTACTGTCTCGATTACAAACGATCGTGGCGAAACCATTGTTGGTATCCTAGAAAAGCGAGACGAATTTGACGTTGGTCGTAATCGCCCACGTATGGTTTTGATCGGACATGGTGTCTTGGGTATGTTATATATATATATAGATACGGAAATCGTTTCTCTCACCATTTTTGCTGATTTTTTGTTCCTGGAATTTGTCTAAAAGGTCACAAGAATTACTTATACCAACGATTGCTTGCACAGAAGCTCCCTTACTCTAACTTTCGTTTCGACTTTCGCGGTAACGGTGAAAGCACTGGTCAAGCTGGTTATGCCAATATCGCTGTATGCATATAACTTTTCCTGCTGCTGTCAAATAATCATATGCCGATACTCTTTACTCACTCACGCTCACTCGAATTGATACCGCGTATATAGGAAGACACTGAGGATTACCATACGGTAGCTAATTATTTTGAGAAGGAAGGCTACGAGATTTTCGCCGTTGTTGGTCATTCTCGAGGTAACAACGATAACTAGTTTTAGGGATAGTCAGCAGCAACAGTAATAGTAATAGTACTAGAAAAAGGAGGGAAAGGTCCGTTGGGCGGTGCTAGTCTTTTGGAAAGGGAAGAGGCGTTAGATGCACTACTTTGACGTAAAAAAATATAGGCTCAACTGCAGGCTTCAAATATGCAACTACGTGCGAAAAGCCATTGCCTCACTTTGTCAATGTATCCGGTCGTTATAAAATGAACGATAACCAGATCTATAAAAACCGACCCGAGATAGGCGAAGCTTTGGATCGTCAGGTACTGCCTTAACACCGTTCACATCAGCTTTTGATCAATTTAACTGATCTGTTGTGGATTCTGTTAGGGATATTTTGATTGGAAGGTCAGAAGACGTGATTCGTTTATTACGATCAAGGTGACACGAAAGGAAGTAGAGAAGTTCATTACCTGGGATAACTCGCATGGTAAGAATTTACAATCTAATTGATATCATTCAAGAAATTTAATGTGTAAATGTTTCGTCAATCTTAGTTGCTCGTATGCCCAAAACAACCTGCGTTCTCACGTGCCATGGTACCAACGACGAAGTAAGACCTCACAATTTCAATCTCATTACTGCTATTCTTTGAAGCTTTATACTTACAATCGAATATAGATCGTGCCCGTTTACAATGCCGCCATTTTCTCAAACATAATCGCCAACCACACATTAAAGCTCGTTCCTGGTGCAAACCATAACTTTATTGGTCAATATGAAGATGTTGTGCAAGTCATTTTGGAATACTTTGCTGAACACGAAAAGAATGCATATGAAAAAGGTATAATATATCGGGACAGTTGGCTGGATTTGGGATAATATATGGATCAAGGTGGTCGAGTATTGAGCATTTGATTACTAACATATACATGCTTGTTATTATAGCACGTTGCATGGGTCAGAGCGTGAGCTTATGTACCCCTCGATGGATTGACGTTCAAGGCGTAAAAAACTTTCGAGACATCGGTGGATGGCCCGTGCGCGACGGCAATGGCTATATTCGGGAGCGTTTCGTGTTCCGATGCGGCCAGTAAGTTTCTATTCTCTTCATTGTTTGTCCTATGTGCACGTGTTATCCCTTCCCTGTCTGATGTACTTACTGTAAAACAGCTTAGTGAATGCCACGCAAAAAGGCAAGGATGTCTTGAAACAATTAAACGTAGTTGCAGCCTTCGACTTCCGCTCTGATCCGGAACTGGAGCGACAGGGTATCATGCCGTAAGTATCCTGTTTCGCTATTGATCGATGAAGATTGGCAGAAATAACAATACTAATTCTGCCGTTTTTACAACCAAAGTGAAATAAACGATTTGACTCGTTACCCATCAGCAATTTTCAGCAAGGATGATTATTCGCCTGCTGCCTTGGCTACACGTTGGCAAGGTTACTTTGAAGGCGCTACCGGGTTTCCCAAAGGTAAAATAATAGTAGAGGAAACCCCCCAATTTGAAAGATTACACTTTACTGATTTGCGTCTTGCTTAAATAGTATACATGATCATTTTGGAAAAGGGTGGTCCTCAATTCCGCAAAATCTTTTTGCATATGCTCGAAAACCATTCTCGTCAATCTACAAAATCACTTATTATCCATTGTACTGCTGGCAAGGATCGCACTGGTGTATTCATCATGTTGCTACTCAGCTTATGCGGCGTGGATGATGAAATCATTGCTCAGGAATATGCCATGAGCAACCTTGGTTATTGGGGTAAATGTCATGTCTCTTAAGAGCAACAACGATTAGGACTCACCATTCAATGTGTATGTAGAAGCGGAAAGCGAACTGCAAGCCAAGGCCGACATGTTGGGTGTCACTGTCAAGGATATGCGTATGGTCATGTCTGCTCCGTATCTAGCAATGCGTGAGACGATCAATTGCTTGAAGGAGAAATATGGATCTACCGAGGAATATATAAAGACCATGTGTGGACTGAACAAGGAACAAATAGAAGCTCTGCGTGATTTGATGATCGTGCGTATTCCATTTGAGGAACGCCAGCTTTTCCGTCCAAAGATCTAAAGAAACATATTTCTTTTTTAAATAAACAAACGATATATTATACACACATTTCTAAATGAGTAATTGTTCGCATTTATACATGCAGATTATGAAATTTTTTAACACTAGAACATCTTTCAACTGTCACATGGATATTCAATTGGCTATATACCGAGCCAGGGAAGTTGTGAATTTGTCGTCAATTGTCGCAGTAGACGCTCCTGTACAGTACTGTTTGTAGGATGACCGCTTGAACGATCGCATCCGTTAAAATGTTGTAACATATATTGAGCTCCTGACATATAAAACCATTATATTTTATCAAAGCTCGTTTGAGCTGCTAGGTAACAAATTGCGCGAACGGAAAAAGCAGTGCTCTTTCGAACACTCTCTATGTAGGATAGTATCCATCACTATGACGAACATAATGTATCGATCCCATTTAATATAGAGTTGCCTTCTTCAATCGTGTACCAGTGCATCTCCTCGTTGTAGTTTTTTCCTGCTTGTTGATTTGATTCTTGTGTCACCTTCAACGGCGCGTTCTTTGTTTTCCTTGTACATGCTTTTATACTGGATGGCATCGTCAAGCCTATCGAAATAACATGGTAGATACGCAACGCAATACAAGGCTTCATCCGCCGATCTAGTCAGATTTACCCAGCTGCATGTAGGCAGGAAAGGCCTTAGTAGATATGACCAGTTACTGTGTGCCATTTCGAATGTCTTAACGTTTAGGTCTTCCGCAAGCTGTATTAATCCTTTCAACTCGCCTTGTCTTCTTTCTCCCGTTTCTAGCCAACATATTGAGGTCGCTTATTACTTATGCTATGTCAATTGGCTGGGATACATAATGGCAGAGTATATCCTTTTTTTTAATACAGCAAGTTCAATTAGTTATTCACGATAGATCCAAGTATTTGAAACATTGATCACTCATGCAAAGCTTAGCAACAAACGACACGCACCGGATGCACATCAAGTTGTTTGTAAGAAAAAGCGGATAGAATGTAACGATGCCAGAGAAAAAAATGTTTATTAAAAAAGAAAAGAGATTAAAACAAGACTTTTTACTGTTCAGCAGCAACAGTAGCGTTTCTCTTATCTTCGGCACGCTGCTTGCGGCGCTCACGAAGGGCCTTGTTCTTAGCACGGAGGACTTCAGCCTGTTCAGACAAGGTCTTGGCTCTCAACTTCTCGGCCTTGGCCTTGTGAATGTATTCCATCAACACACGCTTGTTCTTGAAGCCGTTACCCTTGGACTTGAGGTAAAGGTTGTGGTACAAATGCTTGTCGATCTTGCCGGCTTCTCTATACTTGCGCAAGAGACGGCGGAGGACACGCATGCGGCGCATCCAGAGGACCTGACGAGACATACGGGCGTTGGCAGTACCCTTTCTCTTACCATGGCCCATGTGACGACCAAGACGCTTGGCAGCGTTGCGCTCACGGACACGGAAACGCGACTGGCTGATCTCGGGCTTGCGGATGATCAAACCGTCCTTGACAAGCTTGCGGATGTTGGCGCCTATTGTCATATCATTGTTAAAAGAACAGAGAATACATACACTTCTTTGATGTTCAGAGAACCCATCCCCTCATCAAAAGCACTTTCCGTTTTTTTTTTTCCAAAAAAAAAAAATTCTCCACCGAAAATATATCAAAGTTGAAAGAAGAACTTACGCGAGTTGGCGTTGGAGATTTCGTTGACTTCATTGGGGTCGAGCCAAATCTTTCGCTTGCCGCAGTTGAGGACGGAGGATGCAAGACGTTTCTGGGAGCGCAAGTTAACCCTATTATATAACATACACACCTCCTAATCAGTAAACAGGCGATTTTGACATGCGCGCGTACAACAGGTTCCGAGTGCTCGTTATAACGGCTCCAGTGTTCCTTCTTTGTCTTTCTCCCTTCCTTATTTCCTTCCACGTTGTTAATCGTCCAACTTTTTAACTTGTTGCAATGTTTTAAGAAAACGGTTGCTGGTTATGGTGGGCAAAAATGTTGGAACGCAAAATTTTTTTCGTTGTTCGCATTCGTAAAGAAATGAGCCGAGTTGCTGTAAGAGGGTCGTCGCATAGGAGTGGAAGAAAAACAAAGAAGCAACAAGGCCAAACGATGGACGAAACGAAGCGTGTTTTCTTATTTGACTAATATCACTTCAACTCACATGGCGTAGGTGCTTGGTAGGGAGAAGAGGAAGTTCACTTAGGTACCGGCGGAACTGCAAAGTAAAAACTTTTCGAGTGAGACGGCAAAAGCCACTGAAATTTTTATGGTACAAGTACGTCGGACTATTAGGATCGCACACTCAAAAATCAATTGCTTACTTTTTCTCACTAGAACACAGAAGCTAGCAAATATCGATTGCTGTCATCAGCTGGTAATATATAGCAGTAATGCTACCGAAGGTCTCTATTTACTTTGCACCTGACTATACCAGATCTCTCAAGTTTGTATGCGCTAGGCTACGTGGATCAACAACTTTCAATAACGGCACTCTTGATCTGTTCTGTTATGAGCAATATAAGATGGTTTGTTACAGTTTATATATAAAAATCTTTGTTATATCACGAAGTGATTACAAAATCATGACCGTTTTATGGTCAGATATCATGTATAGCATATTCATTGTGTGCGCATTACACCATACCATACGTCAGATATCTAAGACTGCAATTCGATGCTATTGGAAACATTCAACAACATTTGAAAGCTTTCCAGAGCATTTAAAATCTTCCGGAAAACATGAATTTCTGGCTTATGATGTTATGAAGTTATTCAATAAATGATAAGATACGCAGGTAGACCAGCAATTAGTAGACATGCAAATATGCACATATGGGGTCCTAGTGATTTTGAGCTATAATCTCATCACCAAAAGCAGATTCCTATGATGGTGATGATGCTTGTATACCACTTGAAAAAGGTGGCTCCTGTCAGCTTTTTTTAAGCTGGTGCTGGCAATACAGCAAGCTTGTATGGTTGCAGTCGGAAAGAGATAAAAGACACGAGGGACGCTTCTCGACCTAATATAGTCAACGAAATGGCGATGAATAGCACATCAAGTTGAAATTCATCTGTCGAAGGATAAACTAAGTAAGAGCAAGGACGAATCCTCAAATCTCATTACTTAATAGTAGCAGTAGCAGCATGTTGAAGCAGCATAAGCGACAATAGCATTGGAAAAGGGCCATGGAGACTCCTCAAAGCCAGAAAGGCACACTAGCACGCTGCTATCTTGATAGCCTTATGAAATACTGAATGCACAAAGAAAATTTAACCCAAAATAAGTTACGGCAGCTGTCAAACCTGCTGTTTGTAATTTATTGTAAAAGTACAGAGTATCTGAACTAAGGTTATTGATAATGTTTGCGTGCTGTCCATATCCGACTATCATGCTCTTATATTATCTTGTTTGTAAACTAGTACAGTATATGTATATTGGTTCAGGAAGCTGTCCTTTGTGTATTATTGGGGCAAACTGATCACGATTTGTAGTTTAATCCTCTTTTCACTCCTTTGTCGCCTTCTCTTATGTGTACCAGATATCGCACAATACAAACTCGCTAAAAGCAAAGCAAAGCAATCAAGATGCATACATCAAAGTTGGAACCGTACTCTATGTCGTTATCGTCCTTGGTTTCCTTTAGTAACGACGATGACTAAAGATACATATTGTTGCAGAACCTATTTTCATCAGGGGAAGCATATTAACTGGAAACCGTTCTTATAAAATATAATTATATCACCTTCATTCAATCCTTATTATTTCATTATCTTGTTAATGCTACTACATACTGCTACTACTGCTACTACTGCTACGACACAACGCTCATCACCATCTCACTACTTTGTCGATCATATCCGTCAATAGTTTAGCAAAATAAGACAAGAATGAAGTGATGAACATCAAGGATTTTCCTCAAATTATGCTATCCCCAATTGATTATTGTTATCGCCTGCTCTCCCATCTAACTTGAGAAAATGAGAGAGAGAGAGAGAGAGAGAGAGAGAGAGAGAGAGAGAGAGAGAGAGAAATACCACAGTAATCGGCACACTATTTAAGCACACGTCAACAACTTTTAGATTTACGATTTCCAATTCCGTCCTGCATAGTCTTTTTAACACAAATACAACGGCAACACATGATCAATGACATGACGTTGTTGTGTACGTTTGTTGTTAATACATAAACTCTAAAACCGTTTTACTCTCTTCCTCTCTACTGAATTCCATAAAGGAGCCGAGAAAGTGCAGCAACTATTTAGTTATTCACGGTGACACTCATCGCCACAAATGAATGCAGAACGCTTTTATTTCGTTCCAGTTTTCAAGTTCATGCTGTGTAAAATAGCACTAATAACTAGTACATTGTGGTAAATGATGGGATCATGATCAAAGCTTTAGGGATCAAACAAATACGGCAAAAAAGAAGATTCTAATTCGTGCGTATCATATGTAGATTGTAGGAACCACAGATTTGGTTCATCGTTGGTTTTTGGATGTATAATACCAAATATCTTAGCGGAACTATTACGTTTGGTTTATGGATAGCTCGTTCTCACACATGGATAAACTTCCATTACACACGGTCTCTGTATAAAAGATTGACTATATTAGATTAGTAGCATCAAGGCGTGCGTTGACCAAAAGAATTACACGAAGAAAGGTGGGGTGCAGCACAAACACGATCGTGAGAGGGAAGAAATCCCCCGCCGGGATACCAAATAAGGTATCGAGCGAATGATCTAAATATTTGCGCATCTATGTGATTGACCGTACCTGAAAAAAAGCACACGCCAAAGTTATTAAGGAGTATCATAGTGGTTGGCAAATAGAACGGTCTTTCTTCGTAACAATAACAATTGTCATTAAGTACAAAACAATGAAAGTAACTTCTCAAAGCATATGGAAACACTTTTTAAAGGGGGTGAAAGAAGCAGCAGCATGGACGAACAGGGCGGCGATGAGAAAAAGAAAACCGGAGGGGTGACTAGCCAATGGCTCAGCTGCAGACAGATAGAAGACGATCGACTCTTTCTCTCTCCTCTCTTCTCGAGAAAGCGGGACAACCTGCCCCGTCCTTTGTATTTCTCTCCCCAGAATGTATAGAGTGTAGCGATGATGATATAATGATTTACAGCCGAAACACAAAGCGGGAACCCATGAGCCAAACGGATACGTTGACAATGATCAGGCGGGTGCGTACATGAGCGGTACGACGACAGAATAAGATATATAAAAATATTGTTGTATGTATGTCACATGATTATTGTCATTAAAGGCGCATTGTCGGTGGTGGTGGAAAAGAAAAAAAAAAGAGCGGGTAGGTCGTGATCAATTCACGCGATCAGGGTGTATGGTTTGCACATAACAGAGTTTGGGAGAAAACTGGAATGGTGCAACAGCAACAACGGTGTTTATAGAATTAGAATATTGGAAGAGAGATCGAGATAGGAGGAGGTAGATTATATTAGAGATGCTCCGCGGCCGATACATGAGAGCATATGGATGATAATATCTATATTAAAAAGTAATAAAAGTGCCGATAGCATCATCAACATCATCATCTGCCTTCTTTGTCATGAATATAATCAATGCTGCTCAATGTATGCGAGGAGCAGCAAAGGCGGGGTTGTGGAACGGGCGTCGTTGTAGTACATTCTGCATTGAATAGAGTAGTGGTTGCATAGCTACAGATGCAGTGCTGCAAACAAGACAAAGGCAGCGGATATGTGTGTATTAGTGTTTGGGGAACGAGTGCATCGATGGCGGTCAGGGGAGCATGGAGGTCCTCCCTTCACGCGCGGTCATCTGAAACAGCCAGCCGCCTGTTTCCGAGAGGGGGAGCCCTATGAACTCATGACAACGAGTCCCGATGGCCCTCGGTATCACAAACACATACAAGTAATCTCTCTTGATCTTTGTGTGTATCTTTCCTCTCTCCCTCTCTCCCTCTCTCCTTCTCTCTTCACTCTTTCTTACTCTTTGTTACCCGCTTTCTTCTCCTCTTACACACTTGCACGTATATAAACTACATCGTTCTATTGTATTTGGCTGTTTCTCTTTCTCTTACTGTCTCGCGCCCAAACAGCTGTCTGCACTATTTGTATTACCGTTACCGACTACAAACTGCCCTTTTAGTATTAGATACTACATTATACCTTTCTGAACTATTATCGAAATTTAAAGCAAGACAATGCGAGAATCCACTGCTTCGGGTGATACCAAAGTCCTTGGCTATCCTGCTACTACATCTACCACATCATCTCATCGCCATCATCATACTCGCATCACTGCCACTCCTCGGTATCCACATCAACAACAGCAACTCCATCGTAGCACGACAAATAATGCAGAAATTGTGTCACTGCCGTCAATGAACATTGAAATGCCCGAGAATATGATAACTCGCTCGAGCCCTTGTAATAGCATTAGCAGCAGCAGCATGAGCAGTAGCAGTAGTAGTAATGGCAGTGCCATAGCTATTACCGGTCATCATAACTTGCGATCCAACACATCCAGTCCGTCGTCCAAATCGTCGTCGTCGTCGTCTTCTTCTTCTCATGCATTCCAAGCCCAGTGGCTGTTCTTTAGCAATTCGCGCTGGATCCCATTGGACACCCAGAGCCACAGCAAGTTGGAACGGACGCTGCAGCTTGGCGGCGTTTTTGTAGACATACAAGACAGCCATTTCCCTGACGTGCAGCGCATTAGGGTCTTTCCCGGAGCCGATTACTTGTCGTATCTCGGAATCCGGTATCGCATTAGCCGTGTTCTGCTACCAGCACTGTGACATTATGGTTTCTGTCACTACTGCAACGGCTGCTGTCTGGGTTCTTCTTTACTACACGCTTATATATATACTTTACATACTCATTTACCCTCTTTAATATTGCCTTTTTTCTTTTCTTTTTTCTCACACACATGTCTTTTTTTTCTTCTTATAACTTGTCCCTCCTCCTGTTTCCGTTCGTTTTGCGTCGTTTAATATTTTATTATCGTATTCTTTTTCATTATATAGTATATGACATTCACAGTTTGTTTTGCTGACGAGTAGCAATACTGGCTATCATTATAATAAACATACTTGTAGAAAAAAAAAGAAGAAAGTTCTGCTTGACCTAGTTGAATATTTTAGTGCTGACAACAGCAGGAGCAGCAGCAACTGGGCTGAATGTACATTTATGTGCTTTTTTGTTGTTGTTGCGAGTGCGCGTGAACTGGGGAGAAGGCGAAGCGCACCAGCACCATTTCATCGCAAAAAAAAAGGATCATTTGTCAATGCTGACTTGAAAAGAGAGAATAGCCACACATGTGCTTTGTTTTGCACCACCATTTTCCCATTTATATCTCCACACACAAATAGTAATGTATGTAGTGCACACTGAGGGGGATGATCTTGCCATTCAATCCGCGTCTTTCTTCTAAAATATACCTCTCTCTTATCAGAGGATGCCCATATTGCTCCTAGTTATTACTCAAAGATAAGTAGCTTGTTCATGTTAACTGTTACTGTACGCAGAAGGTTTTCTCGGTTTGCCAAAAACAATTTAGTATTATTGCTACACTACAACAAGCTATCAGGCTATCCTTGATATTATAACGCACAACACTTCGGTACAGACTCTTACTACTTACACCGTGCTGTTCTGCTCCTAGCAAATATACGACATCACATGAGCCTATTTTAAAATAAAAAAAAGTCGACGCATGTGCCAGTAGAGCGTTGATAATCTCTATTTTTTTTTTGTTTTTTTTTGCTATCTGAAAGAATAATTTTGATTATGATGGCACGGGTATCTTTGGGATACATGTATCTGTATTGTCACTTCTGACTACTACAATCACAACAATCACTCATCCTGTGCTGTAAAAGTGTGATATAGACAGGGTGCGTGTGCGTGTGTGTATGCATGTACTACACCATGGCGTGGCACGATGGTGGATGGTACCACAAGGGAAAAAGAAACTCTAATAAACGCGTGCAATTATACTGTCAATTATCTCTTTGTTACCCCAATCTCAATCTGGACTCATGCTTCCTTTGGTCAACTACAATGGAGGATGACGAAAATGCTAATAACACCGCTGCCGAGTGCGTGCGTGCCTGCTTCCGTCAGCAGCGGAGAGATTTATCACAAAAAGTCACGAGGTCAGTTGCAGAATCCTAAACATTTTGTTCAAATGCAAATGATGCATAACATATAACCCCATTTCAAAAAAGACCCCTATTTTCAGCAGATAGTGTCGTTTTTTCATCGATTTTCTTGGGTGAATCCGAACGTGTAACGCAAAAGAAAAAGCGGTAGGTTTGATGTTTGAGGTAGTATTGTTACGTTGCTGTCGGTCAGATTATGTATTTCCCCGAACTACACCACCATCGTCACCCTATGACCCTATAACCTTGTTGAAATAAAGTAGTGATAAGTATCACATACAGTACTATAACAATATGATCTATTTCTGATCAAAGAAAAGGCTGTGTACTGACATGATATGGTGAGACCAAGATGTTATGCCAGCAGCATCTGACCCGTGAAGGGATGTTTACCTCGTCCGATAATCAACCAATCAACCGAGTGTATTCCATACAGATATTTATTAGCAACATATTGATAGAGGATAAAAACGACAGAGTCATCATCATAATCATCATTGTAACTTTCTAATTATACCTGAAACTGTTTATATTATTGATGGAAGAAGAAGATTGTACAATAAGATAGGCACATGGTTAGCAGAATGATCAACAACAATGATGCACTATCATAAAACACACGCTGCTCTTGGCAACTCTGTCCCGTCGTCCGGCCTTTTGATAGAGAACGTATAAGCAGAGTAATACTGCTTATAAGTTATTCTGTGCGTGTAGCAGTATCGATGATTCTGGTCCGGATTTAAAGACGGCGATGTTGTATTCCGATCGTCATTGAACAGGAGAAGTTTGCAAATCGAATGGTGATGATAAATACTCAATCGATATTATTGTAGGGTAGTTTTTTTCTTGTTATCACGGCAGCCAACTTGCCGCTTTTATCAAAGGCACGGGTGGTGGCTGTCTGACATGATGGGTGAACTGTGCTACAATAAGTAGATGTATTTACGCGCAGTCGCTTCCACATAAATAACGCATTACACCCATGATAAGCATACTTCCCAGTAACATGCGCCTCGCATAATCTATAAGCGCAACAGTATGTACCAGGGAAGTTTTTGACTGTTGTTAGTACCGTTCTCTCCCATTCCATCTATAGTACTTGTCAGAAACTTAATGTCAATGATGCACAAGGGCAGTCTCTTGTTTTTTTTTAAAACTTATCAAGTAAATCATATGCTGTCACCATAGTAAATATATCAACACTCAAGCATCCCACTACTGTTTTGTTCCTCCGAGGTCACGGCTTGGATTCGTTGTCGTTGGCGATATGCATTGTATCCCTGTTTAGCTGCTTACACATCATACAGTTGTAACGCCTCCGGTGATTATATCATCTAGAGTTCTTGCAGTAGTAATACGTATTATTGTGACGGGACCGCTACAACGAGCGACCCGTAGCGACGTTAGCCGCTCAACCTCTTTGAGGTGTTCAAGAACGTCAACATCGATTCTGTCATATACGTAAACAATCTATACACTTAAAATACCATCAAGAGATTAATGGTAGACGTAGTCGACTTTCAAACAAAAAGGAAGAGGTTCCTTTTCACACATCTACAGTAAAATCACATTTTTAACCTGTTCTATTGTGGTGATGTTATCTACTCATACTGTATACGCATGCATTTATTTTCCCAAAAGAAATGAATGACAATAGAGATTCTCAAAGTTTGCCATCGCTATATTCCATTACATGTTTGTACCGGGCCGCGGCGATTCATCATCAAGTGCTAAGCCAACATTGCATCAGGCAAGCGATTTTGTTTTTTTATAAACAATGAAGTAAAGCAATGAGTGTTGTGAAAGAGCTCTGAGTAAAATTAGTCTATTTACTAACAATATTTCCTAAGCTAATTTCTGGAAGATACGGAGAGAAGGGATGTAGTTCTTTTTTGTCGACAAGAAGCATTGCATACATTGCATATGGGTTGCAAGGAATACCAGCAACACATGGCGAACATCTAACATGATGGATATCCCCATCTAATGGTTATGTAACTAGTAGAATTATACTGTATTTGCTATCATACAGTACATGCGCTATAGATATCCACAGCATTATATATTTTATTTACTGCTAGAATTGCTATATCTCGCACGTTTCTGCACTATATAACTGAAGAGGCTTCCTCCGAATATTTAAGCTATACCTCCTCTAAAGAGCAAAGCTACATAGAAGATACGACCAGCTTCTTTTCAGGCGATACGCAAAAGTCATTGGGCAATACATAAGGACACTCATAAGAGTAATGTAGCATATGGTACTGATAAGAAGATTGTCATAAAGTTTGTCTATAGTACATGATATATCGTAACAACAAACTAAGATCGTCTGCTTTATAATTTGTGTTAGGAGTATCTAATCCAGTATATCGCCAATGCAAAAACCGCCGCATGCAACCAAAGAAAAACATATTGTAAAGAAGACAAGCGTCCATTTACGCCGAATTTGCCAAATTTTGCTACAAAGGATAGATGCCTCTATTTCTCCAACATCATTGTAGAACTGATTTATTTTTCTCGTATGTCAACTCATTATCGAACTCAAGTTAATTAGTTTCCATAAAGTTTACCGATGCTTAATGCAAAAAACGGGCTTATCAGATCAATCGGACTTTTATCCTTCGATCTGTGTGTGAAAGAAATAAATAATATGGCACCATCTATGGCAACATCGTTTTCTTCCAGCAAAAATGTCAGCCGACGATGAAGAAGCCAACCTAATTACTGAACAGAGACAAACACCTTCAAAGTCGGAACAATGCAAGACCGTACTGATTTGGATTTGGCGAGTGATTATTTTTGCCATTACGGGTTCTTCCAGTGTGGCCGTTACCAGATCAATTATGCAACACATTCTCGGAATGACCTCGCCAGGTTGGTTTCGGTTAAATGGATGTCGTCTACATTTGCAGTTGCTAACTTTTTTTTTCTCTGGGGACACGCGTGAATGCGTGTTTATTTTTATCAGATAATTGGGTATATTATGCATTGTTCTTTGTATTGGAACTGATAGTTTACACGGTCATGATTGTTGTCATTGGATCTTGTCTCGGCCAATGGCGGTTTTTCTGTCTCGTTGCTTGTAGGATGTGGGGTTGGCTGCTGCCTGCGCAAATTCGAGAAACGCTTCTTATTCGACTTCAATCAGATTAAAGACAGCTTTGAAAGGCATATCTCACGTCGCTTTTGGTTAATTTCGGCAATCTCCTCCTTTCCCTAAAACCCACCACTATTTGTAGATCCTATATTCCTTCTTTCCTCTTTTTCGTTACCCGCGACAAAATGTTTATACCGTATCATTCTTTCTTTCATCTATTTGTTGGGCTTCAGCAGTAGTCGAAGGATTAAAAAAAAAGACGCGTACTGAGCACGTTGCTTAAAGATTCTTAGTGATTGGTATACGCGCGCGCTGTTCTACGCGTATGCGTGCAATAACTAAAGTACGTGGTCAGATATCATACGTGCGCCTTTGAAGTTCATTTTTAATTTGGAAGAACAATCGGTGGTATAGTATACCACTTTCTCGCTTAGTATATGCACAAGGCAGTAACAATGAAATAATAACCTTTTGAGCCCGTCTATTTGCAAGGGATCGAATGCTGCCAACTTTGAGTCTACATACTCTTCATCAAACCTTTATACAAATTAAAAACAACAAGGCTCTTCTCATTATATAGCCATATTAAACAACAGCAACATCGCACAGCTATAAACATAATTATTATCTACGAAAGAACCCTGTATATACATATTGAGCTTTAGCAATGTATGTCGTGTTATATAATTACAGTACTATCATACCGTTTATTAAAAAAGAAAATCTCATCAAGAAACATGCTATATCTTAAACTTTTTAACATAATCTTGCACTAGCATTAAAACTTCAAAATAGCTATCGCACATACAGTACATCGATTGTTCTTTTCAAAAGACAAATGCGAAAATTAACTGTTGTTCTTTAAAACATGACCGTGGTAAGTTTATAGACGACGCTGCATTGTCAGCACTTAATATAAGTTGTACATGGATCAACAAATATGAGCGCTATATTGAATTGTCATAAGAAATTGTAACTGTTCCACATAGGTGCAAAAATAGAGGAAGATGATGATAGTTTAAGCATAATAGTTGAAAAGAGCAGAAGACGTCGAGGGAGCTCCGTATCATTTATATGATACGATGCATTTCTCTTTTGTTTCTCTTATGCAATAAAGTCGACGCTCAAATGTCATTAAATTGACTAGAAACACGTTCTTCGTCTGTGCATTTTTTTTCTAAATGCCACAAATACAGTATTAAGTGTCGAAGGAAAAAAACGTAGTTTTGCCACGTGTGTACATCAACCTAAACTATGATATGAAACGCAATAACGGCTCTATGTATCATAGTATCAGAAATTCTAAGGCTTGATTATTTGTATGTACTTTATGAAATATATAGTGACATAGCAACGCATACTATAATGTCGGCGACAATGATGGTTTTTGGTAGTAGTATCAATGTATTGCACCATGCTTTTTATTCTGATCAACATTAGTAGTTGTCTTGTGATTATGAACCGAAATATGTATGAATAGTAAGCGTGTCTATATACATACATACTTGCTGGTTGTATGTATAACTACAGTACAGTTGTTTCAAGAATAGAAAGAACGAGCATGTCCCATTATATAAACTGGTTAATTTGATAGCTTCTTAAAATGTTGTATTCGCCTATAGATGTTTAGTGCACATGTTCTTTTTGGTAAGTCGTCGCGACGATGTCAGTTGTAAGTTCAGGAAGTATATTTCTCCACAAGAGTGATGGCTTCGGAGTTGGTGTTCTTGGGAATAAGCATCTATGAAACGCCACATCCTTCCTTAAAATCGTCTAATTAATGTAGGTACTTTGTTTGGAGGCGAAACAGTATACAAGAACTTTGGTAAGTTTTCTTTTGAAGCTTTGAAAATGTGTTTTTTTCTCTTTGCGTTTTCTCTTGTGCTCTTCTGGCGCTTTCTAAGTGGTGGCATCTGGTGGAAGGAAAAGGGTGTGGTCCATCTCATAGCTCTTGCGAGCGACAGTGTATATAGGCATTAGATTCTAGCCAAATTGGGCAATTTTACGTGAATATTGTTTACCGAAATGTGCATCAATTTTCCCCTTCGCCTGCAAAATTCTGCCAAACCAGCCGACTTTGACGACTATCCTCTCCTTCCCAAAACATTTTTAGAGAAGTTAGCCAATTGAAGTAGACTAAATATGCTTAAAAAACAATTGATCTGGTTGCTTTTGTGGTATCTTTTTTTGATGGATGCTGATAGCTTTCAATTTTGGGGAAAATTTCGGCAATTATAGACGAAATACACCATATTTATGCTCAAAGTAAAGTCTAATCGTGGTCGTAGAATCTTCCATTAAATAGTGAATGGTGCATAAGGAATTTTACAGCCGGTATATAGTCTGTACCTTTACCTGTATGTCGGTCGCTGCTGCTACAGAAATATAAATTCACATATCATAAATCATCTACATGTATGTTGATCGATACCTCATGTTACAACACAGACGCATTAATAGTCCCACACCAGCATCTATATAACTCGCCATTCATTCCAATGATACTCGGTATACATAGACAATTAGAATTCTATCAAAAGAAAACGTTGGATATGCGTGCTCTCGTCACGCAGTGATTATACGCGGCGGCAGTACTAGTGATTCCAGTTCTTTGCATTTGCATTTGCATGCATTAATATCTATAAGAAAATTTTATAGTATCTGAAATAACGCCTTGGCCATCAACATTTCTTGCTCTCATGTGGCGTCGAAATAGAAAGATCGGCAGGTTGTCTGATTGCCTACAGCAGGTATACATAGCAGCAACACTTATCATCAACACATGATGACTATCAAAAGTAGGGTTGGCTTGCATTTGCAGCATGTAAATAAAAAGAAAACGTCAACGCCATTTAAAGTGGCATGCGGTTATCTTGGGATTGTTTATTGGTGTCAATATGTGCGTTAGTCGGGAGGAGAGAAAGCATTGGGATTTTTAGCCCACGTATGTATTTACTAGATCTTCTTGTTTCCATAATCTTGCTGGATGATGGACCTGTTATAAGGTATATGAAGAACTGATCGACTTGATACTTTAAAATCAAAAACGTACACACACTCGCCCTTTTTCGGCTATGCAGACTAGCAATAGCATAGCTTGGTTCGGCAAAGGACGTACGTGGTGAGTTTTTTCTCTATCTTCCTTGGCAGCTCTTTCTCTCTATCTCTCACGGATACACTATTTATGCACACTTCCCCCTGCTTCTGTTTTTTCCCTCATCAGGCGATTCGTTAAACAATTTATCCATACAGTCAAATTCTGCGACGCAGTTGAAAAAAGCAATGTCACGCGATCCAAGCAGTATCATACCTTCCATTCGCTCCCTTTTGATTTTTATTATTTTGACAGATATATAGTAAATGGGAATTATTATCGGCGTGGAGGAAATAAAGATGCTGTAAATATACACACTATTCGTATCGAAACTCGTGTATCATATGTAGAATAATCGTGACTGTAGGTGCCAAAGCCGTGATGATAACATATATGTATATGCTCGCTGACGATCCATCTCGTTCTCCGCACGGTTACCACTGTAAGAGAAGACCGGAAACAAAGAAAAAAAAAGACTTTTTTATTATTATTATTTTTCAGAGATTTGGATGTAATGACGAATAATACGGATCTCAGCACTGCTGAAAAAGTGCTTACAGAAGCAAGTGTTCTGAGCAAAGAACAAAATAAAGGGATAAAACAGAATATATAGATAGAAGGCGTTGCACGTTGTGCATATGTTTTTTACGTAAAAATGATGGAAGAGAGATGATGATATATTGCTTTGGGGAACAGATGTGAGTGAGTGATGAGTGAGGGAAGTATACAAAGGGAAAAAAAAGACACACAAATGGAGCGACAGTCGTGGTCTTCCATTTAAAGTACAACTACTACTGCTATGCTAATTAATTGTGTATGGACATCTATATGAGATACCAAGTAATGGGGCCGACACCCTGCTTGAACTCGCCAACGACTCTTTCAAATACGTATGGCGTAAGATCCTGCATTCAGCAAAAATAAAGTAACGAGAGAGATTTGAGTGATACGCTCTGAGGATGTGAACGAATGTTATGGTCTTACCAAGTCGCCGTAGTCACAACCAGGACATGCTTATCAAAGAAAAATATGAATTGCTTCAATAGTTATTATATGCCTCTTAGAGTACAAGTGATATTATGAAAAGAGTGTAAACGATGCCTACCATCATTGATTTCAAGGTCCATCGAACCTGCTTCGCCTTCAACACGGATCTTTTTTCCGCACCATGAACTTACGGCGTCCATATTGCCGTATTGTGCGTGGTTCAATGCAACAATGCGCGAATTTTTGTTTTCTTTTTTTCCACAAGCGCCGTAGGGCCCACCTTCTTTTGCTGGAAAGAAAAACGTGCCTGTTCCGTGATACTGTTTGCCGTCACCACCTCGTTTTGTAATAGGTGCGGCATGTGCTACGATATTGACAGTGATGAAGGGTGCTGTTACTGCGATCAAGAGTAAAAGTAACGCAAAGGTATTTCGCATCATCGTTATCCGCCGTTGTTACAAGAAGAAGAATGTGTATTGAAGGAAATTGTAAAGTTTGCTGTTCACTTTCTCTTCTGCCACCAGTAGAGAATTCACACCTTTATATACTGTATGCACGAAGCATAGATAGCCAAACCCCCTTGCACCGTTTGGCTTCCGCCCTACCCCTTTCTGCGTCTGGCGCTTAGTATAAGACTTGTTCTGTTGTGTGAGATGGATAGGATCTTTGTACTGATGGCTATGATTTTCCGTTTCCTTTTGCTTATCTTTACAGAGAGTCTTTCTTTGTAATCCGAGAAAGATGCTCACCGGAGAAATGCTGTTTAGTAGTAAAAAAATGTGCCTTGCAAATGATACTTGCTGCGAACGTCAAAGGATGGGTTGAGTCCTGTGCCGTTTTCTTAGTCCGCCCCTTTTCACGGAGATGCCGGACCAGCCAAATGTGGTTACTACACCCGACACACATAGGAAGAAAAAGAGAAGGCGATCTTCCTCATACATTTTTGTCTATAGTAGCCATTGCTGTTTCTGGATCGCTTCCACTCGCTATTATGTGTATGTATGTGTTTCTTTTTGCAAGGGGGCCGGATAAGCAAGAACGGATTCCTGTGTTTCAGATTATGATTCCCTTCTCTCATTGTCCTAGCGCTTCTCCTCACTCCTTTCAAAATTCATTTAAAAAAAGTAAAACTGACGTAGGGGTTTGTCAAGCAAATGATAAAGTACATGGAGATGAGAAGCAGCATTTTTCACTTTGGACCGTATCATTACCAGAATCAAGGGGTGGCGGATTTTTGTACTTCAGCGGCAAAGTCGGCGGCGGGCAGCAGCACAAAAAAAGAGGTCACAACATCATGCAAAAAGCTAAAATAAGACGTTCCATTCGTCGAGAAATAGGTCCGATTCAAGATGACAAGAATACACCTTTATTGCCATACATACTAGCACATTCGCATCCGCTATGTTGTAATACTTGTCGGTGGCTAGGATGATGTTGTAGTAGCTTTTACGCTTTCACTCGCTTAGCGAATAATACGGCCACTCTAACATCGACGCATCTGTCAGTTACATCCTACAACAAAGGTCGTATCCTACTTGTAGACACTGTTAACGGATTAGGAAACGATGATAGTAACTTTTCTTTGTGCTCACGGCGATGAGCCCCTATTTCCAAGATGTAAACATAAAAACACAGCAAAGTTAAAATAGTCCACATGAACGTAATAAGTAACTTGCTACCATGAACACTGTAACTCTTTACAAGTTCGCTATCACGTTGTACCACTATAGTATAGCTATAATCATGGATCTACTACTTATAAATGACGATGGGCTAGCAACTAGCATTCCTCACTAGAGCCTCACTCATACGTAATACAATAATAGCATGGTGCATATTGTACTATACGCGGGGGGGGGTGCACACACAGAAAGGACATATTGAATAAGGCAGACAAACAAGCACCGCAAGCAGCAACCGTGCAACATATTTTCCATGTCCGTTTCCTTTTGGTCACAGCACTGATCACAGCACAAGTCTTGGTAACGAGCCGTCATTTGCCATTGCGTAATGGTAACAAAGTGGTTTACGAGCCCGCCGAGATAGCGCTTTCAATTCAAAGCATCTCTATCTTCCATGGACTTCTTTATGTCACTCTCTTTACACTCATACCTATTATATAACTTTTGTACAGTCACAGCGAGATGACCTAGTAGAACTCTTTGTCTGCCATTCGCTGATAATCTTTCGCCAACTATCGTATGCTGAAGGATCGTTCAAGAGTGAGATTAATTCATGTGCCCTTGAGAGTATGTTTCTTTTCTTGCCTTTTAAGAACTGCTTTTGCTATTTTCCTATCAAACGTATTACCTATCAAACGTATTAAAGTTTCTCTCGTTCTTTTTTAATTTAAATGGTGGAGGATACTCTTTTCTTTCTTAAAAAGCGGTGGCGACGCAACGCTATATGATAGACAATTATAGAGGTGGCAACATCTAAACGCCTCCTGTATATGTCCGTAACTTGTTATAAGCGCACTTGGAAACAATGCCCTTGCTCTAAACCGATCGCCGCGGTTTTTGTGTTGCTGCATTAATCCAACAGAAGGGGGTGGGAAGTTAATCTTTTTATTTACTTGTCAATTTTTACTGCTATTCTACACACGATGGCGATGAACAATAACAGGAGTGGAATTACTGCTACTACTACCACTACTGCTAATACAGACGATCTCGACCTCTCCTCCCAGCTTGATTCCGTGTCCTTTTCTACACCCGAAGAAAGATTATTGAAACAACTCGATTCCAGTGCTCGGATCAACTCAGTATTTCAACGTCCAAAACAGCAACCACAATCGACAGCACCAGTAAATACATCTGAGTGGAATACGCCGCTTCGTCAATTAGATTCTGCAAATAATAATATTATTACAACGAGTGCTGGCCATGGTGATGACGGATGGGGCGATCTACCACCTGCCTATACGGCCATATCGCACAACTCAACGTTTGGCTTTAATTCGATTATTGAAGCCGACCCTTCGTCGCCTGCTACTGCTAGCGCTAACACCGCTGTCAATCCAAACTCGGGCTTTGCACGGTTTCGCAATGCGCCTGTATCATTCACAAGCACGCTACAACAGGATATGCAAAGCAACAAGAACGACGGAACAACAAAGTGAACAAGATAATCAAGCATCAAAACGAAAAAATATACCCACCACCTCTTCAACCCTTGGCTTACTTCTGACAAGACACTCAAACCATGCTTATTTTATCCTTTTTTACCTACGAGAAGAGAATAAAATAGCGACTTTCATTTTCTTGATATGCTGTATCGCACTGATGCCGTCAATATGAGTCATGTACGATACTGTTGCGCAGTAAAGCTGTTGTGCTGCGTACTCGACAAGAGTATTATAAATAAGTGTAGTCATTCCCGAATTTTTATATTTCTATCTTTAATACTCAACACACACCCACTTGTACGCGCCCGCACGTCTACACAATGGATTCAATCCCGACGATTCAACTTGCTAATGATCACACTGCGATTGAAACCTTGCTTGAGATCCAACGCAACGATCCAAAAAAGAAAAAACTACGGTCCAAGGAGTTTGTGATTGACGACGGCAAGATGACTTGGCGCAGTTGGACCATGCGCGAGCAAATTTACAAAAAGAAGAATAATGGACTGTCGACACAGGCACGCGGATTGTTTACGACGACTGTAGGAAGCCAACATGTCGTTGCTGTACGCGGATACGACAAGTTCTTTAATGTGCTTGAAGTAGAATCCACTCAGGTATCCTTTTGGATTGAAGAGGAGGGTCGGGAGAAGTTACTTTATTAGACAAATATAGTGGCAGGTGCTTTTTCATGTATGTATGAGACGAAAAGAGGGCGTTGATTACTAAAGTGTATATATGCATATAGTGGCCAGATCTGATGTCGAAAACACGAGGACCTTATGAAGTTACAGCTAAGGAAAATGGATGCATTATTTTCATCACGGCCCTATCAAAAACAAAGCTCGTCGTCACGTCAAAGCACTCGCTTCCTGATCCGCAAGACGACCCTACTGCTCACGGTGGTGTTGGATACCGGTGGATGATCAAGCATTTGGAGAGCGTCAGCAAGACTGAAGCCGATCTAGCAAGTTGGATATATGACAAGAAATTGACCTTGGTAGCAGAGGTAAGCTATACAAAGCCAATGCGAAAAAATAACGGGAATAAGCTTCTAATAAGACGTCATAAATATATATAATAAAACGACAGCTATGTGATGATCAATTCGAAGAACATGTCTTGGCATACAATGAAAAGGAAAGCGGCCTGTACCTCCATGGCATCAACTACAACACAACACTCCTCCACACTTTGCCCAGCGCAACGGTTCAACAGGTAGCCGAACATTTTGGCTTCCATCGCACTGAATTTGTCAAACTCGAAACCATGGAACAAGTCCGGAAGCTGTCCGACGAGATTGAAGAAACAGGCGAGTTTCAAGGCAGACCCATCGAAGGCGTGGTCATCCGTTGCAAGCGGGACGAGAAGGATTTCTTTTTCAAAATCAAAAATGACCATTATCTCTTGTTCCGAGAGTATCGAGAAATCACCAAAGCGCTGCTTGATGTTGATAAGGATACCAATCAAGTTAGCGTCAAGGCAGACGTCAAGCCGCGCTGCGAGTATGAAAAGTCAATTTACTATGTGTCTTGGGTCAGAGAACGGATCGTGGACCACCCAGAATGGTTCCAGGATTATAAAAAGAACAAGGGCATTATTGATGTGCGGGAACGCTTCGAGCGGTTCTGGCAAACGGCGGATTTGAAGCAATTAAAGGGGGATCCAGTGTGTGGCATTGCTCAAGCGAAACGGTGACGATTATATCAACACATACATAATTTTTGTTCCTCTGTACTAATTATTATGTTTATATCGTAGTGAAACTTTTACACAATCTTGTAAATGCCTTGGGATATATATAAATTTCTGACTCTTTAAGCGGATGCTTTTGATATGATTCACTAGTATAAATGTTTATCCAGTTTTCGCCGTCATTATAAAAACCATATTCGTCAATTTCAGCAGCTACTGGTGCGTCTCCTTTGCTTCGATCATCTTCTGGTTCTCCAGGGCTCACACAGTCATCAACATCTTTTGCATCACCAAATAAATATACTGGAATCCTTGATTTGCTTTGATCACCACGAACAGGTGAGTACCATGTCGGTCTCTCTCACTCTGTTTTGGTATTGCCTGGTAACGGGGATTTAGGTCGACCAAACTGTTTACCTATTGATCGTCGTCTGTTTTCTAACTCGTCGATTGCAGCCTTGATATCATTGGCATGTCCTTCCATCTGTGTCTAGAATAATAGCAAACAATAAATGAGTACATACATATCCAGCCATATTTATTTTGCGTTGCATTTTAGAAATATTTAAAACAAATGACTTCAAAGCAATAAACGTGTCCATTAGAGATTCCAAACCAGATGTACTTGTAGGAAATCCAAACTTGTATTGGGGTATCGCAACATAAAGTCCCTTTCGTATTAAATGCAGTGACGAGATTTGGCCTTGAAGACCACAAATCTGAATGATCCAACCGCTCGCCCTCTCTGCCGTAGCGTCCTCCAATGTACAACCCAGAATGCCATCAAGAACGTCCTTCCCTTCACGTAAGAGCTTTCCCAGATCATGAAAAAGTTTCGGTGCTGCTGGTTCCATCGATGCTTCCCCAGCACCAACATCATATTCAACCTTTTCAGTATCGTATATGAAACGTAAGTCGATCTTGAATGCGCGAATTTTATCAGCGTCGTACAGCTCGCCTTTACTCGTGGTGCTAATAGGATTAATGCTTTCCCCACTAGCAATAAAATCAGTGATCAGTTAACCAAATGACGGTTCCTATTTTCAGTTTACGGTAATGTACCTTTGAGTCGGACTACGCCATTTATTGACAAGATTGCTTCAATGATCGGGCCCCATATTTTCAATAAATAGTCATATTCTGTCCAACGTGATACTAAAGTGCTGGTGAAATAAGAATGCTGCTTGTCAAACACGTCGATACTATGTAGAGATCAAAAATATTTTATCAATTCAGAACTTCAGTTATCAGCTCAACAAACGCACAGAAAGTAGTATTAACACATACAAAACTTCCATGACACTGATAATCTTGTATAAATGATTATTCTTTGTTCCGCTTTTCCATTTTGCCAAAAAACTTCTTGCAGCCGTAAGATCGTTGTTGTTTTTGGCCAGCTACACGTATATAAATATATAAATGACAGTTAACAAAGGTTGTAATGATATATTTATATAAACAAAAAAAAAGATATTTGACATACAGCAGATACCAATTTCCAATTTTTCGTGACTTCCAATGGCATTCTATAACTTGCTACTTGAAGTTTCGACAGTAATAAGTCAGATGTTGTATCAAGGGCGTGCTCAGCAAACCATTTAGCTTGACCAGTATTTGATTGATCGACAAGGTCAAGGATCGAAGATAAACCAGAGCTATACAAAAATATGCTATGATTAGTATATGAGTTCTAAACGTATTTGCAAATAAATAGTAAAGTTAATCCTACCTCATCAGTTTACGATCTGCTTCTGATAATTTTGTGCCTTGTTGATAAGTGTCATGAAGATCGATCGCACGTCTCTTGATCACTGTTCCAATTGAAGGATGATCGGGATGCTCTGTTGCGTCGTCAGCATAAAGATTATCATGTTCACGCTAAAATAGTTACATTAGAATATCGAAATGTCGTTATATACGCTTTCATTTAATTAGTAAGTTACCTTTCTCGTGAGCTCAGAACTTGATACTGATATTGGTGTTGTTGCTACTGGCGATGATGATGATGATGATGATGTACCAACTAGTTCTGCGTCAAGTTCAGCAGCATATCGTTTACTTTCGATCAAAGATAGGCAATGGGCATTTTGATACGCGCTTCGTCTTGTCAAACAGTTTAGCCGAGCAGAATCAAAGGCGGATTTGAATTCGTTCTTAAATGCTGTGGTTTTAATGAAAGTTGAAAGTTCTTCACAGTATGCTTGTAATGCGAGATGATTACGTCGTTTGTACTGGATTTGAAAAAAAGAATCTTTTAAGCACGTTAGTGCTCCTTTGGCATCAGTTGCTGTCGTTTTATGATGTGCGACAAATGCTTCAGCTAGTTTTTCCACATCCGACCCATCTTGTGCTTCAAGGGAGGATAAACAAGGGTCGAATCCGATTTTTGGTTGTGTGTGTTCATAATGTTGCTGCTTTAATAGCAGCATAAACTGAAACAGAACCTGCGGCTGCAGCTCCATAAGCTGCAAGATTAGTTGTCGAAGGATCAAGACCAACTTGTACTTTTAATCCTTCTTTAAGGATTTGAGTTAAAACATTTGCAAGAGAATTTACCTTTTCTTGATCAATATTATTTTCATCATTTCCAGCACAATATACAATAGATAAACTATCAGAATAATAATTTAAACAAATATATTTAAAAACTAAAGTAAATGATAAAATAATAAATACAAAAGAAAAATATTTTAAGAATTTTAAAATAGAGCTTAATAATTTTTTAAAGTTTAAATTGATATTACTATTTCTTTTTAAACTAAACAATATTACTGCTAAACTAATATCAATATTATCATTTAATAATAAGATGTCTGTTAATTCTTTAATATTCATTACATGTTCAGTTATTGTACCTGCTTCATTTTCTACGAAAGCACTAGCTACTAAAAGAATTAAAGAAGGTGGTAATAACTAGAATGAAATATTATTTAATCGAGGGAAAGCCATCAATTTTATTATCAATTCTCTGTTTAAAGAGAATTTTCTCAATATTTCTATTGAGTTTAGACTATGTCATCAATTGTCAATCCTTACAGGAGCAAATGTTGGGCACTCGTGTCTGGATTATTGCTAGTGCAGCTCACTGATTAGTCGTTGAACTTTCTTAAAACAAATTTGCATATATAGATAAATCTATATACGAATGCACTGATTTAAGCATAGCTGCAAATTATCTTTCATAATAAATACTTTATGGCCATTTTTAACCAAACGGCCCTGATAAAGATTTAGCTGAGCTTTAATACCCAATATCCCGGGCCACGCAGCGGCCCTGAATTCAGCCAGCGATGCCGGGGCGAGTTCTTAAAATAATTTATTATGGGAAGACCTCCTTGTAATTCACCCAATGCAAATCCACACCTCACGATGTGGCAGGACTATATTTATATAATGTATATTTTATAATAATTTTTAATACTCTGACAATTTTTCTAAATGATCCCAGTTATAATATGTTCGTTTTCTATTCATTCCTGCTTTAATTATTTTAATATTATCTCGTCCTTGTTCAGTAAGATGTTTTCGAGATAACATTAGATTAACACAAAATTTAAAATCTAAATAATTTAGTAGTTTACTACTAAATAGAGGATAAGTGTCTAGGGTTGCCCTCATTTCGCTCCGAACAGAGAACCCAAAATAGTTTTGTAGAAATTTAAAGTCCTCTCTACTTGGATCGAGATAAAGGCGCAACGCGCCAAGAAACTTCCTTTTCTGTACACACCCTGAGGTGTTGCATAAATAACAACGCGATTGCGAATAATAGCTGATAGTGGAATATTGTTCATTTTTTGATAAAAGCAGATAAAATAGATGAAAAATACTGGTGTATTTTTCTTTCAATCTTTTATTATTCATGAAGTGACAGTTTCCTTTTATATCAATCCGAGCGAGCTACCATGGAGGCGTTTCCATCGGAGAAGCTGTTACCAAAATTGGAGGCCTCCAAGAAGCCCTCTTTTGGAAGGAAAACGGAAAATTTATTTTCCATTACTACATTAGGGTATGGTGTTCTCTGTTCGGAGCGAAATGAGAGCAACCTAGATAATTAATCAATGTTTTTAATTTAGCAGGGCTAGTTGCTGAAACAGTGTAGTACTCGATACCTTCATTATGAAGAGAAGTATTTAGTTCTACATTTTAATAACTAGCAATAGATTTCATTACAGAGTAATAAGATAATTCAGTACTTGGATCAGTTATTCGTTGCTCAATTCGTAATCGAGTCTCTACTCGATTTTTTCCTTTCCCATTATATGATTTCTCTCGAACTTTTACATCAAATGATCCATCTGCATCAATAAATCCAGATAGCCAAGCATTATTAATAATTGGACTAGTATCTACATCATTACAAACAATTGGTTCTGTACTAAAATAATTAGTATTAATCCATTGAATTAATTTATTAAATTGATGTACTTTAGAAGTCCGTAAATAACCATTCATCAGATAAATAACATTTTGTAGTCCATTAATACTACTAACTGTTAATATATAAGCATGATTTTCTGATTTATTTGAATAGTTCCTCCAATTAATTTTTGTAAAGCAAGTACAAGAGGATAATCTTTATTATGAAAGGTAATATATAAATGAGGTGTATACCGCTTACCACTTGGAGTATGAGTCGTTTTAGGAATCCAAATAGATCCATCACCTTCTCATAATCCAGCTAGATAGGCACCAAATTTTTTATTAATCTTGGGCCCTACGGTCCTAAAGTTAACTGACTCAGGACTTTTGGCCTTGAAATAATTTAGAGAAACAAGAGTTTAAATAGAAGAATACAAGCATTATATTTTGTATAATCAGGCGCCCCGATCATTAAAGGAACAAACCAGTTCAGTAACCCCATATCTTTCGATATGGACTAGACTATATCTTCACCCTTTTATGGTTAAAGGGGCATCACGTATAGTCTCTGAGGATCCTACTCCACCGCGTTCTGCAGTGTTTGGTTTCCTCTGATTGCCCTATTGTTTCATACTTAATAATTTCACCCGTGCTTAAGAAGTTAAGCACTAGGTTATTAAGTCTTTAGGGGTTTCCAGCAAATAGTAATGTTATAATCATTATAATTACTCATAATGACGGCAACTTATATTTCAATTTATTGATTATAAAAATCATTTAAATGATCCCAGTTCTAGGTTGTTCTTTTTGTATTCATATTGTTTTTAGCTTCAAGACACATTAAAGCACTACTTCTAATTAAATGTTTTTTATCTAATTTCAAATGTAGTACTTTAGACCATTCTAAATAATTTAATTGTTTTGAAGAAAACATTGGATATTTTTTAAAATAGTTATCAACTAATAAATTAGTTGCATTACTTGAGTATTAACAGTATAACTAAAATATTCTTTTTTATTAATTATTCTTTGTCTAGATAATAGATCAGTATGTAAAAATTTAGCAATTAGTTCTATGATATTTCTATATGAATCTAATTCACCATGATTATTTTGTTGGAATTTCTAATCTATAGAACATTTAATTCTTTGAATAGTTTTAGATTCTTTATTTTCAATTAAACTAACTTGAAAATAAGCATCTGCATCACTAAAACCAGCGAACCAACTATTACTATTTAAACTACTTAAATCTAATTCAGAATATTCAAAAATATTTCCATTAACATTTTTATTATTTAACCAATCAATAAGTCTATTAAGAGCTTCAATTTTAGGAGTTCTTATTTTTCCATAGATTAAATTAGTTAATTTTAATAATCCCGCTTGATTCTGAATTTCGTATAATACATAATTACCTTTTTTAGGTTTCTGAATGAATCCACAACCTAATACTTGTTGTAGTTTTTCAGCCAAAGGTAAATCAGATAAAGAGAATACGATTCTAATAACAGGATGTGTTAATCTCCCTTTGTCAGTTCTTTTTTTAGTGGGTACAATAATTGAACCATCACCTTCGATAAGTCCTGCTAAATAATAACCTAATTGATTATCATTTTGATTAACATTGTTAGTAGAATAATTTTTAGTAGAATTATATAAGAGAATTTTTAGTCCCGCCGGGGGCCTCGACCCCAAAGGGATCTCGGCCCCAGGCTAAAGTTTGAATAAATAGAGACATCAAGTTAACCGAGATTTGTTTTAAAACCAATTTCATTGAAACATGGCTTTTACCGAATCCTCCAATTAAACCTGGCATAACCATGGTGAGATAAGATATCAATTCCTAAGTATATCTCATACTTATTTTGTTATAAATTAATAAAAAATAAATATAATCCTAATAATAGACTAAGAGTTTGAGAACCAATTAAAAACACTAGAAGAAAACTATTTTGAGCTAATAAATACTTAGAATAATATTGGAATAAATTTTGTACCCATTTAGGAAAGTTTTTAATATTTTTTTCTCCATAATTTTGAAAAAATAAATTAAAACTTAATAAGATACCTACAAATAATCCAATAAAAGCGAAGCATGCAAATGAAAATCCTGCACTTTGAAGAATATTATTAAAATTATTGTTTAAATAATCAGTTTCTAAAATTGAACTAATTACACAGTCTGAAGAATTAGTATTTGGGTCTACTGATACATTATTCTCTTTGAAAAATGTATCTGTAGTTTCCATTAACGTATTATCTTCTTCATTTTGTGAAACACTATTTGACTTATTATTTACTTCATCATTTTGTGAAACATTATCTAGTTCGGATGAATTAAATGTAGTTGAATCTTTATAAATTAATGGGTCATTATCATTTTCTGCAGTAGAATTTTTGATAGATTCTGTTACAATATTATCGTTAGAATTTTTTGGATCCCAGTGATCATGTTTAGAAGGTAAATTAGCTTTAGATTTTTCTACTTCTAATTTTTCCATCTCAATTCTTTCATTAGATTCGATTTTTGCCATTTCGATTCTTTCGTTAGATTCAAGTGTTTCTTTATGCATTTTCTCATTTGATTTGTTAGTTGCTTCACCGTTATAAACAGTGGCTGCTCCTGTTGCAAGACCGGCAGATCCGGCTCCCATCAGGATAGCCCTAACAATTGCATCTTTACCAGGCATAATGGGTTATGGTAGTAGCAGCTAAAATTTTAATCCGTTTTACCTTTGAACTTGTTAGCACTTATTTTCTTAGCATTCACTTGAATAAATGAATGTTTTAGTATTCACTTAAATAAATTATTTTTAGCTTTAGAGTTCCACTAGTTATTTTTATTTTTGTTTAAAACATAGTCATATTATAATATTAAAAATGTTTTTTTTTTATAAGATTTATGAGATATCAGGAGATCAATATCTCCCTCCAAGAACCGTACGTGCGACTTTCACCGCATACGGCTCCTCATTCTACTTGTCTACTTTCTTTTCAAATCATTTAGTTTCAATCCATCATATAATCCGCTATGGATTTTATCATGACAAACTCTACAAACTGGGATTTGTTTTCTGTTCATAGCTTTCATTGTGGCAGTGAATCCTTTAGGTTTTCCTCCCAGAGATTTAACATGATGCATCTCTACTCTTGTTGTAGAAGAACAGATGATAGATTCCTTATGTAAAAGACTCTTCGATCTTAACCCGAAGTAAACTACTTCTAGTGGATCTGGAGGGTTAACTAAGAATTTCCGCAGTGGAAGATATGAGTTAAGAATTCTCAGACTAATTTGTTTCTCTTTAGATCCTTCTCGATCGATTACTCGAATATTATTTCCAAAGTATCTGATATTAACGCGTTTTGGTTTTTGTTGCCCCCACCAATACTCCCTCTATATGAGCAATCTACAGCAGCTGACAATCAAGCTCAACAAATCTCGCTTTCCTACAATACAACAGCTACTACTGTTATCGTCACCAGTGATACACATGAACGCATTTCGTTACATCTTCCTCCTCCACAACAACAAATATATAATACAAATACTATACAGGCACTCAACAGTATACGGCATTCTGCTACTCCTCGGCAACGTGGTAATCCGCGAAGGCAACAAGTAAGCTCGAGACGGTGACAGCAGCCCTATCTACAAGTACGCCAGATCGCGCCAGTACCCAATGCTCTACCGTTTGCTTCACTTGATAGTAATTTTTGTGGATTACCCAAAGGAAGAACAAGAAAACCGCAAGTAGATTATATACCACTCTAGGCTCTCAATATATATAAATAGCTACCGGTTTTCTTTATCTTATAATTCAAAAGCAATTGATTCGTTATCATCTGTTAACGACCACATCGATCAACAGCTTTTCCTTGATCTCTCTCACTCACTCACTCTCACTCTCTCTCTCTCTATCGTTCATATAGATATATATCCATTTATTAGCTTCTGAGGATAGAGTATAGTCTACTCTTTATATATTCTTGATCAACGTGATGCTTATGCATAGTAGATGCATATGGATATATTTCTGTGAATGACATCCAAATCAGTTCACATGGAGAATCGGCGCTCTCCATATATACTTCCCAAAATCAAAGGAATTAATTCAGCTAAGCCCAGATATGTCCAAAGCGCCTTCATTATTATCAAGTTTTTATCGTAGTGAATCTTTTACACAATTTTGTAAATGCCTTGGGATATATTTAAATTTCTGACTCTTTAAGCGGATGCTTTTGATATGATTCACTAGTATAAATGTTTATCCAGTTTTCGCTGTCATTATAAAAACCATATTCGTCAATTTTAGCAGCTACTGGTGCGTCTCCTTTGCTTCGATCATCTTCTGGTTCTCCAGGGCTCACACAGTCATCAACATCTTTTGCATCACCAAATAAATATACTGGAATCCTTGATTTGCTTTGATCACCACGAACAGGTGAGTACCATGTCGGTCTCTCCCACTCTGTTTTGGTATTGCCTGGTAACGGGGATTTAGGTCGACCAAACTGTTTACCTATTGATCGTCGTCTGTTTTGTAACTCGTCGATTGCAGCCTTGATATCATTGGCATGTCCTTCCATCTGTGTCTAGAATAATAGCAAACAATAAATGAGTACATACATATCCAGCCATATTTATTTTGTGTTGCATTTTAGAAATATTTACAACAAATGACTTCAAAGCAATAAACATGTCCATTAGAGATTCCAAACCAGATATACTTGTAGGAAAATCAAACTTATATATGGTGCACACACCTTATAATCCACAATTTTGAAATTTGTTTCAATTTCGAGTTTTCAGATTCCGCTTCTATATATGGTAGTTTTTGATCATCAATGCCTACTTTCTGATGGGAGCTTGCAATTTTGGTTATGAATATCCTCACTTCTTCATCTTCTGCCCAGGCATCCTCTCCCTTTACTTATATGCTTCTATATAATAAAACCATCTTTTGTAATATCTATGAATCTTTATGGGGTTATTGGGGGAAAAGCTTAGTCTAAAGCAATAGGAAGGTGTTTCTGAAGGCCAGCAGAGGAGTTGTCGCACATTCCTCATATGCAGCTGCAATTGCTCCATTATAGTGACGAAGTTACCGATTTCTGTTCAATTGTGCTTTTTAGCAGCTTTCTTTTGATCTTTAGGATGAGGTATAGTGGATAAATTGTGTGGAATATACATGAGAAGGCAAAGCAAACATGAACCTAAGTTAGTAGCCAGTCGTAAGTGGCTTTGGACCGCTTAAATATTTTACCCATCAGGCTAAACTTGATTTCCGCTTGCTTAAGTATAATCCTATATGTTTCAATTTGCTATCCCTCAGCCAGAAGTGACCAACTTCAGAAGCCTATAACTTTTTTTAAAGAAGCAAGAACTCAAATCTAATCCACAAATATTGTTTTTAAAGGTCTAAAAAACATAAGTAGCCGCTTCTTTTTTTATTTTAAGGTGACATTAAAAAGTAGTAGATTCAAAGATTACCCAAAAATTTGCGGATTATAAGGTGCTTGCACCATAAGGGTATCGCAACATAAAGTCCCTTTCGTATTAAATGCAGTGACGAGATTTGTCCTTGAAGACCACAAATCTGAATGATCCAACCGCTCGCCCTCTCTGCCGTAGCGTCCTCCAATATACAACCCAGAATGCCATCAAGAACGTCCTTCCCTTCACGTAAGAGCTTTCCCAGATCATGAAAAAGTTTCGGTGCTGCTGGTTCCATCGATGCTTCCCCAGCACCAACATCATATTCATCCTTTCAGTATCGTATATGAACCGTAAGTCGATCTTGAATGCGCGAATTTTATCAGTGTCGTACAGCTCGCCTTTATTCGTGGTGCTAATAAGATTAATGCTTTCCCTACTAGCAATAAAATCAGTGATTAGTTAACCAAATGACGGTTCCTATTTTCAGTTTACGGTAATGTACCTTTTGAGTCGGACTACGCCATTTATTGACAAGATTGCTTCAATGATCTTCAATGATCGGGCCCCATATTTTCAATAAGTAGTCATATTCTGTCCAACGTGATACTAAAGTGCTGGTGAAATAAGAATGCTGCTTGTCAAACACGTCGATACTATGTAGAGATCAAAAATATTTTTTCAATTCAGAACTTCAGTTATCAGCTCAACAAACTCCCAGAAAGTAGTATTAACACATACAAAACTTCCATGACACTGATAATCTTGTATAAATGATTATTCTTTGTTCCACTTTTCCATTTTGCCAAAAAACTTCTTGCAGCCGTAAGATCGTTGTTGTTTTTGGCCAGCTACACGTATATAAATATATAAATGACAGTTAACAAAGGTTGTAATGATATATTTATATAAACAAAAAAAAAGATATTTGACATACAGCAGATACCAATTTCCAATTTTTCGTGACTTCCAATGGCATTCTATAACTTGCTACTTGAAGTTTCGACAGTAATAAGTCAGATGTTGTATTAAGGGCGTGCTCAGCAAACCATTTAGCTTGACCAGTATTTGATTGATCGACAAGGTCAAGGATCGAAGATAAACCAGAGCTATACAAAAATATGCTATGATTAGTATATGAGTTCTAAACGTATTTGCAAATAAATAGTAAAGTTAATCCTACCTCATCAGTTTACGATCTGCTTCTGATAATTTTGTGCCTTGTTGATAAGTGTCATGAAGATCGATCGCACGTCTCTTGATCACTGTTCCAATTGAAGGATGATCGGGATGCTCTGTTGCGTCGTCAGCATATAGATTATCATGTTCACGCTGAAATAGTTACATTAGAATATCGAAATGTCGTTATATACGCTTTCATTTAATTAGTAAGTTACCTTTCTCGTGAGCTCAGAACTTGATACTGATATTGGTGTTGTTGCTACTGGCGATGATGATGATGATGATGATGTACCAACTAGTTCTGCGTCAAGTTCAGCAGCATATCGTTTACTTTCGATCAAAGATAGGCATTGGGCATTTTGATACGCGCTTCATCTTGTCAAACAGTTTAGCCGAGCAGAATCAAAGGCGGATTTGAATTCGTTCTTAAATGCTGTGGTTTTAATAAAAGTTGAAAGTTCTTCACAGTATGCTTGTAATGCGAGATGATTACGTCGTTTGTACCGGATTTGAAAAAAAGAATCTTTTAAGCACGTTAGTGCTCCTTTGGCATCAGTTGCTGTCGTTTTATGATGTGCGACAAATGCTTCAGCTAGTTTTTCCGCATCCGACCCATCTTGTGCTTCAAGGGAGGATAAACAAGGGTCGAATCCGATTTTTGGTTGTGTGTGTTCATAATGTTGCTGCTTTAATAGCAACATAAACTGAAACAGAACCAGATGCAGCTGCAGCTCCATAAGCTGCAAGATTAGTTGTCGAAGGATCAAGACCAACTTGTACTTTTAATCCTTCTTTAAGAATTTGAGTTAAAACATTTGCAAGAGAATTTACCTTTTCTTGATCAATATTATTTTCATCATTTCCAGCACAATATACAATAGATAAACTATCAGAATAATAATTTAAACAAATATATTTAAAAACTAAAGTAAATGATAAAATAATAAATACAAAAGAAAAATATTTTAAGAATTTTAAAATAGAGCTTAATAATTTTTTAAAGTTTAAATTGATATTACTATTTCTTTTTAAACTAAACAACATTACTGCTAAACTAATATCAATATTATTATTTAATAATAAGATGTCTGTTAATTCTTTAATATTCATTACATATTCAGTTATTGTACCTGCTCCATTTTCTACGAAAGCACTAGCTACTAAAAGAATTAAAGAAGGTGGTAATATGGTGTATACTGACTTGAATCGATAATATATTTGAAATACCGACCCAAAAAAGAAAGTGTATCAGAGTTGTCCAAAGTAAATTTTCTGAGATTCTGACCAGCAAGATGTGTTTAATAGCATATTATAAGCATTTCTTACTCGTTACTTTATGAAAAAAGGTGTTTTGGAGAGCTCTGATAGCCATCAAAGTTTTGTCGGAATATGAAAATTTACTATATAGACCTAAGATTTCGACAAGGTGGGAGGGGTAGATCAGTGAGGTGATGTAGGCTATTACAGTCTTTGTAACATTGCATCAGTCATGGTTACACAAACACGTTATCCTCATTATCATACTGCTTTTTCACAAGGGTTGTATTTCCTTCATTGATACTCGCTCATTGTAGTGAAGCTACACTACTTTGAGATTGATCCAAATAACTCAACCCACTCCGTCATCTTCATAACCATTAAAATGCAGTAGAGAGAACACCACACACATGGATGAATCAAATATTACATAATTAGCACCATATTGATAATCTCTCAAACATGGATCACAATCGAGAATGACTTAGGATTAACTATTATCAATACTTCGTTGCAATATAATATCGATAATCTCTCAAACATGAATCAGAATCGAGGATAACTCAGTACCAACCATTGTCAGTACTTCGTTTCAATATATATTATCTGAGATGAGCGAAGTGTACCTGTCAAAGAGCGGATATCATATGTCGATACTACAACCGTTGCTGGCGTTATATCCAAGCATACAAGGATATGAAAGACGATCGTGAAGCTGTCAAGATCGTAGAGAAATTTACTTCTAGAAGTTACAAATCCAACCACAGAATTATTGCAAGTGATTAGTTAGTATTTTTACCTCTGTTATTTCTGACTTTCATAAATAAATGAGTATAGCTATCGATCATATAATTCCCTGACTAGTGCAAACATAGAGTATGATATATGAAGAAACATATCGGGTGTTTCAGGTGTTAATTTAGCTGTGGTGTTTCAAAAATTCTCAATTTTCGACAGCTCACAGTTAAAGTCAGTATGCACTATAATATTACTCCAATGTTTCATTTATCCCTTTTACTTAGTAAAACCAGTCAACTTTGAGCCCTTATAGCTCACCTAAAAAATAAAATTATGGAACAACAATGCATAATACTTAATCCAAATAAGCATAAAAATGCATTTTGTGCATCTCTATTTCAATAAACTTGATGTGGGGGAAGAAATAAGCCCTCAAAGTTGATGTAAAAGTTTTGGTGGTTATAGATGAAATACACCATATGACGTTCAAGTTGAATATTGCCATCGATAGCGATAAACATACAATTCTAAGCGACGAATGTAATGCTTGTCAGTTTTATGTAATAAAATACAATACTTCTTTAAATGATGCTCTCTTACTGGATGACACGTAGGACATCCATATTCTTCTTTTGCCCATTCATTTTTCGATACCAGTTCTTCTTCTACTAGTGTGGTAGTCTCTAAATACTTAAAGAACGTATGTCCAAAATTTTTATGCAACGTTTCATCCTTCTATAAACGCATCGTAATTAATTGCAATTAGAGTGCCGTTTGAACCAATGTATGATTGTTCCTCGTGCGTCACTTACATGGAAATCATGAACGTGAGATACGGTGCTTCCAAATGCTTGGACAGCTGTGTGTCCAAAACCTCGAAGCGTGGCGTAAAACTCCAAAACACAGAGGTGAAACGCCATTTCTGGCTGCGCAGGTGTTGCTGCAAGCAAATGATGCCTCATAAGATATACTGGTTCATACGGATAGCATTTTTTGCAATGTATGAGCGTTTTCTTTAGTATATCTACATATCGGAACGATTATTTAGTTGTGATGAATAGATAATGTCGAGCATATACTGATCATATTCACTCTGTACCAGTCATGTATACGCAATCAACATTACGTGTCACCATCTTAGGGTTGGCACATCCTTTACATGGTTCCACCATGGTATTGAGGTTTCTTGCTTTGTACTGTGGACCTTCGCCCTCAAAACAGATAATATAAGCTTATATAAGCTTTGGCATTAGTTCGCCCCAGGCTTCATTGGCTCTCTCTACGCGGCCTTGATTGGTACGTGGGGGTGGCGAAGTGAGAGGAATATTCAAGTCACTGTCGTCATAACCGTCATACTCCTCTGCATAATCATCCCACGCACTTGCTAAACGACATTACTGTTAATTTTAGATGTTACAATGGATGGTATAAACATGCATCATACCATCTTGACTTGTCGTAGCTATAGAAGAGGTCTCAGTGCGAGGTCGTTTTTCAGCGCTCGCATATGCAGTTTGCACATCGTCTAGTTGTGCGAGTCACTTTCTCACCGGAACAAGAACTGGCTTCCCTTTCTTAAACACTGCGTCACCGTTTTTGTTTCTTTTCTGCTCGTACCTAGTGCTGAAATTCTCGGGTCGGATTTCATGATCCTTATATCTGATAGTATATTGGGATCTTTTAGGTGTCATTGCGATAAGGGAAGAGGATCAGATGATAAAAAAGTAAAAAGTGGAAAAGAAGCAAGAAAAAGGGTGTAGCATACAGTTTTCTGACAAGCTATTTAAAGGCTGAGAGGAACAAAAAACTCATTTATTCTGTATCATCTACCTCGTGAATCAATAACTTATTCTTTTCATCTCTCTCACAAAACTCAATTGCTAATTGACCTACAAACTTACCATCTCCGAGCAGTTTGACAACTTCGTCCTTTAGCCCTTTATGAAGTTGGGCTAATTGACCATCCCGTAATAAAACCGGTCTGAGAGCATTCGGATGGTACTGGCCTTTTTCATCCTTTCCGAAATCGAACCCAACCAATCGAAGCCGCTTTTTCTCGTTGTAATAATGGGCGGTAAGCCCGGCATCATCGGCAGTCCGCTTGAGTTTCCTTTTACGTCTTTTCCTCTAAAAAATGTTAAATGCTCACCACATCAATAAGGGACTGATGTTTTAACAATTCTATTTCGCATCATTATGCTAACACTCTCCATCGTGGCATTTGAGCAACGGCCAGATTTGGCGCTTCTTGCACCAATCTCATGTCTCATCGACTCTATATCAACAATGACAGCATCAAAATAAAACATCACTGCTTGCAAACAGGTGCATATCTTACTGGAACGTTCTTCATGCTCTATATAGAAGTATAATGGACTTCAGTGAGTATTATTTACACAGGTGGGGATTGTTCTGATATTCACCTCTACATTTGGATTGAAACGTTGAGAACATAGCGCCTATCGCCAAGGCGTGACGTGAAGCACCTAGAAACAGAGTAAAGTTCATTGTATGCTTAGAATAATCACATCTTTATATACCTGAATTATGGTACGCCATTTCGTTGTCCCAGTCTTCTGGATGATCGCTATTGAGTGTTACAGCTGCGTCCGTATCGAGCTTCTCCTTCATTTGGTGCAGCAATGCACAAAGTTCATCCTTTAACGATTTCGCCAGTTTTGCACAGTCATCAGGATTACTCGGCTTCTCTGATCTTTTTTGGTTTTCATCCTTCACCCTCTGCTGAAGATATGCTTTCGCGCCCTCACTACAGTACTTGAAGTGATCCTTTGAAGTTTGATCCTTGGTGTTGGTACACTCAAAGTTTGCTGGAAGTCCCAACTCTATGATTGTAGTAAAAACTATTATAACAATGCATGGTGTCAGCATATCTTTACTGACCGCTTTTTTCGTCAGGAGTTCCCCTCGAAGCCCAACACCACGAAAATATTCCACTCAGAGAGCTCCCTTTCGAAAATCTTATATGGAAGAGTAGTTAAATGGTCAAAGTGGTTCGAAGATTCAGTCGTTGACATTGTGAGATGAGTGCCAATATGTTCTGCGTAAGTCAGTGCTAAATAGAGGGAAGAGAGTAGTGCAAAGCTAATTGAAAGTTAGCAAAATTAGTGATTAACGCTGGTTCTAAAAACTGTTGACTTTTGCAAATAAAAGGATTTAGTGGGCAATTTTTAGCAGGGTAATCTGCGTGCATGCAGTGGTGCGTTGATAGAGTAAGCTCGCTGTAGGCAAAGTCCCATGGAAAATCTGGAAAAAATGTTCCTGGTGGTATCTCGATTAAATAATATTTCATTCTGGTTATTACCACCTTCTTTGATTCTTTTAGTAGCTAGTGCTTTCGTAGAAAATGGAGCAGGTACAATAACTGAATATGTAATGAATATTAAAGAATTAACAGACATCTTATTATTAAATAATAATATTGATATTAGTTTATAGTGCCCGCCACCTAGAAATGTAAATTTTTGGACCAATTTTCAATGTTTTATTTCAACTAGTTTCACTTATACAACCTACTTTTTTGGCTTCATAGAACGATAGAGAGAGGCTCAAAGAATAATTCTATGAAACGTTTTTGTATACATACGAGCAAAAAAAATTGAGAAATAAAGTGTTGAAGCTGGTGTCGATTTCAAAATTTAGCAGAGGATTTTGTCAGAATGTCCACCCTACTATACACTATAGTATATGACATTGAATCGGCGATTTCTATATTAAGAAGGTAGTGTAACATTAGTGGTAAGCATTGGTGCAATATATACCTCAGCCTTCCAATCAACATTGACTGTAATGGTGCCAGGTAAATTATAAGTAGGATGACAGTTTTATTGTTCCTTCTTTTTCCAAAACATTCTATACAATGGGGAGACTCAACAAGTACCAGAAGAACCTTAAAATTGTGCAAGATTCAAAGAACACAATTAAGTAAATCTCTTGTGCGTTCAAAGAGAACTGTCAGTTTCTAATAATCATATAAGAAGAATCATGCGAGAGTAGTTGTTTATTTAAGTCATCCTCTGAGAAAGGACTCACTAGATGAAAAGCAGAAAAAATATAAGTCCCACTATCGATGAATAAATATCACTTAAATAAAAATGGAAATTTATAAAGGCAGAATCTTAAATTTTTGAAATATCCACTTGTTGTTTCTAGGTAGCGGGCACCATAGCAGTAATGTTGTTTAGATTAAAAAGAAATAGTAATATCAATTTAAACTTTAAAAAATTATTAAGCTCTATTTTAAAATTCTTAAAATATTTTTCTTTTGTATTTATTATTTTATCATTTACTTTAGTTTTTAAATATATTTGTTTAAATTATTATTCTGATAGTTTATCTATTGTATATTGTGCTGGAAATGATGAAAATAATATTGATCAAGAAAAGGTAAATTCTCTTGCAAATGTTTTAACTCAAATTCTTATAGAAGGATTAAAAGTACAAGTTGGTCTTGATCCTTCGACAACTAATCTTGCAGCTTATGGAGCTGCAGCTGCATCTGGTTCTGTTTCAGTTTATGCTGCTATTAAAGCAGCAACATTATGAACACACACAACCAAAAATCGGATTCGACCCTTGTTTATCCTCCCTTGAAGCACAAGATGGGTCGGATGCGGGAAAACTAGCTGAAGCATTTGTCGCACATCATAAAACGACAGCAACTGATGCCAAAGGAGTACTAACGTCCTTAAAAGATTCTTTTTTTCAAATCCGGTACAAACGACGTAATCATCTCGCATTACAAGCATACTGTGAAGAACTTTCAACTTTCATTAAAACCACAGCATTTAAGAACGAATTCAAATCCGCCTTTGATTCTGCTCGGCTAAACTGTTTGACAAGACGAAGCGCGTATCAAAATGCCCAACGCCTATCTTTGATCGAAAGTAAACGATATGCTGCTGAACTTGACGCAGAACTAGTTGGTACATCATCATCATCATCATCATCGCCAGTAGCAACAACACCAATATCAGTATCAAGTTCTGAGCTCACGAGAAAGGTAACTTACTAATTAAATGAAAGCGTATATAACGACATTTCGATATTCTAATGTAACTATTTTAGCGTGAACATGATAATCTTTATGCTGACGACGCAACAGAGCATCCCGATCATCCTTCAATTGGAACAGTGATCAAGAGACGTGCGATCGATCTTCATGACACTTATCAACAAGGCACAAAATTATCAGAAGCAGATCGTAAACTGATGAGGTAGGATTAACTTTACTATTTATTTGCAAATACGTTTAGAACTCATATACTAATCATAGCATATTTTTGTATAGCTCTGGTTTATCTTCGATCCTTGACCTTGTCGATCAATCAAATACTGGTCAAGCTAAATGGTTTGCTGAGCACGCCCTTGATACAACATCTGACTTATTACTGTCGAAACTTCAAGTAGCAAGTTATAGAATGCCATTGGAAGTCACGAAAAATTGGAAATTGGTATCTGCTGTATGTCAAATATCTTTTTTTTTGTTTATATAAATATATCATTACAACCTTTGTTAACTGTCATTTATATATTTATATACGTGTAGCTGGCCAAAAACAACAACGATCTTACGGCTGCAAGAAGTTTTTTGGCAAAATGGAAAAGCGGAACAAAGAATAATCATTTATACAAGATTATCAGTGTCATGGAAGTTTTGTATGTGTTAATACTACTTTCTGTGCGTTTGTTGAGCTGATAACTAAGTTCTGAATTGATAAAATATTTTTGATCTCTACATAGTATCGACGTGTTTGACAAGCAGCATTCTTATTTCACCAGCACTTTAGTATCACGTTGGACAGAATATGACTATTTATTGAAAATATGGGGCCCGATCATTGAAGCAATCTTGTCAATAAATGGCGTAGTCCGACTCAAAGGTACATTACCGTAAACTGAAAATAGGAACCGTCATTTGGTTAACTGATCACTGATTTTATTGCTAGTAGGGAAAGCATTAATCCTATTAGCACCACGAGTAAAGGCGAGCTGTACGACGCTGATAAAATTCGCGCATTCAAGATCGACTTACGTTTCATATACGATACTGAAAAGGATGAATATGATGTTGGTGCTGGGGAAGCATCGATGGAACCAGCAGCACCGAAACTTTTTCATGATCTGGGAAAGCTCTTACGTGAAGGGAAGGACGTTCTTGATGGCATTCTGGGTTGTACATTGGAGGACGCTACGGCAGAGAGGGCGAGCGGTTGGATCATTCAGATTTGTGGTCTTCAAGGCCAAATCTCGTCACTGCATTTAATACGAAAGGGACTTTATGTTGCGATACCCTTATGGTGCAAGCACCTTATAATCCGCAAATTTTTGGGTAATCTTTGAATCCCTACTACTTTTTAATGTCACCTTAAAATAAAAAAAGAAGCGGCTACTTATGTTTTTTAGACCTTTAATAACAATATTTGTGGATTAGATTTGAGTTCTTGCTTCTTTAAAAAAAGTTATAGGCTTCTGAAGTTGGTCACTTCTGGCTGAGGGATAGCAAATTGAAACATATAGGATTATACTTAAGCAAGCGGAAATCAAGTTTAGCCTGATGGGTAAAATATTTAAGCGGTCCAAAGCCACTTACGACTGGCTACTAACTTAGGTTCATGTTTGCTTTGCCTTCTCATGCATATTCCACACAATTTATCCACTATACCTCGTCCTAAAGATCAAAAGAAAGCTGCTAAAAAGCACAATTGAACAGAAATCGGTAACTTCGTCACTATAATGGAGCAATTGCAGCTGCATATGAGGAATGTGCGACAACTCCTCTGCTGGCCTTCAGAAACACCTTCCTATTGCTTTAGACTAAGCTTTTCCCCCAATAACCCCATAAAGATTCATAGATATTACAAAAGATGGTTTTATTATATAGAAGCATATAAGTAAAGGGAGAGGATGCCTGGGCAGAAGATGAAGAAGTGAGGATATTCATAACCAAAATTGCAAGCTCCCATCAGAAAGTAGGCATTGATGATCAAAAACTACCATATATAGAAGCGGAATCTGAAAACTCGAAATTGAAACAAATTTCAAAATTGTGGATTATAAGGTGTGTGCACCATACATAACCCGCATATCCATTAGGATCATCGAGGGAGGGAAAGGTATGTAGTGAAAGTTTGGGTTCTGTTTGTCGAGCATGTCGTGTTGGTCTGGATATGTTGACGATGCACAAGTGAATCGAGGTATTGGAGATGCAGCTTGACGTAGCGTAGTGTGTAGAAATCTCGAAGAGTTGCTTGAACTTGGTTGATGCCCATTCCACTTTGCACGGCAGTACGAAGTAGATCACCCACCAGTTTTGACACTGCACTACGATGGGTACTATTAGCAGGAAGCTCTGCTTACAAGTGCTCGGGCAGCTGACGAAGTAGTATGTGGTCGTCGTGCGCGTTCATGATAACATTGCAAGCCTTGTTGCTGCAGCGGTATCTCAGAGACATTAAATAGAAGCATCTTCTATAAAGTTAGTGCTTTTCTTAGCAATATAAATGTTGTACTGATACCTATCAATATCTACAACGCGTCGAGCATAAGGATCCTTGTTAAATCCTTTGGACTGCAATTCGGCTTTAGCTTCACAAGTGCATATCAATGGCTTTGATACAAAATGATGTGGAAGCCAGAGAAAAATGCAAGGTAAATAGAGCTTTTTGGGATTTGCTGTGTGGTGTCGTATATAAACAAATAAGTACAGTGATACAGAAAGACGTTCTTTATTATGAGAAGGTGAAAGAAGAACTAACGAATAACGATTACTATCATAACGTCTTATTTTGTGTAAGAGTTTCGAATCCCGTTAAATAGGGTAGATAATATAAGAAGAGTAAATAAATCTGGATGAAATGCTATATTTTAAGCAGAAATGATGAAGTTGGGGTGTGGGAGTTCAACAACCAGGAATTATACGTCTAGAACCACAAAAGATGATCCTTTTACTAGGATAAGGAAAAAGGTAAAGTTAAGTGAAAGAGAAGCTAAAGAACTGGACTGAACTCTTTATTATCGAATCAACTAACTGTCTATTTATAGTAATTCTAATGCATTATGGTACCCGCCACCTAGAAATGTAAATTTTTGGACCAATTTTCAATGTTTTATTTCAACTAGTTTCACTTATACAACCTACTTTTTTGGCTTCATAGAACGATAGAGAGAGGCTCAAAGAATAATTCTATGAAACGTTTTTGTATACATACGAGCAAAAAAAATTGAGAAATAAAGTGTTGAAGTTGGTGTCGATTTCAAAATTTAGCAGAGGATTTTGTCAGAATGTCCACCCTACTATACACTATAGTATATGACATTGAATCGGCGATTTTTATATTAAGAAGGTAGTGTAACATTAGTGGTAAGCATTTGTGCAATATATACCTCAGCCTTCCAATCAACATTGACTGTAATGGTGCCAGGTAAATTATAAGTAGGATGACAGTTTTATTGTTCCTTCTTTTTCCAAAACATTCTATACAATGGGGAGACTCAACAAGTACTAGAAGAACCTTAAAATTGTGCAAGAGTCAAAGAACACAATTAAGTAAATTTCTTGTGCGTTCAAAGAGAACTGTTAGTTTCTAATAATCATGTAAGAAGAATCATGCGAGAGTAGTTTGTTTATTTAAGTCATCCTCTGAGAAAGGACTCACTGGATGAAAAGCAGAAAAAATATATGTCCCACTAGCAAATTTTCGATGAATAAATATCACTTAACTAAAAATGGAAGTTTATAAAGGCGGAATCTTAAATTTTTGAAATGTCCACTTGTTGTTTCTAGGTGGCAGGCACCATAGCAATAACTAATCTAATTAGTTCGTTCGCCACTGCGCAAAATACAGAAGAATCAGGTAGTACTGGATTACTCTATTCCTTTTCAACTTGAAGTAGTTGCTCGCTCTGCTCTATCCTTAATACCCAAGCTCATCGACATAGCAGCAAACGATTAATCTTCACTCAAATTTATAGACAGTTTTTCTTATATGTATCGTTTTCATATTCACTCATTCATTACCTCCCTCTTTTATTCGTGGCTCGCCCCTTGCCTAGCTACGCGTGACCGCTTAATAAAAATCGGCTATATTTAGGGCAGATCTATTTGCACCCCCCTCATGCACCCCCCCAGTCACTGCCCAGCCCAGATTTTTAATTTGCACCCCCCTCCTACTGGAACACCTTTATTATGCAGAGAAGGAGTTATGAAAAAATCATTGCTATTTTTGACGAGTCTTTTTCATTCATAAAGCCCGTACTATTAATCATTCCAAGCAACGACAGGAACATTCAAGACACTCATCGAGTGATTCCTTTTAAAAACAGCTCTAAAATAGGCCGTGTGTGGGCGGGTAGTTAATTTTTATGCAACGAGACTAATAGTCTTAGCAACGATTTCAACTGGGATGAACAAAAGGAAAATTGTTTTGCTTTCTTTTGCTTAAAAGGTTCATAGTTGACAAGACTAGGATAAATGTGCAAGTATTCAATGATTTCATCGTGGCTGACAAAGAGGCAATCGGAAGTCACTATGTAAAGTCTAGAGATGGTAAATTAACAAAAGAAACCTGATTCCTGTTTATTTTTTCATACACTTTGGCTTCTTTGGCTAGTATTACGGCGGCTCCCTTGCAGACTAATAAACATTGTGTTGGACGAAAAAAAGTAGCCAGAGTGGTGTGATTTGAAGGCGATTGACTATTGTGTGGGTGGGCTTTATATGTTCGCTGGTGCAGTAACAGACTATGTGTGAAGAGGAGCATCTTTTATGTGATCGTCGTTTCTCATTTTTTCATCTTAAAATGACGAAGCAAATATCGATGATGAAACTGATGACTGCAACTGGTATTAAATGTCATTACACTCGAAACATTGTGTACACACTAAATACTGTACATTTGACGAACTATGCGAGTGTATCTCTGTTTTTCCCTTGGCTATTACCTAGATGGCAAGATGAACTCCAACATTGAACAGACACCATATGGATGGTCCGACATATTTAAGGAACTAAAGAGTCTAGTAGAATGCGCAAGGGATTAATCTTTTTTGCATACACACACACGCTGGCAGACTACTGCTCATGCTGATATGGTGCAACCGATTTTAAATAGACAAAATTTTTAGATTTTTTTGGAATCTATCTAGTCAATGGGAACAAAAAAAATCAAAAAACCAATTCACAAGTCTAATAGAGTGACATATGTAGTTTAAAACTTGTGTTTTAGATTCTTTTTAAAAGTAGATCTCGAGGAGCAGATAGCATTTGAAGTTGGGGACTTTTGGGGACTTTAAGCAGGGAAGGCTGAAATTTTGTTATATTTTCAAAGACCGTTAAGCCGTTTGTGTCACCTAAAATATCAGCAATGTTACACAAGCTTCATGGTATTCTGATATACATAGCTAATTATATTCATGATTGTTCCTTGTTCTTCCTCTGCCTTCTTTTGTATCATTTATCATGCCTAAACGTAAAGGAAAAGCTACTGCTGCCATGAAAAAGGCGCGCTTAAATGGAAAATTTGCTCCTGAGATTAGATTATATATGCTGTACTACACATCATCATTTGCTGAATTAGATATATTCATTATATATAGAGTGTCGTTACTATCGTAGCTACAGTACCTGATGTACCTGAACCCGAAAGTGTCCCAGCTATGGCTGCAGAAAATACCATCGAAGAGGTTAATCAGCTGGATGACGTGCAGTCATCCATTTTGACCTATGGAGAAGATGTCGACGATTGGATGCTGTGTGGCTTTTCAGAAGATGAACTGAAGGCAATTTTGTGGCGTAGTCTTCTCTCTTGGAAGCCCAACAGTGACAGCTATCTTAGAAGATCGCATAGGAGAGGTGCATTGAGAGAAATACAAACCATGATAGTTTAAATGCTGATATAAGCAAAATTTGTATATAGGCACTTCGGTTATGTCAGTCTGGCGAAAGGAAAAAGATGATAAGGAAACCAAAAAAATCGCAAAAACGTGTCATTGGATGACGGACTTCTACTCTCTTACTGCTACTACAACACCTTCAGTTGCTGGCGATAGCTCCGACTCCACACCGGATCCAACAATCATTGCGGCGCCAACATTGTCAAAAAGTCAGCAAGAACTCGAGCTAATTGTCGAACATATGCCAGCTCTATCAAAAAAAATTAAGCGCGTCTCTAATTCCAAGTCGGAAATAGGTGGTTTGAAAGCCTATGAATCCCTTCGCTTATTAAGTATTTCCAAGTACTTTGAGTGCCGCCAAAATGGCATGAAGAAAGGTGAAGCATGCATGTAAGTAGCAACGACGCTTTGGCAAGGTGGCTCTATTTACTGCAGCCGTGCAATTGGCCATTGGACAAAGACGTATCTCGCTTTGAACGGTCACTTACCATCGCACCGTCAAGGAAAGCATGCCAAGCGCAAATCATTTTTGAGCGACGAGGATGTGAAAAAAGCATGTATTGCTTTCTGGAAGAAGACCAAGCCAGAGCTGCGCTCAGCTGCTTTGTTGAAAAGTGAGCTGCAAAATCGAATAATTCCAGAAACACTTGGAGTACAAGGATCTGTAGCTGAAGATACGATTTTGAACCATTTGCATGCATGGGGCTACAGATATAAGCGCTACACGAAAAATGTGAGTAGAAGGAATAGGCAGCAATGATGATGTATAATTACGTCAAATATTGACTAATCCTTATAATCCCATAATAAGATCTACTATGACGGACATGAAAGACCTGACGTTGTAGTATACCGCATTGAATGGGCAAAAAGAATGTTGGATTACCGAAAGCTGATGATTCAGTATACAGGTGATGATATGGAATAAGAGATCATGCCAGATCTAACAAACGGACGTCTCCGCCATGTCCTCGTCACTCACGATGAATCCACCTTCTATTCAAATGATGCCAAGGCTGATATTTGGGTTGAAGAAGGGGATACGGTGCTGCGAAAAAAGGGTTTAGGAGGCTCGATCATGGTCAGCGATTTTCTTTGCGAGTGCTATGGTCCAATGCGCCTTGATCCTGGATTTGCCGAACAGCACAATATTCCATTTGAAGCCCGAGAATATTTCAAGGCCAGTAAAAATAACGAAGGATATTGGAAGAATGAGCATATGCTCGAACAGTTAACAAAAAAGGCATTGCCGATTTTCGAGGCACTCCACCCTAGTTGCATTGGTATGTCATGCAGAAGGAAGTTATCTTCAAAATGACTTAAATGTATGCAATTGTTAGGTGTCTTCTGTTTTGACCAAAGCTCAAACCACAATGCCTATGCTGCAAACGCCTTGCGCCCAAGCCGGATGATCCTCAAGGACCAAAAGGTAGAAGACTTGAAGTACCCATTCAAAGCTCAAGGCTACACTTTGAATGAGAATGGATCAGCAAAGCTCTACGACTTTTACTACGAGGACAAGCAGTATACAAGACGCCGTAACGGAGCCCGCTATAAGCAAAGATACTTCAAAGGGATTCAAACAGTAAGATTAAACCATCACAATTTTTCATAAAGTGGGTAAGTACTCAGAACATATACTCTACAAAACATGATATTATAGATTTTGAAAGAAAGGGGCAAATGGCCTGAAGGTGGAGTACGTGCAAGTTGTGGCGCTGAATCAGCAACTAATATTCAATGTTGTGCTCGCCATATTCTTGCAAACGAGCCTGATTTTAAAAATCAGAAATCCGCTCTAGAGGAAGCTGTGAAAAAAAGACATCACAAGTTTGAGCTCTATCCAAAATTCCATTACGAGACAAACTTCATAGAATGCTATTGGGGCAGAGCAAAGCGTGAAGCACGTTTGCAGTGCGACTATTCTTATAGATTGCTTGAGAGAGTTAAACATAAATCTGATGATTACAAAAAATTCTTAATTTTTTTATCATCTATAATATTTATATAGTTAATATAAATAATTTAAAACAAATTGTTTTCTTTTTCTATTCTTCCTCCTTCTCCTCCTCAAAATAAATAACAATAACAATAATAACAACAAACCCTTAATAGGCTTTGTATGTTCTTATTTATATATATTAAAAAATAATTAAAATCGTTGATTTTTATGTTTTTTTTCTTTCGGAAAAACATAATTTGTATTACAAATAATTGTTTTTTAATTCAGCTACATTGAAAAAATTTAAAAAAAGTTAAAATATATATATAAAAAGTAAAATTATAATTTCAAATTAAACTTTATATTAAAAATAATAGAAAAAATAAGAACATATCAATGTTGTTGTTTGTTGTTGTTTATTGTTGTTTATGACATAATTAATATTTAAATAAATATAAAAAGATATATACAATTTTAATAATCTAGTGATTGATAAAAAATTAAGAAATTTTTGTAATCACTAAATTATTGATTAAACCTCTGAGCGACGTCTTCCAGGAATTCTAAATTCTGTTTCTTTGCCAATGATCTGGCGCTTCGCTGCCAAATCATAGCTTTATATAGAGATTTATGCTAGAGGGAATGTTGATGGCCGCGAAGTAGATGAGCTTTACAAAAAGCAAAAACTGTCTTCACCTCCATTGTCGCCCTAGTCGCATGTAATAATTTCCTTTTATAGTAGCGGGATTTCAAATCAAAATTTTGTTATAAATTTTCATTTTTGTCTATTTAAAATCGGTTGCACCATAAAAAAGGGATTGTAAACAAAAATTAGAAAAATAATAAAGGAAATGGTATCATCAGACTATCCATCCTATTGAATGAACTAGTACTTTGCAGCCTCATGGGTTCACCTATTCCTAGTCAATGTATTTATCTGTATAAACATGTGTATATCGGATTAATTATATGAATATCAAAAAAAGAGAGAGGAAGAAAAGTAAAGGAAGAGAAGAGAGAGAAAAGAAAGAGTGGGCAAGAAGAGACATTGTGCTACTAAAAATGATAAGGTCCAGTTAGGTCAACTGGCTCAGAATCAGAGTGTTCTGTTTCAGATCTAGATGAAAGAGAATGTGCATTTAAGTTTTCTGGAAGGGGAATATTCACATGGATCATGCTTTCGAATGCGTCTTGGAATAAGGGATACCATTGATCACCTCGGATTCTGGCACCACCATCTTTGCGGCCTTTAGAACATCGTAAACACACGTCGTCGTCCAAGATTCACACATAAAAGCAACCGCCATCCCTTAACATGCACCATGAAGAGCAGTGCACGCTTAAGACAAACGACATACTAAACCCTGCTGCATGTCCAAAGTAACCATTGCTCAAACGATTATGCTATGGGAACATAACCATACGGTCTTAATGAGGCAGCTACAGCGGCATCAGCCCATAGGACTTACATAGATTGTGAATACGTGTACACAGTGAAAAGAAAAAAATCATGGCTCCCAAAAAACAATGACGTAAAAACGTAAAAATTAAAAATAATCTCCGAAAAGAATGGTTCAGCTTCCTTTAGGTAACCTAATTTGGAAACGTGACCAATTTTTAAAAACCTTGGCTTGTTTTGTGAGTTTTCCTACCCGTTTTCAATTTTTCACTGAAACGGATTCGGTAAATACGTTTTTCCGAAACGAATGTATATTTACCCGGTGATATCCATACGTCTGTTGTTGTATATTTATGCTTTTTTTTGTCGATGTCTTCCCTCGGTTAAAATCATCCTTTGTTATTACTGATCCGTTTATTTCTCACCCATACAAATACTATATATGTTCGTGTTCGAATATGTAATTGTGGTATTGTTGAAATGATGTCCAACTTAAGTATATGATGTTTGATAATATATATGTATATATTTGGGCCGTAAGAATAAGGAATTGTGAGTAATATATAGAAAAAATGAGATAGGAAGTTAAAAAAAATGTAAGGGAATTAAAGGAAGATAACGGGTGTACCGATGATCATTAGAGTATGTTCTTCTTCTTCGTGCGTTTCTATGACGACTCTATCGATAAATAGTTGTCAATATCGTTACGATCGACAGCTCCTCAAATAACGCTGCGTTGCCGTTCTAGCAGCATAGAAGTGTAATAATCAATGCTTTCTAAAAAGCGACGACGAGCTTCGGAAATTGCTTGTTCAGCAGCACTTAGTCTTGCCCATTCATCTTCTTCATCGTCATCGAAGAAAAGAATGGTAGTGGTGGGAAGCGTGTTTGAAGTAGAAGGTGGAGGATCAGATGAAGATGAAGAAGAGCTTGGTTGCAAGGCCGATGTTAGAGACGTAGCGGCGACTGGGCTTGGTAACGATGGCGAAGGTGGTAAGAGTGCCTCGATGGTTGGTGGGAGATACAGAGATATGTATGGATAAAGATGACACTTGTAATCGTCAAATGAGTCAATTGTCTCCTTTTTACTAATGCATAAGAAAATTAAACCTACTTCTTTGAGCTGCACAAACGGAGGTGTATTGCTACGACATATATAATAGTTGAAGCGCTCCAAAAGTTGAACGAACATTGCGGTTGGCAGCGTAGTATTGACTGATCAAATGCTTGCAAAGCATGTATCGATTGGTGGTAAAAGATTGGCATCCACACGTCCAAGTATCGAGTGACACGTAGTAATGAGTGTTTGCATCAAGTCGTTGGGTTCCACCACGGTTTTTGACACGTTTCCACTCCCGTACGAATGCTGTTTCCCAATCCATAACTAATCTTCGCAAGAAAATTGGCATGCACTACTGACATCTGCTGTTCGATGATTGTCCACACGAGGAAGTCCAAACGTGGTCTGTTCTTATCGCCAAGGAAGTCTTTCTTGGGAACTTTCCATTGAGCTTCAATCATTATAGTTGTTCTGCCCATCGGAATAGCATCGGGAAGACTGCTTCATGCCCATCTCACCCACCAAACAGGAGCATACCATCTGCTGTACTATTAGACCCAAGCATCTGGCAAATCACGCTCCACGCACAGGTTATACATCTCTCCGACGGCCTGCAAATGTAGCTGCGCTGCTGTGCGGTGACCAACTATGAACATGTGTTAATATCTTTAGTAGCTCTTAAATGATGTATCGGCCTACATTTGATGTTTAAGCCTACCTCCTTCAAGTGGGATCAGCGGATGCCATTTATGATGCTACGCATCATATCTATTATCGCAGTCCGGTCAGCGACATCATCGCAGATTTTCCCTTTCTGTCTTGTGGAGGTTGAAAATGCATGCTAATGAAAGGAAACTTGAGCAACGCATCTCTGGGGATGTATCTTCTTTCATGTAGCTTTTCCTCCGCAAGTTTCTTCTTCACAGAGCGGACAAGATGCCAGGAGCACAGGCGAAGAACACTGCGATTACTCCAGACCGTCTCGATTGCATTTATCTGACCCCAATTTTTTGTCGGTGAACATGAGTCTTGGATGGAGACCAGCTTGTTTTAAACAAGTGAAATACTCGGCAAGCACACCTGTGCGAGCAGTTGTTTCATCATTGCGTACTACGCCACCCACATTAGCACGTTGATTGTTAGGCGTAAGCTTTAGCAACAAATACGCGATCAAATAGCCAACACCATTAACTGTTGCAACTACGGCAAAAAGCTCGTATCCTTCTCTATTTGTCGAATCGACATGGAATTCTTCTGCCAGTTGACGAGAACCACAAATTACGTCAAACAATGGCATAGTGAGTCCAACGGCAGTGCAGTATGTTTGTTCTGAAATAAAGATCTGTTTATGGTTCATTTATGCGTTATTAATGGATCACCTTATACTTTATTATATCAAGCCCATTTGTACAGCGTCCTAAAATACATGTATAATGATGGTTTTTATATACCAAAGATTCTGAACATACCTTCCGAACACCTTTTCTGCGGCTCTATCGATAATCATATCGGCCGACGTAAAATGGTTCCTGTGCAGGGTGCACTGGTTTGTAACTGCTTTACATGCCCAGTAATAAACCTGAGATTGCAGAACGCGGCCTGCAACATGCGGAAAATGCCGGATCACCCTACGAAACAAGTTTCGAGGTTCCACTTCGAGGGCATGCTCTGCTATGTAATCACAAACATCATGGGGGACTTGGGTCATCTCGGACAAAGGAGCGGCGTTATGTCCGTCACTAGTTCGATGTTGAGATGGGCGTAGTGGTTTTGTCTATCGACCAAGCCTCTTATATGACCACTACAGAAAAAGGTATCCATATGCATATGCAGTCGTTGACGATTGGCTATCAAGACCTGGCCTTGGACATCATAGTCATGGGAGCAGACGTAATGGAAGGACCATCCAAACTTTTTTCTTGGTTCTGTCACATGTTTTTGATAGTATCTGCAACCGTCGATACCTTGGATTTGAGCGCGAATACGTGTCAAGAGTTGCTCGTTCGACAGTGCCGCCATTTCGTCATCAAGTTGGAGATAGACATCAAGGGAATATCCTTCTAAGATCGTCGATCCAACTTTGCAAAGCCCTGTGAGAGGAAATCAGCTCGAGCAGCTCGTCCATCGTAATGAGCAACTGTTCCGAGATCGGCTTGCCGATGTCGCTCTGGCGTTCACGCCAGCTTCTACAAGTACGGTAGTTTTCACGATTGCCAATAAATATTTCTTGTGGTCGAAAACCTTTGCAGTTTGTGCATTTTCACAATGTTGATTCCTGCTGCCTTGCTGATGGAGGACACAATCGATTTTGTTGCTGGATTTGCATATTCATTTTGATTTTTATTATAACAAGGTGAACACTATGACTTTTACCATTTGTGTAACTGATGTCCTTGCTCGGGACAACTATTCACCGAATCCGTTTCCGTGAAAAATTGGGCACTTGAAGTTATTTACTCATACTGTACACACACGTACACACAGCATCCCATGTAGATATATACGACGCATACTTATACCATCCCTTTTCAGTATAGCCCTTTAATATTGCCATGTGTTATTTACATATACAAGAATACGAAATTTCCATCCTATTGTGCATCTTCTCCTTTGCTGTTGGCTGTATTTTGCTCTTGGTATTGCTGGGAATCGCTAGTGATTGATGATGACGTTTTTGGAGTGATGCCTCCATGCTGTGCCAGTTCATCGATGAACGCTTCGTGACGTAGACAATCAGCGACTCGTTCGTAAAGTTCCTGTTGCGAGCTTTCTTCTGCTGATGCCTTGACATCATTGGCCTTGTTTGTAGCGTTATCGTATACTTGTACTATTTGCTTCAAATTTTGCTTCATCCGCCGCAACTCATGTTCCTTCTCGATGATATCGTCTTCAAGTTGCGTGATTGACTGACCCAAAGAGCACAGCCAGGGAGGACTGTTTTGATTATTTGTTAGAGCGCACTTTTCATCTTCAAACTCTTACTTCTTTCACGTAGACATTGCTTACACGTTGTTGACTTTGACGTACTTTTGCTGCTGTGATTGTAGAGGAGACATTCTGTAGTTGTGGTTGTTGTTATTGCTATTGCTAGTGGGACCGTTCTTCTTGGCTGCTCTTGCTCTCTGTCCATGTGTCACGCTTTGCAAGTCATGTAAGAGAAGCGTGTACGTGTCGCTGGCACCTTGAAGTAGCGCAAGAGCTCGCTCACAAACTTCATCTACCATTGTGATTTGTTTGAGTTTTGTTATAAAACTGTCGCAAAACGAGTAGATGAGCAGAAAGACCAAAGAAAAATAAAAAGAGAAACAGGCGCGCATATTAATACCGGCATTATCATCATCTGACTTGGTTTTAATCGTGTTGATTTTGTGGCCGCTTGCCGCACTGTTCGCGTCAATAACAGTGTTGTCTTCGCCTTTGGCACATGGTCTCGTATCCGACGACGACGTCTGCACATCCAAACCAGCGACCATGGCATCATTCACAGTAACTTTGACTTTGTCGCTTTCAGACAAAGAAGGACATTCGATTGTCGATTTATCTATTTCAGGATATAATACAAAAGCAGGTGCATGAGCTTTGATAAGTAAGGATGGCAGCTACAGCATTTGTTTTACACGCCTATTGTTGAACTTGCCGAGTTTACCTGCTGCATTAGCGATATCATTGTTGTCAGTGGTTTCTGGTGAGAGGAAACTATCCTCACGAGATGCTTTGGTTTCTGTCGTTTCTACAAAAGGAGGCAAACTTAGTTCAGAAACTATCATCATACTTTATAAAACGCGAAAAATCTTTGAATGACATCTCACCATCATCATCCTCCCTCTTCTTCTTGCCAATATCTACATTGGCTACAGCAGAAATGCAGGTACCATCGGATATTCTCGTAGTCGTAGTGCTGTGGTCAGTTGCAGGAATAGCATCAGTATCGTTACCCGTAAAAGACTCGGTAGAAGTCTTGTGCGGCTGAGTAGTAGAACCAGCATCGACTACTTTACGTATATGATATTCATATGAAACTGTTAAATGATAATGTGCAAGTAATTTAATAATTTTGACGCCAGTCTACAAAGTACCTTGATCAACTGGAGTATTGTGAGCTTCTTTGTCGGACGTACTAGGTGTCTTTTCATTAGTTGATACAGCGCTATGGTGCGCCCCACCACTTTTGTCAGGCTCGTTTGTGGCGTTGTTGTTTCGGTCACTGGTAGCGGGAGAAATAGCTGGATCAGCGGCACCTTCTATACTATCAGTGGGTCCCATCTTTTTATGCTCTTGTTTAGGACTGTTTGTTTCGTTGCCGGTACTAGACACGATAGCCGATGTGAGGGTGGAAGAAGGGAGTGATGGATTGCTCGTTGGTGTCGAAGCGGTGCAACTTAACGATACTCCAGCGGTCTTTGTGAACGATTTAAATGACGCAGTAGCTTCTGATATAATAATATGTGAAAGCAGAAAAGGAGGTGAGAGATATACTTCATCGGTCATTAAAGCTGGTCAATGCATGATAAATTTACCTGATTTCTGTTGTCGCTGATTTGGCTGTGGGTTCGCTGAAGCAGTCTTGGAGGTTTTGTTAGAGCTACTAGCTTTATTATCTGCGTGGGTATGAGGTGTGACGATAACTTTTGCAAATGAGAATCCTTCTTCTGGCTTAGCCAGCGGTGAGTGTCCAGTGTCGCCGTTACCCAATTGCTTCCTTGGTTGCTCCCGTGACTCGGCCATCCTACTTTTGACTTTGCTGGGTCCGAACGGTGACCATACACGCATCATTGTCGTCAGTCCATTATCGTCACCGTTTATAGTCTGCTGATCACTAGTAGCAGGAGCAGGAGCAGCACGAAAACCCCAATGAGGCCCCTGGGTAGCTGCTGTCTTGCCAGTAGTAGGCGATCCAAATGTAAACGCAGGTGCAGCTCGCGATTTATCCTCCTTGTTGTCAACTGCTCTTCGTCTCGCCAGCAGTTGCTTCAGATCGGCAAGATATCTATCAGCCTTCTCCGCCGGTGTATATTCACTTGGGGCACCACCGAATGGAGACGGATTATTTTGAAAAGAGAACGATGTTTCTCCAAAACGCATTGCTGCTGGCTTGTTATCGGAGCTGAAACCAGGCATTGTTGGTTTGCCAAATGTCGGTACGGCAGTTACTATGGATGAGGAGGGCGAACGAGCACCAGGTTGTATTTCAAGGTTTTTGAACGACGGTAACGGTTTTTGTGTGCCACGTTGCTGTTGCTGTTGTTGATCAATTGCGTAGATGAACGGATTCTTTGCTAACAGGGGTCCGGCGAAATCAAAGCCTGTTCGTCCCGCTGGTGGAGAAGGTATATCTTGATACAAGGTTTTGACGCGCACCATGCCACTATATATCGAGAAAACCGTTTTGCTGACATCTTCATCATCGCCGCCACTTTGAATGTGAAATCCCTTAAGCATGCCTTCATTGGTCATATAGTACAATACTGGAGTTATTTGGTCATACGACGTCGGCCCAAACACTGATGACGTTGTGCTGTAATCGACCATCATGCCCACTGGATATACCATGTCGAACACGTTTGCATGTTTGTAGAGTTGCTCTTCCCGATATGCTCTCGTTGCCGCCTTGACGATCGCTGGTTGCTGACGATGCTGTGTTCTCCCATTATGATGGTTGCTGTGGCTGTTTTCCCGATAGTGAAAATGACTCGAATATCCAGGACATTCCCACGTCGCCCAATTCCCACTTTTGTCTTGACCTACGACCATGATACTATGGGAAAATGTACTGGCAACGATGATAGCGCATTTGACTTCGTCGCTGAAATCATGGATCACGTGAAGATAGAAATTTTGTTCCTCGTGCAACTTGGTTTTCCGCGTATAATCTGCTCCGTGGTGGCAACGATCACTACAAGCTGTCGCCATGGGTGCCACATCGCCGAGTATCACGTAGTTGACGGATTCTCTCGGCGTCTTTGGTCGCTTGACAATACGTGCCTCATTGCCGCTCTCATTTGTATAAATAACAAAGAGAGTATATTTATCCACCCAAACCACTTTGTTTACTATAGTTTCAGCATGTACACACCCGATTGTTAATTTTTGACAATTTCCTCCTCTTCATTGATAAATTATATATGAATCTGCCATTTTTGCTTCTCTCTCTCGACACATATATGAGCATATCCACGACTTACCATACCGTGATAACTCGTCTTTGCTGTGTGGTGATGGTATTTCATACTTTTTGAGTCCGAATATCGAATAAAAATGCAAGGATCCATCCGATAACCCACAAACAAAATGTTGCGCATGAGCACTCCTAGTATTGTCATCATCATTGGCCATAGTAAAAGACGATGGAGAGGTCTGAAAAGTGGGAGACCAGCACATGGATGTGACATTTTTATGTAAAACAGCTGCCTTGATGAACCCAGTATGCAAGTTGATGATACAACACGTATCCCAAATTTTTGAATTTGGACTTTTGATCAGCACAGTCGCCAGCTCTCCCCCTTTTGTATCTGGGCATATTTGGAAGTCCAGGATGTCGTTGCCGATATGAAACGACCACTTTGGCTCAACCTTGGCTTTCTAGGATGTTTTATTATGAACGTCAGTATATTCTGTTTATTCGCAACCACCAGGTTATTTTCTACCTAATAGATATCTCCATCATTCATTTTGCCGCTCCATATATGCTTACCTTATACAGAATATCCCTTACATTATAAACCACCGTTTTGCCTCCCGACAGACAAGCAATTACGCGTAGCTCGTCGCCAGACAGTCGCAAATGCTGTACCGAGAGTTTGTGTGGAACATTGATTACGGACTTCATTTGTCGTACTGTAGTTTCTGGATTTGACGCACGTAAAAGCTGGCGAAGACGCACCGTTTCTCCCAAAATGAACCCTAGATAATTTTTCCATACATATTCTGTTTAGCTTCCATGTACTTGATAATTGGGTTGTTAAGCTTCTATCGAGCATATGTGTATACACTATCTACTTTATTTGTCAACCACATTTAACTTATTACCATCGGTCGTAGCCGCCACAAAGTAGCCATACTTGTGCGAGCAAGCCAAAAGGGATACAGGAGTAGGATATTCGCTTCGAAACAGGCCAGTCGTGCCGACAGGAATTTGAGTGTCGTTGAATGTGAGACTTTTGAAATTGACACGCTAGAGTGCATCGCAGGCCAAAAAAAAAAAGATTAGACGTGTTGCCGAGCAATCGGTTGTGTCATTTTCCCTTTTGACTCTGCATATGAATGAACACGGTTCAGATTATTACATTGGTTTGCTTAATGTTTGCGACACTTTTATTTTCTGGCGTGGTGTTTGCTGATTTAGCTGGTCGTTTGTATGTACGTGTCATGTGCGAAAAGTAAAAGTGCGAAGGAGAAAGAGACAGAGAAAAAGAAAAGTGCGTATTTGCTGCGCAGTAAACGGCATCAAAGCGTGGACCTAAGCACACATTTTTTTTTTGGCAAATCTGTAAAACAAGCAAGCCACACTAGCTTCAAGGTCATGCTCTGCAATGGCAGCAAGTCAACAGCAGCAATTCCTCCTTCCTCTGCTCATGTTAACTTTACTACAACCATTTTTTCATTCATATTATCATGATCATTCCTTGATGTATAATATATCACAAAACAAAGGTACGTGCAGTAATCTAGTAATTAATCAATTCGGAAACGGTCCGATTCCGACGGACAGTAGATTTTCGAGAACCGATTAAACTTAAGTTCGGTTTGCTTTTCTGCTGAAGGTTTGAACATCATTTTCCTACAATATGATTACTATTACTTGCCTCTTAACCATTCTTTTTTTTTTGGGAGGGTCAATAAGTGTCAAGTAAAGTTGATTCTTCTTACCATAACTCTTTTGCAAACCATTCATGGGCAAGCACCGACGGATGGAAACAATCCACGTCGCTAATTTCATAAACCGTCTCATATTAGCATGATTGTCACATAATAGAGCAGAAGCCTTGTAAACACATTTACCTGATCGCTTCAATAGGGAAGCTCAAAATGTCCGTTTTGAGTGGCTGAAATGTAACTGCAAAAGAATCATTGGCCATGTAGCTATCAGCAATCGTTTGTAATCCAACATTATACTGCGGTGTCAATGTTGCCATGACTGTCCTGTTGGCTGGCGTATGCGCGCACTCGCATTCATGATCATGCAGCACAAAGTCCGAAAAAGGAAATGGCTGGCAGTATTCCGGATAGTTCTGTGACTCGACAAAGATCTCGTCCACCCGCATGACGCCCACTTTTTTTTGATAGCATCATCAGCACACATTTACTTGTACTCACAGCACTAACAACGTATTCAATTGTCATTACCTATTTGTAAAAAGACATTGCGGATTGTCAGCCGCACCCGATCAACAGCAGCAGCAACGTTCATGATAAACGGCGGCGGGAGCGACGTTGGTGTGGTGCATGAATGACAGATATCATTGCTTCCAATAAACAGCGTGAGTAGTTTCCAGTCCTGTGGTTTGATTGTGCCAGATACGTAGGCATCATCGAGTTGTTCTAAAAGGTAATCAATTTCGTGATCCAAGTTTGAACTGCGAGCTCCAGATTGAGCTGCATTCAGATAACCGATGTCGGGCTTGTATTGCCCTTTTGGACAAAACTCGTCACCTGGTGGAGAATAGAGACATGGATCTTGGGTCAGTTCAGGGCTAGGGAAGATTGGGACGCCTATTCAATGTATCTTGCTACGTATATAGGTTGAGCTTACCAAAACAAATGGTAAAAAGCTGCGATCCAACGGATGAGCCATATAGGGAGGGAGTATAATAGTGGATAAGATTCGGTAATGTAGTGGCACCAATGTCCTGCACAAAGATAATAGATGATGAGTAGGAGAAGAGCCATGAATTGTTAGCGACGATATTTTGCGGTATAAAGTTTGTATGCAACTGCTCGACTAGAGTGTTAATGAGAGCAACATACCCCACCCATAGCAAACGAGACACCACGATCTTCATTTAGTGTTTTCATGCTAACAAATCGATCATTCTGAAGTCCCTTGGCACCAAATCCAGCCATCACACTTGCAAAGTGAAAACGCAGAATTACAAAAAGAATCGAACGTTAAAATCCTTTCTCTCTCTTGTTGTGTTTTTTATACCTAAATAACATACACCCTTAATAATGAAAATATTCGTACCTGTCTCCGATACCAATGACCACCTTGATATCATCCGGCCGAAGATCTTTGACCGACTTTGCCCCACCATCCGGACGTGACGGAAGTCGTGGGCAACCGATTTCCAAAGGAACATCGAATCCGTTCGGCCCATTATTTGCAGGCACACCGCTGGGATCCACATAAGCGAGTGCTGTAGTTTTGAGTACGGACGGCATCAGAAATACTGTATAGAGGACCGAGAGAACTGATAATATGGCCGCACCGATTAAACATGCTGGTAAGGATTCGACAGCCTTAGCCGTATATGAATCATAATACAGCGTTGGATGGTGTGCTTCTGACCCAATGTTATTACCGACTTGCGCCCGGTCACTGTTTGTGCGATTGCCTCGTGTTGACTCTGTTTCTGCATCTTCTTCTAATCGAACAGGTGGGGGAGACGACGAAAAGGAAGACAGGAACGCAGATCCTTTTACGTAAAACATTGCTACTTTTGTTTTCCTTCTTGCAACTGAGGATCATTCCCAGATTATTATTATCATTTATATATACAAGGTCTCTATAAGTGGCATATTAAAAGGAGTATGCATAAATACCATCACAAAATTATGATAAAGTTAGACGGTATATTTGGACACCCGTCCGCTGTGCCAATCCTGGGACCCATTTGGCTTCTGGATCATTTTCTTCCTTGACCACACCACCTTTGCTATTGTTGTTTTGCTCTTGTTGCTGCTGCAAAAGGGTAATCTTGAATCCATGGTCTTGGCATGTTTTCCAAAATCGGTCTTCTTCTGTTGTATCCAATCCGCGTCGCTTATAGCCAATATAGATTCGCGTAGTAGATGGCACGGACAAATCTTCAAGTGCTTGAACCAGATCTTGGAAGAACTCGGCCTCGTATAATACATCCGATGCCACAATAATATCGGCCTTGCCACATGCTTCTGCTTGTTCCTTATTACCCCATAACAATGGCCGTATATTGACTCTTCTCGCTACCGGATCATCAACATCATGATTCAACTTTGCATTCACTTGGATCAACCCCATCGCTTCTTCCAATTCGGTAATGGTCACATTGATGTCCTTTTTCATCTTGTTGACATAGAATCCCAATAGACCTGTCCTATCAGTAAACGAAAAAGACATGTTGAGTTCTTGTTTCCAACACATAATTCTGTTACGCTCCCGTTTTTTCTACATTCTATATCAATCGTTTCATTTATCTTGCTCGCTCATATCTTCTCTCTCTCTCTCTCTCTTTTTTTTTTACCCTGATGATTACCCTGCACTTAGATCCACCACATGTTTTGCGTCCTTTAGTGACATGTTTTTGAGAAACTCAAGCATAACCACAGCTGAATCCCAGATTTTGCCCGGAATGCCCGCATCCCAGTATTCCTTGACCATGGTGTTTGAAAACAGTCGATAAATGTCGTGTTCCATTTCTGTACCTTCTGGCCAGGATTCGATTGGTGCATTGGTTGGACACTCGCTCTGTTGTTGCTGCGTGGACGCCGTGGCAACGGTATGCACGTGGATTGGGCCGACAACCAATGGTAAGATATTTGGCGACAACGCGCATGATTCGACACGCTCCATGTTAATATGTAAGTAAAAAGATGCGTTGCTTTGTTTATCGTTGTCGTCTTTGATGCTGCTGTCATTATTCTTGTTGGCGCCGGGGTGGTGGTGTTGGATGATTCGGTACTCAAACCCGCCTTTGCCTGATGCTTCAAATCCAACAACTGTCTGCTTCGTTCCCTGAACAGCTCTTGTCTCGATTGACCAAGCTTCTTTAGCCACAGGCTGCGAATTGTGTGTATTCAATAATTGACATTGTACGTGGACTTTGCCGTTAGGTTGAACGTCAGCGCGTCGAAATAGACCAAGTTCGTTGACGAGTAATAGATCGACGCGGTACCACTTATCCACCAGTATCTTTGAGACTATGGGAAGTCGCAAGTTGAATCGGTACAGTGCGAAATGACCGTCGAGTCGTGCCCGAAATTGCTCATCGCTTAGTTCTTCTGGCATTCGTTTACTTTGGAGTTTGTGTATTTTTTTGTTGTGAGGGAGGCACAAAGAAAGTCCGGTATGTTTTATTTATGCTTTGCTACCGACGCATACAAGAACACCTGCAATAACTAAAAACATACCAAGCCAAGTGTCTTTATGGAATTAAAAAAGTTGGGGATTTAGTTTTTAGTTTTCTCGGAATTTATGAAAAGAAGAATGTTTACCTCGACCACCAAGATCTTCCCCTAACAATAATCCCGTCAATAGTGAGAATATAAACGTCAACGAATTCGTAATGGGAACAGCAAGCGACATTTCTTATACAAAACAAAATTAGCTCTTTTTACATTCTATATGGTATAATGCTTCCCCTTTACTTACCTGATTTGCCGAGGGTATAGTAGTAGACAACGGATCCACTCAGATTAAGTGCCAAGGGAAGAATGTACTGTTTTTTTTCGCGTGGAAACGATGGTTCGATTAGCAAAACTATAGAGCTATGCTTCTTACATATCCTTTCCTTCCTTACCTGCCAGCGTGTCAATAGATAAAAGAGCTCGGCAAACCATTTGCGGTAACCTCCTTCTGGGTACCTTTGTGAGACCTGTTCAAGGCCATCTGTGCCCTTTTTGATAAAAGGATTGGTCGAGCCCCAGCAAATCGCAACTAAAACATCAAGAAGACTGGTTTGAATAACAACAATGGCTGTTGCAGCGAGCGAATTATTATGATCTTATGTACCTAGGATAAAGCCGCCGGCCTTTTCTATATATACAGTAGTCAAATGTAAGTTATTCAATGAAGGTGGTAGCAAAAACAAAATAAGTGTGAGTTACTAACTAACCTAGTATGTTGGTGAAATCCATTTTTGTGGGGAAGGAAGAAAGAGGACGTTCGTTCATGTACCTGAAATCGAAATCTGCATAAGAAATTCGTGACTCCTACTACCTTGTTTGTGCAGGATTACTATAGGCAGTAACCTGCTGAAACATGAGTTGAGACATGCAACAACTGCTACTATTCATTCTTTTTTCTTGCTTAGGATATGCGCGTAATGCAATACACGCAGTTGCGATTGTGTTTCTCACAGACAAGGACAGTGGCAGTAAAAAAAACCGCATGCTCACGCTATCGTAGCAGCTATGCCTGTGATTAAAGTGTGTTGTTGATAGGTAAAAAAAAGGAGAACAAATCAAAAGGCAATAATGATATACAGAGAGAATCAAAGTATGATATAGTTCTTATTGAATGAATTCACAACCCTTTATAAATGTCGTTTGCAATGCTGTCTCCTTTTGAATAAGCCGATGGATGAATCGCGGACATGCTGGGTATTGGACGTTTTCAAGATGAGGAAGGATGAGAAAGGTGGAGCTTGGATGCCATGATAATGGATGTTGTCTTGCGGGTGTGTAAAGAGTTATTCTTTTTTTTAATTAGCGTGTTGCTTAAAACAGTGGCAACGAGATACAGCCTTTTTGCAAACACTTTTTCCTACTGAAGAAGAAGTGAAGTCTGCCACGTTGAAGCTGGAACTCCAAATAGTTCCATGGGGAGTTTGGCAATTATGTCAAATCACACATCATTGCAAACAAGAAGCTTTACAATGTAGTATATTCTTTTTAATAATCGGTGAAAATCAATGAGTATCATAGCTATGGTCTCTTTAATAGTTTCGCACCATCGTACAGCGTAAAGGCAAACATCCTCACAAATTCTGTGAGCGATTCGCTATTAAGTTAAGATTTTTGATCCTAACGCGATTCCGGAAATGTTCCACGAAAAGAGAACTCAAGTGTACGGATGGTTTTATGAAGATGCACGGTCCGTCGTATTGCAACATGTACTATTTACCTCTTTATATGTGGCATATGAAACGGCAGCTATTGTACGTTGCTCAGCTTTTTCAAGAACACGCATCTCAAACAATAATGACCGTATGCAGAATCCTACCATAGCGCATTGGCATCCGAAAAAAAGAACAATTGGAACGATGTTTCAAGGATACAGCAAGAAGCATTGGATAACTCTGTATCTTCAGGAGGTGTGCAGTTATACCGAAGAAACGATGACTCGAATGAGGAGCTGTTTGGCAATGCCAATTGAGGAAGGCTTGGTAGCTGAGGTATTTAGCCAGAGTATGTAGTAGGACATAGGGCAAATATAATCAATTCATCATATATATATATATATCATTGAGAATGTTATTTTTGATAAACCGGATATAACATGGATGATTAAAAGAAAATACAGGATTACTTTAGATTATTTAAAAGCCTACCAAAAGTACCATCCATTCTGTTGTCCAGCTTTCATAGTCAGTATCATAGATGAACAACAGCATCTACCAAAAGGGGTCCAACGAAGTAGTAGTAGTTGTAGTAGTAAATATCTCCCCTCACATAACAACAGTTTGCAGTTGATATACAAATGGAGCACATAACCAGTGAATGAGGCAAGCATGTATTACAAGGCTTCATCATCCGTGTGCGACTATTACAACAAAGTGGAGATTATCTGCTCGTGTAATATTTTTCTTTCTGCTGTTGATCAACAAAACTGTGAATTATACTTTTGCTTTAAATGTGTATTTCTTGGAAACGAATATACCTCTTTGCGTTCTCTTCTTCTCTACGATGAGTCTGCCTCACAATCATATAGCAATCTTGAGTGTGGTTTAAAAAACTCCCGCTTCTAATTGATTATCGACGCAGAGTCCAAGAGTCCAAAGAAGAGAAAATCTAAATCTTGGAGCTTAGAGCAGATCGTTGAACGAACAAGTGACTTGATAAAAATATGCCGATTGGCGATCAAAGTGAAGAGCCTTCAGTAAAAAATCCACATGTAGTCAAACTACAATAGATACAGAGAAGGTAACTTTCCCGCTCCAGGCAACATGTCGATAGCAGCATAAGAATCGCGCCAACTACTGCAATTTTGACGCATCACCGCCGTGCTATAACTGCTCATACCAGATATTGTACACGAAACAAAGATTAAAAAAAACAAGAATGCATAAATATGTCTTTCCTCGCCCCACATATATATCAAAAAGGTCGTCGTACTAGCTGGGTACATTGAAGGGTATGTTTAGGTGATGGAAAAAAAGTAAGCCAGAAAAAAAAAACAGGACCTTTGTCTGCAGGATATGCTGTTATTGGCAACGGATGTATAAGCAAATAAGCATAGGCAGGAAGAACAGATCAGTTGATTCAGTGGAAAGACGATTCGTGGTTTCCATTAGAAACGTCTCTTTTACTTTCGACGTGTAACTATGTCTCTTTGAGCTGTAATATGTATGTACACTACTACGAGTGCATAACCACGGCGACGCACTACATGTCTTCCAGCGAGTAAACAGAGAAAGACATACCAAAACAGTATGCCCACGATGTGTTCAGAATGAGTTCATTGTCATCTGTAACCATAATGACCACTCGCGCTTTCCCTCTTCTTCTCAAATATCTCACCGACCCCTCCATTTTTTTCTACCCAGCCAGCTCAAATAATAATAATCTCTTTTTTTTTAATACATGTATATAAAAAGTGGATAGATCGCGTATAGAGAGTATATAGACACAGAGCAAAGAGCTTTTATATAAAGATATATATAAAAGAGGGGTCTTTATAGATAATAAACGGAAGAAACGGGGGGTGTTTTGGGTAGATAGGTGGGTATGATATATAAAGGATTGTTGTTTGATAATAAATCATTTTAGTTTGACAAAACCAACGTAACAAAGTCCACATAGTTGATACGACCATCCTTGCCAACCTCGACTTCCTTGAGCAACTCATCGACCTCCTCTTCCGACAACTTTTCACCCAGGTTGGTCAAGACATAGCGGAGCTCACCCGCCGAAATAAAGCCATCGCCTTCCTTATCAAAGACCTGGAAGCCCTGGATGAACTCTTGCGACGAGCCTGCAGGCTTGAATCCATCCGGTCGCGTCAGAATCGTCAAAAAGGTACCAAAATCAATATCGGCCTCTTGTCTTTCACTGCCGCCTGCCGATTTCACCAGTTCGCGGACTTCGGCTTGCGTAGGGTTCTGGCCAAGACCTCGTAGTAAATCCCCCAGATTGGCAGATGACACAGTGCTGTTGCCCTTTTTGTCATACAGCGAGAAGGCTTCTTTCCACTCGTCAAGTTGTTCTTGTGTAGGTTGGTTGGTGGGACTCATTGTGTTGGTTCTAGGCGATTCGTTTAGATGAAGAAAACTGATGGGTGGTTGTTTTTTGGTGAAAGGAAGAAATAAAAGGTACGCAAACCGGAAGCGGACGCGGGGTTTCAGGAGGGACAGATTCGGTCCGCATCGCATGTGACTCGTTCATCATGCGCTGCGCCCGTTTCATTCACAGCAGCAGCAGCAACCTCTCTTTTTAACTGTTTCCAAACCTTTCAAACCGTAAAACGCCATGGACGCCGAGACTGCCCAGAAGAACTGGGAACTCGAAAACAACATTGTCACGGTCGATCCGGCTCAAGACCAAATCTACTACTACGATGTTGAAAAGAATAAAGAGAATGTCAATCAACAGCCCTGGAAGACAAAGTAAAAAAACGCTAATCGCCTTCGTTTCTTTGATATCTCCACTTTTTTTTTTTTTGAAAACAAGAACATTAGCTAACGGGAGGCTGGGGGTACTTTTCTATGTTTTTCAGTCCAAACCATTACAAACATGTCAAAATCTCTGCCATTGCTCTCATTAAAATGGTAAAAGCTCGATTCTTTTAACCTAACCTGCCCCGTTCCAACCATCTCTCTCTATAACCTATTTTCGCCCGAAAAAAAGAAACTGATACAATGATTTTCTTACCAGGTGATGCATGCGCGTTCAGGTGGTAATATCGAAGTGATGGGTTTAATGCAAGGCAAAGTAGAAGGCGACACCATGATCATCATGGACGCGTTTGGTCTTCCTGTGGAAGGAACCGAGACGCGTGTCAATGCTCAAAGTGAGGCGTATGAATATATGGTGTCGTATATGGAAAAGGCCAAAGAGGTAAAACACGTCATTATGTGATCATTTTGGATACAAAAAAAAAGAGTCTAAAGTACTTTAAATAGGTGGGTCGGCTTGAAAATGCAATCGGATGGTATCATTCACATCCAGGCTATGGCTGTTGGCTGTCGGGTATCGACGTCAATACACAAATGTTGAATCAACAGTATCAGGAGCCCTGGGTTGCTGTTGTGGTCAGTTAGATGAAACACGAGTACTTGCTCCATGTGAATCGGCAATGTAGTGTTGACACATGCATTTCTATCAAACAAAACAATAGATAGATCCCAACCGAACCATGTCTGCTGGCAAAGTCGAGATCGGCGCATTCAGAACATACCCCAAAGACTACAAGGCGCCTGATGATGGCCCTTCACAATACCAAACCATTCCTTTGAACAAGATTGAAGATTTCGGTGTGCACGCTAAATCGTATGTATTCTCCCCTCTTTTTTTTTTCTACCTTTCGATCTGTGCTACTACTCACTTTTGCCTATGAACAACTTGTACAGCTACTATTCCTTGGAGATCTCACATTTCAAATCAACGCTGGATAACCAGTTACTGGAAGTGCTGTGGAACAAATATTGGGTCAACACACTGTCTCAATCACCGCTCTTGACTGTATGTACTTTTGTGAAGAAAGAGAGAGAGAGAGAGACGACCTCCAAACATAAGCAACTAACGAACGCTCTTTTTTAGAACCGTGACTATTCGATGCAACAAATGGCCGATCTGACACAAAAGCTTGAACAAACCAACGATACCATGTCAACGCGCATGGGTGGTTACTATGGCGACCGAAAGAAGCATGATGAAAGTCAGTTGGGCAAACTGACAAAGGACAGGTAAAGTCGTTTTTGTTCCCCCCACCCCTCTCCAGGTTGGGTTCTGAGCTAAAACAAAAGGTTGGTTTTTTTTTTTTGTTTAGCTCCAAGATCACAAGTGAAGCTATGCATGGCTTATTATCTCAAGTACTTAAAGATCTTATCTTTAACTCCACTCGATCTACTGTTTCCTCTTCGTCTTTACAAAAAACAAAGCATGTATAAAACTGAACTCCATAAACTGGATATTGCTGCTTTTCGCTTACACACACACACACACACACACACAAAATAAAACATCAAGACAATCTCTTTCTGATGCGGTTTTTTTTAATGGAATAATAAAAAGAAATAAAGAACAATACAAACGTTGGAAAGAAAGGTGTGCGTGGGTTGTCATACAAGAATGGAAAAGAGAACATTACTGATACAATTCATGCCCTTGGATATGTTTTGTCTTTTTTGGCATAAATAAACGAGAAAAAAAGTGTGTGTGTGTGTGTGTTTTGAGTGAGAGAAGAATATGTACAAGGCGAACCAATAAAGAAATGTGTTGTGTGCTTGTGGAAAGGGGGAGGAGGAGAGTGAGTGAGTGAATAGAGAGAGAGAGAGAGAGAGAGAGAGAGAGAGAGAGACAGAGGAAGGGCTGTTGATGTTGTTGTTACTATTCTTGTGCAAGTGAGTGAGTGTCTTTTGGGGTCAAGTAACGGAAACAGAAGGACGAGGGAGAGAGGGTTTCTTTAAATACAAGATGTCTTTTTTAAAAGGAATGCGCACCAGACAAGGTAGACAGGTCCGTGAATTCAGGATGAGGATGATGATGATGCTGCTGCTGCTGCTGAGGATGATGAGGATGATGATGGCTTGCTGCAGGAGGAGGAGGAGGAGGTGGAGGAGGGCCCGGGTACCCTTGCTGATGTTGCCATGGCAAGTATGAAGTGGTTGCAGAGTGCGATGGAAGGAACGGTGAAGGTGTTGCTGCTGCTGCTGCTGCCTGTGCTGCTGCCGCCACCGCTGCCTGTGCCGCTACTTGTTGTTGTTGTTGCTGCTGATGGTGATGTTGCTGTTGTTGATACTGAGCATTTGTAGCTGCTACAGCAGCGACTGCATTCTCTTGTTGTTGTTGACGACTCGCCTCCCGCTCACGCTTTTGTTTCCTCCATTGCTTTCGAAGCTCTTTGAATTCAGTCGGCAGACGTTTGGGACCCTAACATTAAATCTTGGAGAGTCAGCCAAAAAAACATTTTTTTATTTATATATATGATAATAAAAAGGTGGATCTAATTCTTACGTGATTTTGCATCGAAACATGAGCGTTGAGATGGTTCAAAGTACCATAGGCCTTGGCACATCCGGGATAGCTGCAATGATACAAACGCTCGACCTCGTGATACTTGCGACGAGGTCGCTTCTTGTGGTTGACGCCTGGGATGGGCACGAACGAAAAGACTTTTTGCGCGGCGTCCGAGGAGGAAGACGACGACGGGGTCGTGGTTGAGGCGGCTAAAGTAGCAGCTGCCATGGCGGCAGCTTGTTGTTGAGCAGCCATCACCGCAGCAGACGAAACAACACCGTCTGTGCAAGACTGGGGTGGCGAAGGCAAATGATGTGTAGTGGTGTGAGGCCCTGTACTGGCAGAACTAGCAGTAGTAGTAGTAGTAGTAGCAGCAGCAGCGGTAGGAAAGACGGGTAACATGGTGCTTGGAACAACGGGTTGATCGTAGGGTCCTGCTGCTGGTGGTGCAGTAAAATAAGGTTGTTGTTGTTGCTGTTGTTGTTGATGATGATGAGAAGGACGAGGTGGGTATGGATGATGATGAAGTTGTAGATCGAGTGGTGTTGTGGATGTCGTGGCCATGGTAGCTACACTGGTCGGATCGGCAGCAGCAGCAGCAGCAGCGGCAGCAGAGATAGTGCTTACAGAAGGGCTAGCAGATGCTGTTGTGGATGTTGTGGCAGCGGCTGGCGGCTGAGCATGCGATAAGACCGTGTGACGAACAGCAGTGGTGGACGAGACAGGCGGTAAGAGTTGCGACAAGGGAGGTAGTGAAGGCGTAGGCAGACCTGCAGCGGCGGCAGCGGCTACGGCAGCGGCAGCAGTAGTCGTGTTGTACGATGGCTTTGTCGAAGAAGAAGAAGCAGTAGAAGGATGATAATGGTAGTTGGAGGATGATGTGGTGGTGGCAGGATACGGTGATTGATAGAACGGGTGTTGTGGTGTTGATGATGAGTCCATTTTCTTGTTCTGGGTGGGGTGTTGACGATGCTCTCTTTTTTTTTATATAAGCCAGGTGTGTGTGTGTGTGTGTGTGTATAAAGAGAAAAGAAAGACGCAAAGTGACAAAAGGAAAGCGAGCGGATAAAGAAGGAAGAAAAGAAGAAGAAGAAGAAGAGGAACGAGCCGAGATGTTTTTGCTGTGTGCAGAATTTATGTTTGTCTCCATGGCCCTCTCTCATATTAGTGCTGTGGTGATGATGAATGAGAGTGTGTGTGAGTGAGTGAGTGGGTGAGTGGGTGGGTGAGTGGGCCCATGCTTCTTTTAGTAAAGGTCGTCTGTTTGAGGTATAGTTCATAAAGCACAGGAGCCAATGAATTTTTTCTGCAGATGATCTTCGGGCGTCGATCCCCCAGCTGGCTGTGTGTGCGACTCCCTTCCTATACTCCGTCACACCTTTCTTCTTTGCCCAAACGACCATGTACATATTCCTTGTAGAGAGAGAGTGTGTGTGTGTCTATGAACACCACGATCACCACCACTACACATCCCATTTTTTTTTACAAGTCAGCCATTCTGGCCTACTACCTTTTCTAGTAAGGCCCTCTCCTCTCTCTCTCTACCCCTTTGTGCACCCGAAATTAATGAACACAAGTGAACTCTTGGCAAAAGAGTGGGACTGATTGGGCTACTACCCTTTGGGGATCTACCTCTTATTTAAAGACAGTGATAATGATGACGGGGGCGGCCGTCGGAAAAAGGCAAGAAAGACAAAAAGAAAAAAAGATCGACGGCCGTCCTATTTTGAGTCTAGCTCTTAAACCCTAATGATCGTTTTGTGTTTCTTTTTCCAAAGAGCCCTACACGTAAACTTCCAAGAGTCGTAGTACTTGTCCCCCTCAAGTACATCCACCGTGGCCTACCCTTCACATGTGTCCACTAGATCTTTTTTTCATTTAAAAAATAACAAGGATCCCCTCCCCATCCAAGAAAGAAGTTTCTGAACCAAAGTAGTAGATAGATGATCTCTTGTCATATATACAGAGCCATCTCGCCCTACTATTTTTACAGAAAATCACATATGACAAAAAACAACCTATTACCCGCCCGAACCCACTACTACTACTACTACTACTATACTACGACTGATCGACTCCCCGATAAAGCAAGTTCTCGAATTGAAGCCCTGTCTTGATTGGAAGCCTGTCAGATCATTCCCAGAAATTTTTTTTTCCATGCTCCGCTACAAAAATAAAGAGCCGACCACTCACAAGCCGTTGCGGATATTGGCTTTTTTTTTTTTTTTAATTGGTCCCCAAGCTTATTGTTCGCCAAGAAAATCCTTTGGATGGTTTTTTTGCGTATATAAATGTATTGGAAGCTGTGCGCGTGCATGTGTGTTGTGTATATAATTTCATTTTCTCTTTCGTAAGAGTCAGAGGGGGACAGGTTGTAGACTGATAAAACCAGCTATCAGGGATACGATGATGGGTTGTTTGCTTGCTTGCTTGCTTGCTTGATTGATAGGAATTTGTTACAAAATGCTATAATGAGGGATGAAGAAAAGAAAAAGAAATAATTGCATGCCATAAAAGTGTGAAAGGGGAGGGAGGGGAGGGGATATCAACATTTTTTCTTGGAAAAAAACGTTAATGGGGTGCGTGTGTGTGTATAATGAATGGAGAAAAGAATAATTGCTTGCTTTTTTTTTGTTGTTGTTGTAGAGGATCATGGTGTTGCATGTTTGTTATTGTTGAGCTGAAGAAGAAGAAGAAGAAGAAGATGCTGATGATGATGCAGTAGGAATATTAGGCGTAACCGTTATAGTAGTAGTAGCGGTAGTAGTTGATGGGCGCACAGCGCTTTTCGCCAAAGAAGTACTCCTGCTTAGGCAAGACGCACGGACAGCAGAATACTCCTCTGGCGTCACGGGTGGTGACATGATGGATGCCGTTGCGTCGCTCCCATCCAAAGAAGCAGGTCCTTGTAGTGACGGCATACCGACAAGCTGCAAGTCGCCGTTGTTGTTATTGGACTGTTGTTCAACGTTACTACTGCTGGGCATGTTGTTATTGTTCACCGTCGTCAGGCTCTGTGCCAGCAGCGCCTCATTGACATTGAGTAATGATTGGAGATAATCGGGTGAAGGTCCACTGGTCGGCGATGCTTGTTGCATCAACAAGTGTAACGACTGCTGCTGTTGTTGCTGTTGTTGTTGTTGTTGTTGTTGCAGCTTATCTGCTGTCACTAACCCACCCTCAGAGCCAAGTTGAGATTCAGGTGAAAGTGGTGTCGTCGGGTATGGATCGCATATTTGTTCATGTTGCGATTGATCGAGAGCAACAGGGTGCTGGTCATTAGAAGCGTCGTTATCCAGTGGCTGTAACACGTTCTTCGAAGGCGATGCGTCTGAAGAGTCCGCTGCTGCTGCTGCTGCTTGGATTTGTTCCAATGAACCCATCCAACCAATGCCTGCACCACTGCAATAAAAATAACAAAGGAAATGTTGGTTGTCCATTGTCACAGATTTCACACACAGAATTTATATACAACAATGGTTTGTGGTTTTATTTTTTGTATAAAGTAACTGTATAATGGTAAACTGTACCTTTCTTCCCATTCTTGACCCATCTTTTTCATTACAAGTTCGAGATGCTCCCGTTGCCGCTCCAGCTCTTCAAGACTTTGGTCATAGTCAGAAAGTGTCTTGTCCATTCGAGCGCGTGGAGGGTTGAAGAGTGTTGGTTTTGAGTGTTTTAGTAGTGTTGAGTCAGATAGTGGAAGAGAGAGAAGATAATTGAATGGGGGTGGAAAAAGAACAGCAGTTCAATATATAATCGATTTTTTCTTAGACTTATGGGTTGTTGTTGTTGTTGTTGTTGTTGTTGTTGGAAAAGAGAATTTCAAAGGAAAAGAAAGAAAGAAAAAAGAAGTTGGGGGGGTGTTCTCAGCAAGTACTACTCTTACTTGATTGTTGGCTTTTTCAGGTTCCGGTCCTTGTTATTGGTTCGTAAATTGGAGGTACCACCACCATCCATAGTAAGTAGTAGGCCAGAACCAGACGTACGGCCCCCCTCCCGGCTTCTCTCACACTGGTCCTTGCATGGAATACTGTACAACTGATACAAGTATGGATGGGGTGTGAACAAGTGCCTTCATAGCGACGTGCATGTGTGCGGTGTGTGGCTGGAAATGGCTTGGATTAGAAGAAAAAAAAAAAAAGAAACCCGTGGCGCGTTTTCTATCTGATCTTTAAACTTTTTCCTTTTGGATCTGCCTTTTCGGGTCAAGTTTTCTTTTTTTTTTTTGCTGTTACCAATAAAGCCCTTATCTCTCATTGTAGCGTTGCTTATACTGCTCCATTCTTTGTCACTGACCCACTAACTACTCGTGTCAGTGGTGTGTGGGCAAATAGAAGGGGGAGAGTCATGGAAAAAGAGATTTTGAATGGTTTTGGGGGAAAAAACGAAGGGGTGTGTGTCCGGGTCGCACTGAGGGGCGGACCTTTTGATATTGAAAGTTTCTTGGAAATGAGCCACTGCCATTGGTGTGTATTTATCATCAAAAGAAGCAAAAAAAAAAAAAAAAAAGTGGTTCCCATGGTTTTGAACCTTGCGTCTTGTGCGAGAGAGCAACTTTCTTGATTGAAGGTGTGGGGGTTTCTTTTAATTGACGCGTGAACATTCTGTGTTGATGAAGGATGATGTGCCACTTGCATAATCACTTTTTGTTCCGGTGAGCCTCTTTTCACATGAAAAGGGGGGGGAGGGGTTAAGGCAATTGTGGTGGTAGAAGAAGAAGAAGAAGCGGTTCCCTCTCAGTGTATAGCGGGAATGCTCTTTGTCGATTGTACCGTCTATATTTATTCTTACGTTCGCCCGCTTTCTTTCACCCTCTCTCCCAGCCGGTCCGTCGCCATCCGAACAATGTTGCGGTACTCAAGGCCGAGAATACGGTACGAGCGGATATATGTGTGTGTGTGTAACCTTGACAACTTGTTCAACCAGCAATCATAAAAAGACTCCGCGCACAGACTCTTGGGGGGTGCGTGTATTGTACGAGGGCAAAAAGGAGGCGAAGAAAAATAGGGGGGGGGGAATCAAACACATCACCCTCCCCTCCTGGTCATCAACAGCACGCCTTTAGGCTAGTTCATTCTAAAAGGAGGGGGTGGTAGTGGCACTGCTGTTGTGTTCTATAGTCTTCCATGGGCGTGTTGTACAGCGTTGGTTTCCAAAAAGTTCTATTGGTGCTCAATTGGGTTCGTCATTCTTCCGCATGAAAAAATACAAACATGGTGACTTTTTTTCACACACGACTACCTGAAACCCAACAAGGATCTAGAAAAGCTCACAGAAGGAAGAACGTAGAACACGTCGCACCTAGCAAACGAAACTCGGTGGTGCTTGTATTCTGTAGCACTAAAGACGCACTCATCCGTTGCCACGTTATCAAGGCGTCCATCGTTACGCTATGCATGTTGTTCCAGATGCATGACATGGTACAGGCAGCAACAATACTCGAGAGGTCGGTTTCTTCGTTGCCATGAATGGAACTTTGAAAGGCTGGGATCTATTTCACGACGACAAAAGGATCAGACGCGTTTCAGAGTAATAAAATCAATGAACTTTGCAGAACCAAATACAGCAGATGGACCCAGTTTATCGGGTTCGCTTGGACTTGAACTAAAAGCATGCTTTTAATTCATATGCTTCGATTTATTTCGCAGCAGCGGTCAATATAAAGAACAAAGCATGGCGTTCCCCTACTATTTTATCGTGGACCTAGTGGGGCAAAAAGGGTAAAAGTTTTATAAAATAGCTATTCGCATAAAGTATCCTCAGAGAAAAGTTTATTTTCATATATATAGCGTCCTTCTACATTTGTAGGATACTACCTTACTTACTGTAACAAATAACAAATTGCTTGTTCGTGTCAAATAATCCTCCACGCTGGACCTGATTTTTCTAGCAATCTACAGTATCTACTGTCGCCTTCCTGCTTAAATGCAACGTGGGAGCATGAGACCCTTTCACACTGCTATAACCAAGAGTATACACGTTTGACCGGAAATAGGGAGACCATTTTTTTCTTTACAATACAGTAATAGATGTTACTTTTCAACGCGTTATCCAAAATGAACGATCGATAGTGGATTTGCTTCTCGATGACGGGCATATAGATGCTAGAAGAAATGGTGCGTAAATCTTTCAGGCCTTGGTTTTATATACGTTGATCACACGCTTCTGGTATTGTCACAAGTCGACTTGTTGGGAATATCGAATGGTACGTGGTCCCTCATATTTTTTATGTCCTCAGCAGCGCATAGTGTGCTAGGTGTATGCAGATTGCTATGCTATTTGCGCAGACATGGGTTGTTGTTCATAGTGTTGCTGAAGGATGTTTTCACTCGAAAAATTGTTGCATCGTCACCTCATTGATACCGCAAACATTGTTACTGCCTTATATCAATTCTGAAACAACCGCTTCCAGCGCCCTATAAATGTAAAAGGCCATGATGTATTATTGAACACTATCTCGTCGTTGCTATTTTTCCATCTGCACAAGACAGCAACCGTCAAGCATAAATAGATACTCCCAGTTTGGCAGGAGAAGCGTTGTTGAAACACGCCTCCCAACCCCCTTTCCTGTTTCATGCACACTGATTATCCTCTTTGTTCTAAAATTACACAACAGTATCAAAGTTGCTGGTGACGCAATCCCAGTTTGCTTCTTTACTCTCTTGAGAAAAATGTCAACAGTCAAGATCTACACTGTCGCTCAGCTACCGTCATTACCACATGAGATTCAGCATAAAGTTTTTGAGCGTTTGTCATTTGATGAATGCAAGAGATGCAGCCAACTGTCAAGAGCATGGCGATCGGCAGTACTCAATTGGCCAGGAATGTGGAGGTGTCTACAGATGAACAAAAAGTTCAGATACTTTCAAATCCATTGCGACCGTATCGAAAAGTCAGCGTTGAAGGGTATCGACATAGACACTTATTCTGGTAAAACCATACTTTGGATCAAACTAGTCAGCTTTTTAGCCAAGCAAAATTTCAATGCAATCAACTGGGGTACGTGAACGTAATGATATGGCTTCTTGGGAGTATATCAGCCTTGATATCAACAGCTTATTCTATATATAATAGCAAGGTTGAAAATCGATTTTCTGTCAAAAGACACCGCGCTGATGTTCCTCAACACGTGCGGGAACGCGCTTTCATACTTGCACATTTCCTTGCACTTAGCACGAAAAGTCGACTTTGCGGCGAGTGTCGGCCCAGACATGTTCGTTCAGAAATGTCCCAACTTGACGAAACTGACATTCATTGGACCCATTGTAAGATGTCTGCCTGCTACCAAGCGTCTGTTACATGATACATTTCTGCATCATCTCAACTATTAGTTGTATTTGTAGGCCGATGTAACCGAGTGGAGACCTAGCACTGCGTTGAAGAACATAAAGCACCAGCGTCTTACCGATTTGGCGCTCGTTATCTCCAATATTCACGACAATATGGATATCGTGACGTTTCTTAAAGCTGTGCCAAAACTCAAGTACCTGGCCGTATCATATAACATCGCGCACACAACCTCTGATCCATCGTTTCCGATGGAACTACAGCAATATTGTCCAGACCTAGCTACTATCGTCATTTCTGACAGTCATATAAGCCCATATGGTTTTCTAGATACTTACGACGAATATAAACCAAAAGTACGTCATGTAACTAAGCCAGGAGCGGAAGACCTTGTGCTCCATAATTCCGTATTGATGAATCAGGAAATGGCCGTCCTGTTTCGATATCTACTTTACAGTGTGCGCAGTAAAATCCGGTTCCTCAACATTTCAGGCTCTGCTCTGTTTGAACCTCGTTTGCAACAACTTAATCCAGCTGTTCCCCGTCTGATCGAGTACACATTTCCATCATTGACTCGTCTGGACCTTCGTCGTGTAAACACAACAGGCCCCTCGAATGAATTACGCAACTTGTTCACCCTATTGTCACCAAAGCTGACGTCTCTCTCTTTACGCGATTGTCGCTTTGTCGACGACGACTTTCTTTCGGCACTTGGCGCTCATGTTACGGGCTTACGCGAGTTCATGATATTTAAATGCAACTCGTTCAATAGCAATGCTTTAGTGCAATTCTTGGAGATGGCGGCAAAACCTGAACGTAGTTTGCAGAAGGTCGGATTTTGTTCGATCATGGAAGGTCTTGATCGGCACGTTCTCCACACCATCGCAACATTAAATACATGTGTCATTGACGATTTGACTATAAAACGTTGCGGGAATCTAACGGTTGAGGACTTTGAAGCGTTTGCTCACGCTATGCATGCTCAAGACAACAACAACAACAACAGTTGTCGGATGAAGAACATGGATTTGGAAATTCCAATCCGATACCCACAAAGATATTGCAGCAGCGATAAGAGCAAATTGCTTCTTAAATTGTTGGATTCCATGGCGGATACATGGAAAGTAGAGTTTTATGATCCGGGCCCTTATGCTTATAAGTATCAAAATCAGCTGCACACACATAGCACCTACAGAAAGCGCGAGCAAGGAGAACTGTCACAATAAAAGGTCCCACAAAAATTTACCCTGCAGGTTGGTCTGCGTTCCATTTATCACATTTGAGGCACAATATTTTGGTAATATAAGGTAATGAGGCACATAATGGTGATATACTGGTTAATCAGCGCACCATAAAAAGCAACAGGCGCAATGGATCCACCAGTATGGAAAAGGTTTATGGGCCAGCGCTGCGCGCGTACAATACCTACGTCCGCCCGATTCTGATATATGACCTAGCCATTACAGCTATGTCATCTAAACAAATGGAGAAACTACACAACGCACAGAAGGGTTGCAAAAGCGTTGAACCGCAATACAAGGACACAGTTTCCGACAATTGGTAGGATCGCCGTTGTTAAATCCATGTGTCTTACAGTGTTATTAATGACTAATTCGTACTTTATACTGTGTTTGGCCTGCTTGCTAGCGACGCAAGTGTGTCATCACCATTATCGCCACCATCAAACCTGTTTTGATGTTTTACTGTGTATACACTCTTTAAAAAAGAACTTCGACTCGGTGACTGTTGAGCTTGAATTCTCCAACAGCCAAAATATGTCTCAGAGACAAAAGAAGTCAGATTGGCTCATGAAGAACAACGTAACATGTTCTGTCTATGATCTGCGAAAGTTGAAGGGGCTCTTCTTCTTTATTTCATCTTATGGTAACACTTGCAATGCAAAGCATAGACACGTATAAGAGTAGGCATGTGGTATTTAGCGCTGAACATATTCCATAGGAACTTATCGATTTCACAACGATCAATTGGTATACGATACGTTGCACGTTAATCAGGTTTCTACTTTTCAAGACATCCAAGAAGAATTAAATAAACCTATGATAGATAACGCTGTCGGAGAGAAGGGTAATTTGAGCAAAGGTCGGTTGGGATGAGTTTTGTTGCTAAGAAGCTAAACATATCCTATAATTGCTATAGAGTGCCTTTCGTATCCACAATGCATATCATAGTAAAAAGTATATCAGTGATGTTTAAAGTGTGACTAGTAATATAATGAATTTTCGCGTTCTTCTCTTCATGTAGAAACGATACCAAAGAATATGTATGTGGTCTAAACAAGAAAACGGAAGCAATCGTTTCTCCTCAAAATGTTGGTCGTAGTTCGTACGTTAAACATCTGATGCAGTCGACCCCTTTTATTTCACACCCGTTAGCGCCCAACCCTCGGTGCTTTCAAAGGTTATATAGCTATCATTACTCGATACCTTTCAGCCCTTCCTATTTCCACACGAAGTTTGAGGATTTACGCTATGAAAGTATTGGGGGTCTATTGTTAGAACACTTTTCAAACTCAAATAGCTACTGTACTTATTATCGATAAACAAAGTCCTGGTAAAAAACAATACACATTTTACTTTTAATGATTATAACTTACAATAATACAGCGCTGATGGATATGTTATCAATAATAATTGAGGAACGGTTAGGTAGACCAAAGATTGATCTTTTGAATGAAGAGTCAATTTCCAGGCTCACTGACTTGCTCTTTTTCATCTTCATCAGCAATTTCGGGGGTGCAATTGACTCATTTGATGCGTTTGTATCTGTAACGTCTAGATTTTCCGTAAAAGTTGCGTTCGCTTGTTTCTGCAAGGGCAGGTTGAGCAGCGGCCTCGTAATCAAGTGCGTCTCCAGCAGCCAAGCAGTAATCCGTAAGACGACGTGATTGGAAAGACAACCACACGGGAGTGGATGATGATCGCGACACAGTCGATAGGTACGAGGAAGATTGAGCATAGACATCACCAAAGACGAAGGAAACCGGCTACGAGCCAGCTGGACGATGCTGGAGATGTCAAAGGCCGCATGCAGGGAGCGTGCACAACGCGGCACACAGAAGTTGAATGATGAGCGGGGACAACAGCAGGAAATACAGCAAGATCACGACTGCGGTGGACATGGTAACGGAGAGAAACTCGTGAACGGGCTTGAGCACAAAAATTTCAATGACACTGTAAACCACAAAATCTGCCGGTTTCTATGCAGTGTGATGTGTTAAGATACGCTTCAGTCTCGGTGCTGTGTATATTACTTGTAGGCACCGATAGGAAATGGATACAAATATGAGAAGTATGATATATAATATACATTGGCTGCGCTTGCCAAATGTAAAAGCTGGAACTCTGATAGCGAGGATTATGACCATTTATCTATGTACTCTTGCCAACACCTGCGGACGATTAACGTTTTCTGCGAGGACCAATAGCGTCCGCTTAGACCATTTGCATTTGTGTGAGGGTTGTATCAACTGATGCGTGTATAGCTACCACCGCCTATTCAGCCTATCCGGAACGACCGCCTGCGTGTTTCGCCAGTAAATACTGTCCCGTACAGTCAAAAACTATGATCTATTATCTATGCGTTTGTTTTAAAACATATCTTTTCATATGTGTCTAATGCGTGGTATTAAATGCGAGATTATATGGAGGAGAAGCGAAAGAATCAAATTTAAACTAATGTTGAATAGTAGGATTTCAAAGGTAGCAGAATACATACTGTAACACAAATTGCTTGTTCATTCATGATAACGGGTTCTTTGTAGCAGTACATATGTTTGCATCCAAAGCCAGCACAGAAAACAGTCCCCATAATAACGACATCCAGTACATCCAAAAGGCCAGGCTATTCGTCGAAAATAAAGAAAAGCCGAAGCGATTCCGTTCATGCACATCAGCCTACCGGGACCTGCAGGGGTAAGTTGTACGTAGATCAAATGTACTCAAGTCCATTACTAATACCAATGCAGCATAGTTTGGATGATAGTGGTACCGGCATGACGACAACGTTGGCCACATGCGGTGTATTAATTTGTGCCCTACTGGTTGCTGCAGTTGAAGTTGCTATTCGCAAAGTTGGTCTCAGAGCGCATTCCTTGGGTGTACAGCACCTTTATGAAGGTAGCACTAGAGTGGTCATTCTTCTATATTTCGCAAGTACTTCTTTTGTTCTAGGAGGAAGGTTGCGATGATGGCAAAAAGGATTTGGAAAAGACATGTTTATTTTTTATGGTAATATAAGCTTTTAGTAGTAAAATTATATTTAAAGAATCGTGCATTCCTACAAATGTTAGTAAGCTTTTGTCCGTGGTAACGATAGTCCTCTGATTTTTTTTTGTCTTTCTTTTTTTCTTCAATAATTTTTTTCTCTAACTACATAATATTCTGATTCATGGGATTCGTCTGTGGCAGTTGATATGGCCTTTTTCGTCTTGATAATGGTCGTCTTCAGTAGCTTGAGGTACATGATATCTTCTGTGTGATTTGCTTGTTGATATCTTCGGTTATTTTTGAATGTGTTATCATGTCGTGTTATTTTTGCGTTCGAGTATGTATGTCGATCTGTTTTCTTGTTTCTTTTTTTTTTTCGCGCAGTCTTCGCTAAATGCTCTGTTGTCTTGAGCTCGACGCGAATGATATTGAGGCCGTTGAAGTCGATAATAGACTGTGCTTGTGACTTTGTATCGATGATGATCCTCAGCGCTGTATTTTGTCTCTAAATCATATCAATAAGCCTTTCACGTTAGTTATCAAAGTCTTATTCCAAAGTAAATCCGTGTGCCTTGTTTGTACTTACTGTTGATTAATTTCACTTTATAGTTGCCCAAATCTTGCTTTTCAGTCTGGTAGTAAAATCGACTGCAATTCGATATCGCTTGGTATGTTTTGTATGTGATGCTGTGTGTCTTGTGTAGACTTCATCTTTTCTTCGCTGATTTCTTTCCAAAAGATTGTCTTGTATAAATCGCTGCTGTTGTTGGATGTGCTAGCTTTTGATGCGATGTTGATCGGGTATGTAGTGCCGTTGTAAGCAAACTTGCTTAGGGTGATCAGACAGCCACCGACTTGTTGACATTTTCTTGGTGCCGTATTGTACGAAAGGCAGTGATGATTTTTTTCTTGACAATTGTTTCTGACTTTTTGTTGCCTTGAATTTCGCTACTTTTGCTTTCCGTCATCTTAGACCGCGTGATGCTTGGTGTTGCTTTTACATTCTCTCTAATCTACTACTAATCTACTTCCTGATTTTCTTTTCTTTTCTTTTTTCTTTTTTTTGTTCGTATTTTGTGGGGCTATCGTTACCTGGACCGTAACTTACCAACGCTTTGTCAGAAGAGATTTCCTGGGTAAAAAATGTCGAATTTTGCGTTGCATGAATAGCGGCGTTCACTAACGATATGATTGTAGCAAAGTCACAATGAGCAGATAATTTTACAAATGCATGGATAGTCAATTGTTTCTCTTGGTTTTGCTTCTTACCATGATACAGCAATGTATGCTTCTTCTGTTTCGATTTCCAAGGTAGTGTGACCATGAAATTGTATTGTCTCCATATATACTAATGACTGTCCTTGTAGCTAACGCTTGATTTAGAAGAAATGACAGAAAGCTCCCTTGTTTGCTGCGTGCCATCCATTGATTTGTCATGGATACACATGCACGATGCCTTCCTTAAGGTAGTATCATCGAGTAGTCATGTCGCCCACCGCTTTTACTAAAAGATGAATCGATCTAAATGAGTACGTATAATACATACACCAGTGCTAATCGCCTCATATTCCGCTCCAAACTCATATCATGTAAATTCAAATTACCTTAAAAGTTCTCTCCTATCAACGGTCAAGCTGCTGCCATAAACAATATGTGTGTGCGAATGTCAATAATGCGCAGTTCTTGAATGCATGTCCCGTGCGACAGGAGCCATCGACCGATTCTCTCGTCGAGTAGCATTTATCGGTTGTGCGATCAGTGTCTTCAACGTGAGCTCGCCAGCATGCATTCAAAAGTCGGATACGGATAGTGCCGCCATTATTGCGTCTACGCAATGCCGTCGGATCCCTCTGGTAATAATGTGCCCCTTGTTGATAGTGACCTTTAGACGCAGTGTTTGCTTGATGCGTCTTGGACAGGTGTGCTTCTCGTCCCTTCTTTTGTCCCCATTGCTGCTTCACCACTAAAGCAGAAATGAAACCGCCACGATAATATGATACTGCTCCATCGAATAGCCGTGTCCCGTGTGCATCGTTGTCCTTGATATTCTTTGCCCGCCCATGTCGATGAGTTTGCTTTGTTGTTTTTCATGAGCAACTTTCAGATTGTTCGCCATCTTTCCCCCCAAGAAGAAATTGAATGTAAGAATCACATTTTGCCCGACTTGATATCGTTAAGATAGAACTTACTATATGCTTTGCATCCACCTAGCGTCTGAAGTGTTGTCATTAAATATGTCTCCTCGTATCTTGTCGCCAATTCTTCCCGTGGTGCAGCTTGGATCGTGTTGCCACCATAACGCACGCTGTTTACCAGGAGCTGTCGATAAAATGATACTTGTTCACATGGGCAGATGCATAGGGTTACGATGTGATATCTCTTGGTCCAGTGTCAAACAGTCGCATGTGTGGCGCTCCATAGATGCTTTGTTGCCAGTATTGATTGTCAGATGTGTTGCATTGCCACCGGGCTTCATTGCCGCAATAGCCTTCTGTGCTTGGTTGCTACCACATATATGCTCCAATGATTCCTGGTTGATTTTTCTTTGTCGCCAAGAAAAGAGGAGTTGCCACCTTGTAGATAGATTGTTGTTGAGGCAGCTTGAATAGTTGCCATGCGTGCTGCTACTGTAACGGTGCATACCGTTACGACGATATCCAACCTGCATGGTTGACGATCGACAACGCATGGTTCAGACGATAGGATGACTTGCGGTCAACCGCATGGTTGAATATGGAGTAATAGGCGTGGATATTCTAGATAGAAGTTATGATGTAGATCAATACTTAGACGATAGCTAGCCCCCTATTACTCGACGTATATATAAAGACGGGATCCTGAGTTATATGGATCCCTATCGTTTTATCCTTTGATATATCCGAGTCTCACCTTATTCATTGATCCACACTGTCTACCCATTCACGTTCCCGATTGTAAGTATCTGGGCCGACACTGTTACAGCTACCCAGTTTTTACTGTTTGTCTTTTGCACTCAATTGCCACCATAATAGAAGTCGCCAGTCTTTCTGCTTTGGTGCCGTCTGATAGAAATGATGAAGACGCATTCGAATGGCCGTCCATTGCCCGATGTTGTCCCCATATTGAAAGCTGACAATGCCAATGTCGTCTTTTTGTCGCCATGCTGCTGTCTCCACAAGTCTCCTCGTCGTAAACCGAGATAGATGAGGATTGTTTTCATCTCCTTGACTTGACGTTGACTGATTTGAATAGTTGTAATGAGTGTTGCCGTCACATTACACCTTGTGATTCTGAACGGATTGAATTGTCGTATGCATTGTTGCAGTTTTTGTCGCTGAAGTATCTTGCTCCATGTGGCCATCATAGGTAGCGATGGACACTGTTTGTCGATACGATGTTTGCCGCTGCTCCTTTTGTTGCCGCTTTCTCTTTGGGGTTTCACCACAAAAGTAGGGATGAATAATGATGATGATGATGATCGTGCCGTTGATGTGAAACCATCCCACATATTTGCCCGCATGCTTGGTGAATTGATCCGTCTACGGCCACACAGTTTGAAATTTTTGACCGGCTTGAGATTTTTGACCAGCTTGCATATTCCTCGTAAAGATGTGCCATAAGTGATTTATTGCTGCTGCGCCTGAGTATGACTCGCCCATAAATTATATGTCGCCTTTTCCGCCTGTCACTTTTTCGTCCGCTGAAAACAGTTGATGCCAAAGGCTGTCCACCCGACTTGCACTTGATCCGCCTATGCACGTGTTAAATGTATGCAATTTTCCGCTCAGAAGGGGAAGTGTCATATTGGATCACTTGAGAACAGATATCCGCACTCGCTTGAAGAGTCCTTGCCACTATAGCATCGCCAGTAGACAATAAACTTGCTCCTTCCACACTGGGAATATTCAATCCGAGTTAGAACGTCGAATGCAGTTGTTGCCTGGACCAACGGGAAGAAAACCAGAGGATGCCAACGATTGGATAATGCTGATCGATCTTGATAGTCTATCGCCAAAAGACTAGTCAAGCCAAAGACGGGATTCTACCAATCCTCGAATCGACATCAAGTAAAAGAGATTGTTTTTACTCGGCTAGCCTGGAAATCTGACGCCACCTGTAGCAGCATAACCATCATGGATCATCTACCAAGACCACACGAGACGATGTGATCAAGCCAAAGACGGGATTCGCACAACACCCCGAATTTTTACTCGGCTAGCCTGGAAAGCTGACGCTCTCCATCGCGGCGTACCACCCACGCCGCTGGCTGGACACCCCAACCCGCACACCCCAACCCGGATACCCCAGCTTCAAGGAATTCCGAGGCAAAGGTGAAGGCTGAGGCTGGACTAACATGGCTGTGGCACTGACTACAACCGGTGGAGGATCCAAGGTATGGAAAGGGCGAGGACAACTCCGGTTGAGCTTTCGGTGGCAGGGATTGGGTGAGCAATATTGCTCCGGTTGGCCAGGGCTTACGCAGGAACACCATCCACATGAGCTGGAACTGACTGGGATGACAACGTTAGAAAGGAATAAATTCCTAATACTGGGCCCCTCTTCGCCTTCTCCACACCACATCCGTGTCGAATGCGATACGAAGAAGGGAAGAAGGAAAGGAAAAAGGATATATCAGTTAGCAAGCCTCTTCTTATTAATATGGCCGTAGGTATTAAAGAAAGCATAGTACGTACCATAATCATACAAGCATGACACCTTGGGTTGTCATTTGCTGTCAAGAACCGCCGCTGTACATGTGCCTCGATGGTGGATTCCTGCTGCCTACACAACCAGAGCGTTGCTCACCTCCCCACCACCGGCTCAACCATCATCACTGTCCCTATGTGCCCCCCAAACCCCTTCACCCCTGGTAGCTGCAGCCAGTGCCGGCGCCAATGCCAACCCCAACCGCCTTTACCTCAAGAAACCATCCACTGAGATGCCCGGGCCACACCCCATCGCCTGACGAAGGCGGAGACCGCCAGACACACCCAAAACACGCCACATGCGCTCTATTTGAAATAAAAACAGTAAACTCATCAGCATCAGTACTGTATGCATCTTGCTCAAGCAGAACTGCTGAGACACTTACCCCGACCAAGCGCACACGTGCAACCACAAACATCACCTGACGCAGGCGTACACGACAACGCCAAGCACGGCACCAGAGGAAAAGAAAGAAAGCACGGAAAAGAGGAGACAGCGACACAAACGGCGGATTCAAAGTGGGCGACACCAGGAAAGGGAAAGGGGAGAGACCAAAGGAACGGAGAGAAACACGCACACAGACAGAACAAATGCCTAAAGAAGGCCATCTAAAGAGGACATTGCAATTAGTATCGATCTGGGCAATACAAAAGCACTCGACAGCGAAATCAATAGAAGATGTAGCCACTTACACGCCGACAAGACCTGCTCCATCTCGGAGACTCGGTCGATGTCAACACAAGCAGCCTGCAGCAGACCAGCAAAGAGCGCCTCATCGTCGCCAGACTCGAGGAGACGCTGCAACTCCTCATACTCCTCAAACGTGACACCCAAGTTTGCTGCCATCATTGCAGCAAACTCTGCACCGGGGTTAATCTTTAACCATAATTCTTTAAAAGGTTTTATTAATTAAGGATATATCCTTGTTTAAACATGTTTAGGAAAAATAAAAAATTAGATTATAATTTTTTTATTTTTTAAACTTTTAACTTTTTTTTTAATTCTTTAAAAGGTTTAGGTTTTATATAAACCTTTTAAACCTTTAAAAAAGTTATATCCTTTTATAATTGATTTAACACAGGCTAGGAGGTACGACGACGCCCAGTTCAATAAAAAATCAACGAAGTTAGATTTTTATTAGAACGCTTGACAGTGAAATCCTTAACTAAAATTAATTTACTATTTACAGTAATATTAATTGTTATGGATTGATACTCACCTTCTTCATCACCTTCTTCTTCTTCGTCGTCGTCGTCGTCTTCTTCGTCACCATCTTCTTCTTCGTCGTCTTCCTCGGTGCACACGTCGTACTCTTCTTCTCCTTCTTCGACATCTTCTTCCATGCTCTCTGGGCCGCAAACGACAGGAACGTGAGCCATTGGCTCTGGTGCAACGACGGACATGGGGGTGTTTGCGGAGGCGAAAGTGGTGGATGCAGCGATAGGGCAGGAAGAGACGGAAGGGAAGAATAGCTGTAAGGTGTTGCACTGGCAGTTGTGGTGATAGTGACAGCGATGGGTGGAGCGGAGGAGGTACGCAGAAGGATAGGGACGGGAACGGACTTGTTGATGAGGACAGTAGTGGCGGTGGGTTGAAAGAGCGACTGCGGGGACGAATGGAACGGAAGAAGCGAACAGCGGCAAGTAATAGTGGTGACGGTGGCGGTAGCGGATTTCACGCTGGGAGGTTAACTACTAGCAGCAGTTTTCATTGAAAACTATTAGTTAAGAATTATTTAGGGGTTGAGAATTTCTCTTGTGGTTGAGAATTTTCAAAATTGAATTTTATAATAATAATAAAATATGGAGCCTGAACTTAATATTGAAGAACAAATAAATAATGAAGTAGATAAAATTGTTATTAAAATTGAAAATTTTTAGATACTAATTGGCCTATAATACATTATAATTATAAATATAGAGTAGAAATAAAACATATAAAATTAATAAATGAAATCAAAAAAGAATTAGTAGATAAATTAGGATATATTGCAGTTTTTTTCTTTTTAACAGTAATATATACAAATAAGGAATATCCAGGACCATATTTTGAAATTGAAAAAGGACTATTTTTGTTTTATCATTTAGTTTCAGGTATTTCAGGAATAGATATAAATAGATATCTTCCTCAAAGTAGCTTTCATAAATATTATAAAAAATTTTGGATGGATGAAGAAAATTATAAAAGGATAAATAAAATTATAAATGAATCATTAAAAAATATGTTTTCTTCCATAAAATTAAGAGTACTATCAGCACATAAATATAATCCATCATTATTCAAACATGTAACATTAATAATTGATAGCCATGATAGTAGAATTAATTATTTTAATACAGATATAAAACGTGACAAATTATTTTCTTATAAATTTAAAAAAAATGGACTTAGAACTCAAATTATTAGTGATATAAATGATATGATATTATATATTTCAAAAACTGATATGTGTGCAGAAAGCTTAGATGGAAGTATGTTTTTATATATGAAGCTATATAGTAAATTTAATAATTATGATGCTTTAGCAATGGATGGAGGATATACACTTTTTGTTAATCAACTTATTGAATTATCTAGTCAAAAAGGATTTGATTTTAATAATAGTAAGTTTATATATCCTATTAGAAAAGATGTTAACGTTGATTTGAATGCAGATGAAAGATATTTTAATGATGTTTTTGGAAGTTTTCGTTCTAAAGTAGAAAATCAATTTTCTGAAATCGGTAACAAAGTTAATAGATTTAGTAATAGTAATTCAATTGCTAAAATTGATAATATCAAATTTTATAATTTACAGTAAGGGTCCTCACGGGCCGGGCCGGGACGGTTCTCTGCCAGAACCGTCCCGAGCACAATGTACATCAGAACCGACTCGACCCGGCCCGAGAACCGACCCGAGAACCGAGATTAGAACCGAGTTCTTCAACTGCAATTTCAAGAGGGATGGAATTACACAAGATTACAATGATAATCGCGTGAATCGAAGGGAAGGCGTAATTATTGTAGTGCATAGCGAAATTTGTGAATAGAAAATGTGTTTTATTTCAATTGTGGATATACAGTATGACCGTGCGTGGTTGATTGTTGAATTAAAGTATGAAATGTGTTCTAATCGCTGATCTGGTGGGGGGATTTCAGAGATTGCCGGAAAAAAGATTGCTGTATCAATTGTGTAATGACGTGTGTACAGATTGCTGAGAAGACAATTTTGACGTGCCTTTGGTTTGGTTCGCAGCATTAAACGCTGCGTGCTCAGCAGTGCTAATTATACTTATACTGCTAATAACGAATGGACACGAACGATTAAAGGAAGAACACTGAAAGCAAAAATCGCGCACTCAGCAGTGGTACAGCTCAGCATGCTGCTGACTTCTAAAAACTTCCTTTTACGAAATGACAGGCGAGGTATTACTTAGCACTATTTGAAGAGAAGCTGCCGTTTGGTATCATTATCCTCAACGCGTCATGGAAAGTATAAAAGCAACAACTTTATTTTTGGGCAAAATAACTCAACTATTTACTTACATACAGCTTGAACCATTCTACTCTATATCCGTACCTTTTTATATCACATCCAACGCAATGACCTACCCAAACTACTCAGTTGGCTCCAGCTCTGACGACGCTCGTGGTGCTCTTTCTGATCGCGTAAGATTAATCTAAGATACTCCATCATATGCAATATCACCTGCAACCAGCTGATGATAGTACCATTTTATAGAGAGAGTCCAGCCGTAATTCGTCCTTATCCAACACAAGTCGTTCGTTATCAAGTTTTGTTCCTCCTTCCCTAGCCCGTGATCAATCCAACGTCTCCATGGCGTCAGTCGGTTCGCATGTAATGGACACTGATGAAGAGTGCTTCGATGATTCCGCTTCCATGATCGACCACTAAGAAATCACACAGCTTGCCGGTGACGGCGCGAACATTGACACGAGCGGTAAAGAAAAGCAGTCAGTAAGCAGCTGGGTTCTCACTCATGAATACGGCAAACGCGTCTCTATCAACGGTCAACCGAAATCAAGTGCCAGCGGCCTGGTTGCAACAAGGTGTACGACGCAAAGCAAGGTAATACGTCTGGGCTTGTGAAGCACCTGAAGAATGTCCATCGAATCACGCAAACAACTGGTCCGCACGTTCAGGGGAACAAGCGCCAAGCCGGCCCAATGGACCAGCATGTCGAATTTAAGCGTAAGCGTACGTTTGAAAAGGGCGCCTTCCAACGACAATTCGTCAAATTTTTGGTCAAGAGCAAGCTCCCATTTACTTTGGCCGAAAGCGAAGAATTGCAGGAGTTGTTCTACATGGCACAATCAGCACCTACGCAAGAATCCGTCAAGCTTTTGAATGCTGACAGTATGTCGAGAAAGGTAAACTTCGTTTCATGTTTTGTTAAACAAGGATTCAGACATATACTTAACTTTCACTGAAATAGCTGGACGAAGAATACGTCAGAGCCAAAGAACAAACCGCCGCCTTGCTCAAGAGCGTGCCAAAAATTTCTTGCACCGTCGACAGCTGGACCAGCCCATTCCGGCAAGAATTTCTTGGTGTGACAGCACACTGGATGTGCAGATCGACGTGGACTCTGCAAGAAGTTCGCCTAGGGTTCCAGCCTTTGGAAGGTCCACATACTGGAGAGAACCTTGCCGACGCCTTCTTGAAAGTCTTGGATGAGTTCGATCTTTGTTCGAGGCTTTTCACAATTACGAGTGACAACGCATCGAATATGACCAAGATGATGACCGTAATCGAACGACGCGCGAAAGAGAAAGATTGGTAAGTTACTGGGATTATGCTGCTTTGCCAAGATACTCATAAAAAACTATGTGCTCACCAACAACTTATAAAACCAAGGCCATTCCGCAAAGACATCCATCATATCCCTTGTGTTGGACACGTCCTTAACTTGGCAATTTAGGATATCCTGCGAGTTGGTCTTTCAGCACAGGCACCAGAAGAAGAAATCGTTGACGACGACGAAGAACAAATGCCTACCAACTCTAATGTGCTGGTCAAACTACGAAGAGGCGTTACCAAGATAAGGTAGTCATCAGTTAATTAAGCATTAAACTATTTTTCAAGTGATTAACAGGTTTTGATCTATTACCTTAGATCGTCACCGCAACGCTTACAGAAGAAGTTCCTGTGTACCTTAAACAACGAAGGCTGTCCCAAACTCAAGCTCATTCCTGATGTCCGTACTCGTTGGAATTCGACGTTTGAAATGATCACGCGGGCTATCGCGGTCGAGGCTGGCTACAACGCAATGTGCACTGAGGCGCTGGCACAGTATAGGTTGACTGCACAAGAATGGGAGCGCCTGAAGCAGATCCGTGCTCTCCTTGAGCCGTTCGAGAAAGTGACCAAGAGGTTGTCAGCCAGCAAGTCGCATGCCACCATCAACCTCACCATCCTTTGCTATAACCATCTGATGGACAGGCTTGAGGACTATAAGACCAGCCCATCCACACCCATCGACCTGTGCGAAGCAGCGGAAGTCGGTCTCGTTAAGCTGCGAAAGTATTACGGCAAGACTGACACGTCCAACGTTTATGCGTGCGCCACTGCAATGGATCCTAGCCTGAAGTTTGTCTGATGGGCTAAGAGCGGCTGGGAAAGGGAATGGCAGGAGTATAGCCAGCAAATTGTCCGGGATACCTGGTCGACGTTCAAGGATCGCGCGGATGTCGATATCAAAGTGAGCGAGCAGCTGCAGGAGATGTATACGTTGTACCGGATCGACCGAAGCCAAGACGAATTAGAGGAATACATTGGCGAACAACCGATGATGCCAATGGTGGAAGCAGGCAAGCACACAGAGCTAATCTTCTGGGAGTCCCAGTCACAGAAATGGCCGAACTTAAGCAACATGGCTGTACAATACTTGGCGGTGCCAGCAACATCGACTCCTTCTGAGCGTTCTTTCTCGGCAGCTCGACATTTGCTACCGTACACCCGCAATCGTTTGTCTGAGGAAACTATAAAAAAGTTAATGCTTTTGAACTCCTGGTACCCTTAAAATTTTTTGGCTTTTCCTCTTTTCTCCTTTGTTCCTGCCAACTCCGTCCCTTTTCTCTTGTCTTTGCACTTTCTTTTTCATACTTTCTTTTACTCCACCCATTTCACAACCTTTCTTTTTTTAATAGATAGATATAAGTTATATAACATATTGATTTTTCTTAGAAGAAATAAATAAACCTACGCTCGGAAAAACACAACTTCACTCATCCCTCCATTAACAATTATTCTTGCACAGTCAATGCATTTAGTTGCAATGACACGACGAATCTATAGTCGGTTCCTCGGTTCCAACCAAAGAGAACCGAGTCGGTTCTGGTTCGGTTCTTCCATGGAACCGGCCCGACCAGAACCGACCTGACCCAACTTTTGGATCGGTTCTTCGGTTCCTATGAGGATCCTTAATTTACAGTTCCGTTTAGCATATTTATTGAAAAATATAAATAAATTTAGTAATAGATTTAATATAAATATACAAGCACATCATAAATCATGGGAAACTAAAGATTTTGAGTTTCCTTATGAAGCTAAATTAGTAGATATTGTTATTAGTAATTCTATAGAACAAGCAAAAAGAAAAGATGAAATGTTAGAATTACAGAAAAATTTATTATCTTTAAATATAAATAATGAAAGAATGGAAGTTGATAATTATAGTGACAAAAATTTAGAAGATAGTAGTGAAGATGATATACCAAAATTTAATGAAAAGAAACGGCGTAGAAAAGGTAAAGGAAAAGAAAGAGAAAATAATATACAATTTATAAGAAATATAGGAGATAATAGTGAATCATATGAAATAGAAAAAATTACTGGACATAAATATCAAAACAATATATACATGTTTTCAGTTAAGTGGAAAAATTATAATCATAAACATAATAGTTGGTTATCAGCTAATAAATTTAATGAAAAAGATTTATTAATAGCATATATCGAAAAGCATAATATAGATACAGAATTATAAATATCTATGGCAAAATACCATTAAAACATAAGAAAAAAGGATTCCCTATAGTTATTTTTATTAGTTTTCTTTTTTTTTCTTTTTTATAATAGGGTTATCTACCTCTTGTATAGTATTTTCACTTTTTATTATTTTTTCTTCCCTTTTTTTAGGTATATGGTCTGGATTATGTTTTCTACAGACATATTTTTTTTTATTCCCATTTTTAGTTATTTTTTTTTCCACAGAATTTGCCATTATTCTTTCCCGGTCTAAACTTATGAACACAAAAGTCATTATGCATAGAAAGGTATAGAAAATGGTCTGAAGAAAATAGTTTTTTTATTTTGTTATTTAATTTTTTTTTGAGTTTTTTAATAATATTTTGTTCTATAAAGTAATCAAATTCAGATTCTATAAAGGTGTTTAATTCATTACGTAAATTTAAAGATAACTGAATGTGGTTAATTGAAAGAAATTCATTTAGAGCAACCATTCTAAGATATTATTTTTATATAATAAAACAAATTCAATTTTGTTTTAAAATAATTTTTTTAAATATGCATGATTTCAAACTCCGAAGATAAGAAACTTCAATAATTTATATAAAATCTACCAAACAATCTCAAACATCAGCATAATGATTACCCCTCTGTGCGATAAAAAGAAAAGAAAACGCGTGACGTCACGGCCTTTGAAATTTTCATGACAATAAAAAAAAGTAGTTTCCAGCTCTCCTTTTTTCTTCTTTACTAGCATCTATATTCCAAAATGTCAGAAACCGATAAGCCCTTGTCTTATGCCCTGTGTGCACTGCTGATGTATCCAATCGCTTTAGCGTATATCGCCTGTCGTTGGCTAATTGCCACGGGAGTAAATCCTTAACTGTAATTCCTTAAAAGGTTTTATTGATCAAAGGTAAATCATTGTTTAAAGATATATTGTATTTTTCAGCAATGAAGAGACAGTCTCAGAGAAAATAAGAGAAAATTATTGGATAAAATAAGAGAAAATTATTAGATCAATTAAGAGAAAATTTTAGATCAATTAAGAGAAAACTGACCAATAAAATAAGAGAAAAACTCAGGAAAAATTAAGAGAAAAAAAAAGGGGCAATTAGTAGAAAGCTTATTTATGCTTTAATCTCATTATAAGTTTTTCTCCAGGGCTAAGCGCTTTTCAAAGAATCTGAGGGAATGGTGGATCCAGCCTTGGCAGTCTTTCTTGGTTACCTTGGAGCAGGCATCCATGATTCTGGGTGTGAGTGTCTCACCAGTTTCGAAAGGTTTTCTTTTGACACCATACTTCACCTTCGACCAGAATAGCTCAATTGGGTTTAGGAATAGTGAGTATGGTGGAAGATATGCACACCTAAAGCCTCTGCTTTCTATCAAATTTCTTACTGTAGCTGGCTTATGTATGGGAGCATTGTCCATTACCAAGTAAAAGCCCCTCATGTTGTTTTGGTCAAGAACATCCATCACATTACTCAAGTAATTTAGATAATGCTCGGCCCTTGTTCCAATTTTGGCTCTTGTTGTAACAACTTTACCATCTACTCTTATCTTCTTAGCTCCCGAAACCATTATTGGCTTTCTCAAAGAAATGTCAATAACGCCGGCACTTGAGATGGCACCCAGGATGGTTATTGTAGTGCCTTTTGAAGCAGGGGATAGTTGTCTTAGCAGGTGCTCCCTTCTTAGACCAGCCACGAGTGTGTGTCATGTGAAGATTGAATCCTGCTTCATCCAAAAATACGCAATTGTTCTCAAAGTCCATTTCTCTATCAGCTAGCCATTGAAGGATGGTCTCCTTTCTCTTCTTCAAAGTTTCTTCTGAATTTCTAGCAGCTGAAATCTTCTCCAACTTCTTCATAGATAGTGCACAGCTGGTCCTAAGATCTCTGTATACTGCAGATGAGCTTGCAGAGAGACTTGGAAACTCTATGATCAACAACTCGTGTATTCCAGCTACAGTTGTAGTTGAATGCTCATCAACAAGGTCGATAATAAACTTCGAGTGCTTCTCAGTAAGCTCAGAGACAGTTCCCATTCTGTATCCTCTTTTCGTCTGTTGAGGTACCTCCCTAGTTTTCTGCTACTGCGATTTGAAACGGTAGGCTGATTTTTCATTTATTCCTGTCTTTAAAGCTGCATCCTTTATAGGTACCTATTCAACTAACAGAGCAATAAGCTTGTTGATATCCTACTGAGTGTATACACGTCTAGCATTGCTAGCGTCGTCTTTTTTTTCAGTCAGGTCTCTGAGAGGCTTCTCTTCTTTCATATCGCTCTCACTACTCTGCACATCAGCTTCATTTTCCTCCTCATCCGAGCTATTACTGGGCTCAACACCCTCATGCCCTTCCTTCAGCTCCATCGTCACATCTTCATCTAACTCCATGGGGTATGTACTCTAGTTGTGATATTTCATAAAAATTAAGAGTTATAAATTTCTTAGGAGTTATAAAAATTCTTTATATTTACAAATTAATTTAGAAAACACAATAAAACATTTCAGAAATTTAATGAAATATCTACATATTTTTTTAGAAATTATAACAATATTTAAGAGCTTATTTTATTTATTTTGGTTTTTAATTATATTGAAAATAACAATATTATTTAATAATTCTAAACATTTAAAGAAATTGTTATATTTAGAAATTTACTTTACTTTAAAATAAATATAGATTTATCATATCTAACTTATATTTATTTTCAAAATTTTCTATAAGAACATTAATTATATAAAATATAAAATCTCTCTCTCTCTCTTCCAGTCTTTGTTGAAGACAAAACCTAGGAACGGAGTGAGCAATGGAGTGACCTCTAGGAGCGAAGCTCCGACAAAAAGGTTTAATATTTCTACTAGAAAAATACCTGCTGGTATTTTTCACATATAATAACTTATTATAATTCTTAAATATAAAAAAATACCCACTGGTGTTTTCTTTAAATTAATATTTTTATTCATTTTTAAAAAACCAAATTTAATATTTTAGAATTTAAAAATGCTTGGCATTTTAAATTCTTATGTAATAATAAAAAAGAAAAATAAAAATACTCAATTTTTATTTTCTTTTTTTAAAAATAATTAAATTTATTTAGAAAAAATACCAGTAGGTATTTTTTTAATATAATTAATATTAAAAGAAGAGGAGCTTTGCTCACAGAAAAAACTTCGTTTTTTGGTTCACCGTTGGTGAGACTGGAAGGAAGAAGAAGAAGGAGGAAGTTGTTTATATTTTAAGAATATATAATAACATCATAAATAGTATATTATATTTATAAAGTTAAATTTTGTTTTTAAAATAGATTATTTTAATATGCTCAATTTAAATCTCAGAAATAATAAAAAAGTTATTTTTAAAAGAAAATTTACAATAATTTTGTAATCACTATACTATGAGATGTTCTCCCATGGCTGATGCAGTGATGTTATACTCCCACTTCTTTCTCATCATCGACATTACACTGACAATAATCTCGGGTACAGCTTCAATATCTTCGTCGTGTAGAGAGATCTCGTTCATATCATAGTCAATATCCATTTTTTGTTAATAATAGTGAGAAAAGTGCTTTCTACTAATTGCCCTTTTTTTTTCTTTGTACACTCTTTCCGGAAACAATTTGCGCATGCAGCCATGAATTTTTCAGTTTGCCCTTTATTCAAGTATTACGGATAACTAATGCGCAAAACGCGCTGAGTAATCATCCAGCGATACCGGTACAATTACTTTTTTTGCTTCAAACATCATTTTCATATAGGTTGTGGGGCATCGATATTCCCAGGTTCAAATTTTGCCATACTTTTCTGTCAAATGCCCATCCAAACTCGTCTGCCACGAGATTCACGCCAGTTGCTTTTTTTATAAGATAGCCATGCTCTCTTCACAAGCAATGGACAAGAGTTTGGCATTCAATGATTGAGGAACCGCGCTCACTAGTCGCACAGGTTGCCGAGAAGCAGTTCCTTTCGGAGGTGTGTACCAGGTGTCCCGTTGCGGAGAGCTATCCTGCGTTGCTGATGTCATTTGTGCCTTGGGTAGATTCAGTGATTTTAATTGCTTGTTGCTGATGAGGTGTTCCATGACAAAGTTGACTGATTTGAGGACTTCACGGTGAAATGTGAGGAGATCTACCATAATTTTTTCAAACTTGATCAATTCAGCGGTGGATCGTGGTAACATGATATCAAAACGCGGTAGAGCAATATAGAGACCTTGATCTGATAGATGTAAGGAGAAAATCAGACAAGATGGTCCCATAATTTACACACCCCATGCTGTGCAGGCGCGCGATTCATATTGTACCAAAGACATCATTGCATCAAGATCGTCCTTAACTTCCCGATTGAGTTTTCCCTCGTCTGCAATAATTTTGTCGTCATTTGCACTGTTACAACAAGCTTCAACTGAACATACATCAAATTCTAAACCACCTTAGTGAACGACAAATCGCAAATCGATTTTGAAACCTGTCACATTTGATGCACCTGGGTAAAGTTGTTGCTTAGAAGCAGTGGAGAATGGGAATGTAGTTTTGCCAGTTTTGATCTGTATGTTGGTGCCAGCATGGAACAGCCTTCTAAACAGGGGGAGCCAAATGTACGCGACGTAGTCAGTTTCAGAGATCATAGTAGTGGGCTTGGCTTGGAGTAAATCAGATTCCTGATCCAGTAGATTCAGTACATGTTCAAGAATTTGGAGAGAAGGCATAAGGCTGGTAGAATGGTGCTTGCCATAGATTTTGTATAGATAAAGTAGTCCCATTTTGATGTTAGAGGTCTGCTTTAACGTGGCAGCGATGACTTTCAAGGTTGTACTGAGGGTAGGATTCAGGGGGGAAGTATCTGGGATGCGATGTTGTTTTGGAATAGTTGGTTGATTTGTTGCCATTCTGCGGATGTAAAAAGCTTTCACTGAGAAGTGTACGATTGATCAACCAGATCCAAGATCGACGATAGGCCATTGGACATAATCTTTCGCTGTCGCGAAGATAGGGGGTTTCCATGCTTATATTGGTCATGTAAGTTGGTTGCCTCCCGTTTGATAATTGTGGCAATGGATAGCTTAGTAGTGTCGCAGACAATACCATCTGTTTCAACTACTTCTGAGGAGAGGGGGGGTGATGACATTGCATTGGTTTCAAGAATAGGGACGGGTGAATGCAATAGTCCTGATTTTGTGGGCGAGAACAGCGATGGTTGCGTGTCATTAAGCTTCGGAGCAGATGATAAGCGTCCTGAGGGTGTTGATGGTGATATATCTGTGGCATGCTTTGGTGAGTTTTCTGTTTCAGTTAATGGATTGGATGTGGATGGCAATGAATCACTAGACAGTCGAGTGGATGATTCTTCTTCAGATAAAGATGGAATTTTCAAGTGTGAAGTTGATGATGATAAGTTTATAAGTCGTTTTTTGGACGAAGTCGAAGCTGGCGATGATTCCTGCAGTCGTTTGGTGCTTATTGACGATTGCTCAAGTTGTTTAGAATGCTGTGACATCAGTGAGCTTTCGATACTAATGATGCTAGTTTCCAATTTTGTTTGCGACCTCTATCGATCGACAATATCTTGTTGCAAAGCAATGGCATGATTGTCCCAAAAGTAATTGTTGATGACGTCCTTTTTCGCATTGCTCAGCTGTTTCTTGACTCGTGACACTTCTCTCATTATCTTGGTATTAATAAATGCATTGGCAAGTCTATCAAGGTCTTCGCCCATGTATATATGGCATGAACGCTTGCTGGTAAACTGCCTGCGAGAAAGGCTTTCGTCATAGGATGTGATGTTCCAGTCGGTGCATGCATTCGATTTCCAATATTCTACGAGGGAAAAAGAACAGGAGGTTATTTGTTTGATCTTTTTTTTAACTTTTGGTTTTATGAAGTGAGTGAAATACCATAATTAACAAGGCTGTCCTTCAAATGGAGCCATATAATATAATCTCATAGTCATCGTTTTCACTGTTCTTGTTGGTTTTGTTGCACTTGGACATGATCCCGTTTTTAAACTGCAAACAAAGCGAAAGTAGCTTTCACGATCGATTTTACAGGAAGAGCTCTTAATTTTGATTGTGGCTTAGTAGGCGTCATCGTTCTTTTTTTTTAGCCAACAAACAGGAAAAATATTTTTTTTTTCATCTTAGCCTCACAACATCCTTGACGACATCTTTAACGTGCTACTGTTTATCTGATGCTTGATCAGTTTTACAGTAAATACCTGCCCCATATGGTGCACGCCACCTTAAACCATACCTCCAGTAAAAACTACTGTCAATTTTTTAATTTAAATCCCCGGTATTTTTCAAATCCCGCATATGAAATGGATAGATATTTTTTTAACATGTTCTTTTTTGTTGTCTTCCAATTGTAAAGAGTCATCTTTGCCTTGATCAGTGTGTTCCTTGTTTGGTGAAGTCTCACCTTTGGTTGCTCTCATTTCGCTCCGTACAGAGAACACCATACCCCAATGTAGTAATGGAAAATAAATTTTCCATTTTTTTTTCCAAAAGAGGGCTTCTCGGAGGCCTCCAATTTTGGTAATGGCTTCTCCGATGGAAAGGCCTCTGTGGTGGCTCGCTCGGATCGATATAAAAGGAAACTGTCACTTTATGAATAATAAAAGATTGAAAGAAAAATACACCTCTATTTTTCATCTATTTTATCTGCTTTTATCAAAAAATGAACAATATTCCACCATCAGCTATTATTCGCAATCGCGTTGTTATTCATGCAACACCTTGGGGTATGTACAGAAAAGGAAGTTTCTTGGCGCGTTGCGCCTTTATCTCGATCCGAGTAGAGAGGACTTTAAATTTTTGCAAAACTGTTTTGGGTTCTCTGTTCGGAGCGAAATGAGAGCAACCTTTGTTAGTGCTGGAATTAGTATCTGCTCTTTGACAGGTACACTTCGCTCAACTCAGATAAGCTAGATTCAAAGGAAGTGCTGACTACTCGAGAATAGGACAATGTGTATACAAGGGTTAGTCTTGAGTTATTCTCAATTGTGATCCATGTTTGAGAGATTATTGATATGGTGCTAATTATGTAATATTTGATTCATCCGTGTGTGTGGTGTTCTCTCTACTGTATTCTAATGGTCACGAAGACGGCGGAGTGGGTTGACTTGTCTGGATCAATCTTAAAGTAGTGTGGTTTACCACAGATGGAGGTGCATAAGACTAGAATCTACTCACGAAATTCTATACGCAGCAGCAATGTATCAATAATTGGTGAAGATCTCATGTGATACAAATGTGGCAGATATATTTGCCGAACGAACGAAAGCTCCTGATTGGATTACGCTGGATTCGAACTACTGTCAATTTTGCCCTTCACTTATAAACTTGTTCTGACTTTGAGCGACAGTAACTCAAAACTTTATTAGAAAAATAAAAAATCGAAACCGATAACTTTGTTCTCCTGGTCAAAAGGAACATTTTTATTGGTTTAAAATTTTGATACCGGGTGCTGAGATGGTTTCACAGTAATTTAAAGTTACCCACTAAAGTGGTATGGTTTAAGGTGGCATGCACCATATGCGTTGAGCAGTGCGTCCCAGAATTGAGTCCCCACTATATCAGGGACTTGGGAAAAATATTTTTCAAAACGCGAATACCAGACTGCCCATTTTTATGCAGTGAATTTATTCGATATTTACAGGAATGCGAGGTTCAGGCACCCTATTGTAAAATACACACTACTTTGAGATTGATCCAGACAACTCAACCCACTCCGACGTCTTCGTAACCATTAGAATGCAGTAGAGAGAACACCACACACACAGATGAGTCAGATATTAGATAATCAGCACCATATCGATAATCTCTCAAACATGGATCACAATCGAGAATAACTCAGGACCAACCATTGTCAGTACTTCGTTTCAATCTAATATTGATAATCTCTCAAACATGGATCACAACCGAGTCAGTACTTCGTTTCAATCTAGTTTATCTGAGTTGAGCGAATTGTACCTGTCAAAGAGCAGATATCAATTCCAGCACAGACAAAGGCGAGACTGCACCAAACAAGTAACACACTGATCAAGGCAAAGATAACTCTTTACAATCGGAAGGCAACAACATCCTTCATCATGGCCGCCAAACTCAACCTTCCTATCCTTCTTCATCTTTAAAACATCCGAAATTCGCCATGTCCGCGATCCAATCATCAGTTCATCCAAACGGAAGTCTTGACCGCATCTTTCAACAGTATATAAAGGGTTGTGAATTCATTAAAAAAAATCTCACAATCGACTCTCACTGTATTTTCATATTATCTTTATTTAACCTCTTTTCTATTATTATCTACCCGCGTTTATCACACACCCGGCTTTCCTTGACTAAACACACTTCACTCTTCATATCATATCTCCGTAATTATGGGTGGTTCTGGAAGCGGACGAAGACAGCTTAATGGCACTCCTGTCCAAAGTCGAAACAGAAACAGAGATTTCGCTCTGACCGAGTTGTCTCTGCAGAACGATGCTGAACCTGCTGCAGCGACTGTCGAAAACGATGGAGGTATGGCTTACAAAGAGGCCAGAGATCGCGCTGCCCTCGAGACGTTTAGGCTGGCTCGTGAAAGCCGCCCTGCAAACACCATTAATCAGTACTCGAACCGTCAAAAAGAGTTCAAAGGATGGTGTACCAAGATGGGTGTGAGTCCCATCCCTGACGATGGAAAACTACACCTTTTTTTGAAAGAAGAGGTTGGTTCTCTTTGTTCACGATAAATACGTAGAGATGAATGAACACAATTTTATTGATCATAACTTTCTATAAGGTTGCTTTCCGAGCTCACCGAAAGCGAGGAAAGAAAAGAGCTGCACCGGAGGACGTTCATGAGCCTGAAGTGGGACCTTCACCTGTACTTGCTGCCGCGAATAGCTTGTCTGACGGCATTACGGAGCTCAACACACTGCCCAATGTCGATACAGCTTACGAAGTGATGGACATGATGGACACTATGGACGAGGCCAGAGAAGCATCAACGGTCGCTTCTACCATCGGCACCACCATCAACACAACTAGTACTACCACGACCATAACCACCAATAGCACTACCGCTGCCGCTTCCTCCTCCTCCTCCTCCTCCACTACCGAGCCGCTCATTAATCCAGAATTCGCTGCGTATGCTCAACTTGCTGCAGGCGTCTCTGGAAAGAGGGTGCGATACACGACCGTCGAAGCATATGCTGCTGCAATTGTCGACCTATGGGCCGAACAATGCTTAGTCGACAACACTTTCCGCCCGAGCCCTCGCGGAAAACGTGTTAAAGCGTTACTCGACTGGTTGCGCAGAGAGGATCAGAAGATTGCTCGCGCCAATTTCGATGATAGAGTAAGTTAAAGAAGCCATTGATTTTATAGCACAGTAACTTAATAGATCCGCTTTTCATTTAAAGGGTGCCTTCACTGCAGCAGACGGATACACAACTCATACAGAGATGGAAAAGATCGTCGAGCAGTTCTGGGCAAAGGGAACTGAAAACGGCCTCCGCAACGGCACCGCGTTCCTTTTGCAGCACTACGGTTTGCTTCGTGGCGAGAGCATCCGAAAGATGGAGTTTGCAGATTTGCAAACATTACATCTAGAGGATGAAGGTTCAAGTCCTTGCCATGCCCTCGTAATGGTTTTAAAACAAGGCAAGACCAACAAGTTTGGGCGCGTGGAGGTTGCTGGCTGTATGCGCAACAAAAACGTCAACATCTGTCCTCAAATGATGCTCGCTTGCTATTTGTTCAGTCGCTACGAGATAACCGGGGAACAATTTCCGGGTGTCAACAAGAACGTGGACTGGTTCCTACACAAAGTGATCAAGGCGTCGCCGACAGCTCCTGAAAAGGAGATGTCATACAGCCAGCACCTCAAAGCAATCACCAAGGCTTTCGAGGGAGCCTCGCTTCATTCGAAAGCCAAGACACATGCTATGCGTGGCGCCGCTGCTCGGATGGCAGAGATTGGTGGCTCGAGCGAGGGCGCAATTCGTCGTACAGGCCGTTGGAACACCAGCTCTTTGACGACCGCCTACCTCACCAACCTCCCCCACGAACTCCTGCGAACTCTTGCAGGTTTTCAAAAGGAACGCGGCTTTTTTTACCTTCCTCGCGCCAATGTTGAACCACCGGAAGAACTGCGCAAGCAAATCTTCAAGTTTGTCGATTACTGGCGTCAAAGGTTAGATGAAGGCAGAGTTGAAGAAGAATCTTGCGCCGCCGACATGCTTTTGAAGCTGTTGGATGAGCTGCGTGTTGTCTTTCTGCAGGATTCCGTTCTTCTTAAGAAACAGTATCCTCAGCATTACCTTTGGAACCATCCTTTGTTCCAAAGCGAGTTGTATCAGCTGTTCGAAAGGTAACTATATTGAGAATCATATATAGTGTGTTCTTATCCTTTTAACGCCTATTTGTTAGTTCTGTTGAGGCGGCTGTACAAGAGACAGAAGAGCCGGAGCAGATGCGACTAAGAAGGACAGTTCCCGAGATCGCACATCAACTCTCTGATCTCAACCATCAGTTCGCATCGCGTTTTGAGGCACAAGCTCGACACCAACAAGCGCAACATGAGGCTCACATGCAAGTCCTCCAATCACTGCTGTCTGCCATCACACCTTTGCAAGCGCTTGTTCCGCATATCAACAGCCTTGCTACATTTGCGCAGCAGCTAACAAGCTACACGTCTGGACAGGTGCCTTTGACTTTGACGCTAAACCTTGGCAACGCATCTCAGCAACAACAACGGCAACCACAACATCGGCAACCGCAGCAGCAGCCATCACAGCAACAGCCTCAACAGCAGCAACTAGAGCAGCAACCAGAGCAGCAGCAGCAGCCAGCAGAGCAACAAATTCAACAACAACAACAACAACCGCTGCAGGATACAGCAACCATCTCTCTTCCCTTTTTCCCGCCACCACCACCTGTGCAAAGGATCGCACTCGCGACGCACGCATCTGCATCACCATCAGCATCATTAGATCATCCATTGCCTACACCAGAGTACAGAATGTCACGCCATACTGTAACGCTTGATATGCTTTGGCGCGAATGGTACCATGGCTTGGCTGGTGGACCTGCAGTTGATGAATTGGAGCGCGAGCACGGCGTTGCGTGGCGGCGAGCAGAGTCAGAACGCCGGTTTTATAACCGAAGACGTATAATTATCGATAACATCAGAGACTATGCCACTCAACACAGACTGACCAACGAGGCAGCTGTCACAATCCTAGAAGCGAAAAGAAGCAGACAAAAAAGAACCTTGCATTGGATTGCTGAAAACCCAAATCTTTTCTTCAATAACTAGCTTTCCTATGCTCCCACTCACACGTCTTTATATTTTCCGCTTCTCTCGCTCTCTCTCTCTCCATCATCTATATGTCTCTTCGTTACCACTCTGCCTCTGCTGTTCTGCTAATTTTCTGTTGTGTCTCTTTGTCATTCTGTCTCTCTCGCTCTCTCTCTCTCTCGCTCTCTCTCTCTCTCTTCTTTTACTATCCCAGCTCACTTACACAACGCACACATACACATTACATTTAGTAACGTTATTTCACATGCGTTTGCATCATATCTTCTGAACTTTTCCCTCACCCTCACCTCTTTTACATATTATAGATTTCTTTTCACCTTCAATTTCTGCTTTTGCTCTTCATTGGTCATAGTCGCCTCTTTTTTCCACCAGCTTCGACTTTCTTTTATTCAATAACATTAACGATTCAGCCATTACAGATTTCCAAGCATGATTATTGTCATTACTAACTAATCGATAACAGTAGCATAAGTACGGGTTTCACTGACTGCAGGCAATTATTTTCGAATGTAAAAGCTATCATATATCAGATATCACAAGAGTACTATAGCTTACCTTATTTTTATGTAAGGACAATGGTGCGTGCTGCATTCTATGTTGTTCAAGACCAGACTGTATATTGCAAGGATGTTATATAAGGACGACGTGAAACAACTGCGCAACTCGTTGATGCTCTAAATAATAGAGTGGCCAGTGTTCTTTTGCGTTCTAATTCTAAGAAACCGAAAACACCCGTGGTCAAAGAGATTAGCACCAAACTGTCCTCTGGCATAGTAGATACAGACTGTTATTGTTGCACTTGATTATCACGCACTTCTTCTATGGTGTCATGAACCATGGTGCTGTCCTCAAATGAGAATCTCATATCGACAAGATATTGATCGCCTTTTACTTTACCAGATTGTTTTTCTCTCTACAATCATGTTGATCGTCTAGTGAGTATCTATGGTAGCTTATCTGTTGTCTAGGTTTATTACAATAAGAAAAACACGCGAGAAACACTGGCGTTTAACTGTTTGCTCTCTATTGTACTTATATATGTTTTAAGTATCGTGTATAATTCTAACATTAAGTTAGTGTACCATTTTTATTGCGATTTTCGCGGTCATCACGTAGAAAGATGTACAATTTGATTCAGTAATCGAAATGGTGAAGGTAGTTTTCAAGAGCAACCCCTTTAACAAAATTAGCTTCCGCTCGTTGTAATGCAGTATGGACTGCTTTCTTTACGCTGGGGGACTTGGAGTGAATATAAATCACTTATTTATTCCCTTTGAGCAAGATAACTGGCTTAAAAATTGACCAAGTCCCGTTGGGTTTCAATTCCTGGGGACCTCGCTGGACGCAGTGGGACTTTGAGGTTTTATAAAAAAAAACATATAATCACCGAATCATGCGTACTGAACACAACAGGCGAAGCTCCTACTATCGATTGCCCATGATGAACTGCATAATAAGTAATCTCTTCCTACTGTAGTTCGTTTTCAAACGGGAATTTCTTTATTGCTTTGCAAGTGTAAATAAATTTTTTTCAAGTAGGAGGAAAGGAAAATTACCACTGATGTGTTGCTGCTGGCTAATTCCAATAACTACAGGTGTATGGTGTATGATAGCAGAATTTTTTTTAAGTAAAAACATGCTCTGGATTTTTTGCCCTTCAAAATGTTTCAAAGGTGACACATAACTAGCTAGACTTTTTATGTGCTGAACATAAGCATCTTGTTTGTAACTGTGGGTGTGTAAATGCGAATCGCTGAACACTGCTCGATGATGGTTGGTTCAGTACTCAATGCAACAACGTCGCAACTGCTTTAAACTGTGTGTGAAGATAGCACCGATTTAGACTTAGACTGAATAACTACTGCTACTGCTCATAAGCGCCCTTTCGATGAAGGTGTATATGTACACTGCTTTATGTTCATTTGCAGTTTATCGCCGACGTCCCATATTATCTGTTCTTTCCCTCACAAACAGCAGCTGTTGCTGGTAATCCATATCACAAATGTGCGTTTGCTTTCCTGCCATATTGAAGATTCCACTGATGCACTAACGGAAGACATGTGGATTATGTAGCTAAATAAAGCTCTAACTAACTGGTGCGTTTGTTCTTTGCCCGCAGCACCATAGCATACATACAAGAATAGATTCTGTATTCTCTAACGAATACATCAGTATTCTCTTTTCACACACATTGCTTTTTGTTAAGTAATAGCATGATGCGGTCAGAGGAGCGGCTATAATTTTTGTTGCATACCTAATCTTTAACCCATATGCAGCTTGCAGATTTGCGGGAATGTAATATACAAAAACGATCTTTTTACATGAATATCATAAAAAAGGACATTATAAATCTCTGTTGCATGGTTGGCTATGGATGCTTGTCGTGTATTATTACCTGAATACAGTTTTCAAGGTTTTTTCATTGAAAAATATTACAAACCCTTTTTGTAGCCTCCGCTGTCAATAAGGCTCGGGTACTATGTTTATTATTGCATAAGTAGCTGTGGGTTGGAGAATAAAGTTCAGACTTACTTGTTTTGATCTGTCATCACCTGTCTCCTACTCTTTTGTCTCTCCATCAAGCTCTGTGAAAAATGCGAGGCATTTTTTTCCTCTACGAAAAGCACTGATTTTGACGTCTGAAGTTGGGGGTTACTGCCATAGTTGACGAAAAGCAGTTTTCAGGTCAAAAGCAAAAGCTGGAAATTACCCTTGCTGCTGCGGCAGATATCTCGCGATGAGTTCCTTACAAGAGCCGCCATAACAGTTATCATGCACTTTTTTGTTTACAATCAACAACTTCAAAATAAAAATGTATAGACTGGTCACGCTATTGTTACTACTGCTCACAAACAACATACTTGAGGACACTAACGTCCTTTTATTCTGAATACAGTGATTAAATAGATACATACCTGGGTTGTCGTAGGCTCTTACCGTGCTTTAAGCAGTAAGAGGCGATGCAGCACATGCGGCAATCAAACATTACGATCGGTATTTTCTGTGCCACCTGTAGTATAGTTATCTAGAAAGTTTGAATAGACATTGTTTACTGCGTGACCACAACCGTCATCATCGTCAATGGCTGAGCGACAGTGATAGTGACTCAGAACTGAAAGTCTGCGTTTTGGTTTGGGGGGTCCAGATTGTGATGTGGTCATTGACAATGACGTTGTGGAACGACATGCATCACAAAAACTGCAAAACAACAATGCAAACTCCGTGATACGCGTCTTCTGGCCTTTCAATACCGAGTAATCAGAACAATTTCGGAACTCATGATTTTCCACTACCACAGTCATGATGGTAAACACGGCAATAGCAATACTGGCAAAGAACAACGGACTACATTTTTAAAAGATAAACATTTGTTAAATAAGCGATAGCTGAGTGGTTTATGGCGGCTAGACAGAAGATGCTATTGTTTTGTTATCATGTTTTTTTAAATTCCGCGAATATAAACAAGAGTAACGCTGCTGCATATGTATACCAGGAGCGATTATTTTGACAGAAACGAGTAAAATACGCACATATTATAGAAATAGCACTGCTCCTGCATAAAAGAGTTATATATTGTATACAATTGTGGAAATAACGAATTTGATTGGTTTACTTCATATACAAATAATACTAAGGACATACTGTACTAGGCAGAAAGAGAGAAAATTATACATGTAACGATTTTTAAGGGGTGTGTGTGCTACTTGGTGATTATGATGGTGGCTGGATTGGTGTGGTGGATATTATGGAATGAGTAGTTTTGTGTAGGCTGTAGGTCAACTGACGTTGTTGTAGTGTGAAAATTCAAAGAAAGAGTGTGTGTTTTGTTGAAACAAAAAAGAGTATATACACGATAAATGGACTGTTTGATGAATGTGGAATGGAGAACAAAGGTGAAAAGACTGCGAAGGAAAGAGTATGAGTTATTTACAAGAAAGAATGAACAGAGAAATGGGATATCGCTTATTATAATGCCAAGTCGACGCGGTGTCGTTCGACATAGTCATGAACGTCCTTTTCATCCACCCAGCATTGATACTTGATGAGCTTTAGGAAGGCACGTTCGAGCATATTAATGTCTTCAAGTGAAAAGAGGCCACCACACATGTCACACAGTCGGCGATTAGTGATTGGACCCACATAGTAAGAGTTTGCATAACCGTAGTAACGTGCCCAAGATGCGGCCAACAAAGCCGAATCGGCCGTAGAGACGGCATTGGAGTGGGTGTATGTCGGCGCCCATGCTGTGTCCTGAAGGAACTTGGATGCCAGTAACAATGCACCTAGCAGCATGCGATGGCAAGTATCTAGGTTTATTCGTGACGGTGTGAGCAAATTTCTGACGATCGAGCCCAAAAATACCTCTTTTCTATTCACTAGAAAAAAAAATTCGCCGTATGGTGTTTGCCACCAACAACAAGAACACAAAAAATGATAATTACCATAACTACCGACAGAGTTTCGGGGAAGGGACTTTTTGGCTCGTTCCAAGTAGATGAGTGCTACAAGTGCTGTGCGGCAGTTGATTCCGGCTTGATGAGTGATTTTTTGAATAAAGTATACGAGCTCGGGGACGGGTCGACGCGGTTGTTTCTGTTGTTGCTGATCAATAGGCTGCTGTGTGGGAGAACCAGGTGCGGATGAGTTTCGTCGTTTGGACAGTGAAGAGGAAGGTCGACGTTGGTTTCGGAATGGGATGATATCACATAGTGTGATTGCCATGAAATCTGTTGTCGTTATCAATCATAAATACGAAAAGTGATCACGTTAGTATGTTGTCAATAGCCAATATATCAGTAGCAGCAGATGAACGTACCGATGAGTACAGATGGGAGCGGTCTCCAGCGACTAGATTCAAGCGTCTGCTGCTGTTGGATTGATGATGATGAATTCGCGCTTGATTGAGCTGAAGACGTTGGCTGTAGCATGGTGTCAAGCATAATTTGCATGATGCTTATGATTATGAGGAGTGAAATAGGTTTGTGAGGTGTTAAAGAAGAATAAAAAGTAATAAGTAGTAGTAAGTGCTAGTAAGTAGGAATAGAGGGAATCAAAAGAAAAGGGAAACAGTGGAGTGGGGGAAGAAGAAAAGTTGGCCCCTATTTATAAAGCAAACACACAAACACAGCGCACATTAATCGAGACCAACCAGCAACAAGAACATTCATTGTTATATTGTTTCCCATCATCAAACAGCTCTCCTTGGTCGTTTCTCTTTTTCTGTCGATCGCCCATTTCGGATGCCACTCCGAATTTATCAAAGCTGAGAGCGCACAAGATCGCTGCCATTCTTGAAGTGTATACATACCATCCTTTTGTGAAACCTGGTGTCGGTGAACTTTGATACTTTTGTCACGTCGGAAATGAAAATACACAATCGTAATGATGTTGGTGGGCGAAAACCACAAAGCATGTTTGCACTACACCCGCTTTATCATCCGGAATTACTGTTTACGGTAATTCCTACCTTCAATCTGCTCACGCGCTTGACAAGGAGAGAGAGTCCCAGGGGATATGCAGCTGAAGCAACCCACCCACTTACTGCACCCCATAGCTATACTTACATGGTACCATTTTTCCTCCTCATTGTGCCAGGGTTGGCAAATGCGCTGCTCCCTGTAGAAAAGACAAACGTGTGTTGCTTTGCCACTTTTGTGATAGCTAGATGGATATACAAAATACGCGTTGTATTGCCAGATACTCAAATAGTTTCAGTAAGTGCTGTTCTCAACGATAATTGCAAGTGAATGTACATTAGCCTGCTTGTATCAAGAGTACTACCCGTAGCAGCTTACTGTTCAAAAGGTCTGGAACGATTCCTTTTGTTTTATCGACTAACGAAGGAGCGACCCAATGATGAGACGACCATTATCAACAACAATAACAGCAAATTATAATGCATCTACACGTCTTCGCTAACTGCTTTTGTCCTTCCGGAATTTCCGGACGAGCTTGTTTACGCCACGTTAATTCAATATTCAAAATCAGCCCTTCGTTGGTTTCCTTCTCCCACCCCCGCCCAACTAACTCGCCAAGATAGATAGGGAATGGGATTGATTATATTTTATACGTTATGTCAAACAGGTATCTTAAGCCCACGGTCTTCCACAATGTTGAGTCGATCCAATGCTTCTGCTGCCGTAGATGGATGATGGAGTCCTGGTCGTTCGTCGATAAGGGCACCACTAAAAATCAAGTGGATTTCTTCTAAAGAGCGTCCCTAAATTTCATTTTGCGGGTTAGCGATGACGATGTTGACAGGCGGGAAAAAGAGTTAATTGTTTCAAGATTTCTTCTGCCTACTGTGCCACTTTCAAATCAACAAGTCGGATGTACTCTCTATACTTTGTCATCCAAACACACCCTCTTTTATGTCCCTTCTTTTGTTCCTCCGTCCCACCGCCAGAAAACAAAATATAGCTATTAACAGTTATATCACCAGGGCCCTCGATAATATATATTAAAGACTTACCCGAGTCTCGGGATAAAAGGCATGAACAACCCAAGCAATCAAAAGGCACGAACAACCAAAGACAACATATGTGCCCCAAGTAATATGTCGGAACAAGACTGGTGCGATCTGCGAGATGAACAGGTTGAAGGAGTAGCTCGCTGCAGTGGTCACGCCCATGGCCTTTGCGCGAATCAGTTGAGGATAAATCTCGGCTGGGTAGATCCATCCCAATGGGCCCCAGCTGAGTGCAAAACATGCAATGAATAGACACAATACGGTCAAAATGCTATATGTGGCAGCCTTGTTGTTGATAAACACGTTCTCAGTGCCATTCTTATCGCTGTAAGCGCCGAGTACCGTAGCCGTCGTAATCATACAAATCGCCATGGCAAGTGACCCTCCTGTGAGAATCCGGCGGCGATCCCACTTGTCAATCTGTGTTTTTCACAGAGATGATAGAATGCCATCATCAACAAAAGAATCAGCTTTTCTTCTTCGTTTTGTTATCATTGGTCCCGTGAGTTTTGAGTTTTGTTTGCTTTTTTGTCGTGTTATCAGAAATATGTATTTCCTTACAAAGAAAAAGACCGGGACAGTTGCAAGCATGTTCACCATGCCGCTCACACCGTTTCCTAATGAAGAAAATGTTAAAGGAGAGGGGAGTGGGGAGCGGTCAAAAAAGTCATGGGACAATATATCTGTTAAGAACTAACCGGACGACATTACGTACCCAAGAGTTCTGAATTTATCTCGGTGATCCCGGTAGATTGTAGAATATGTGGTAAATAATACCTGGCTTACGAGTCAACCCATATGCTTTCTTTTACTTCCCGTAAATGATACGTCCGTCAAGAAGACCATGAATTACAGCACGTTTCAAATACTTTCAGAAACTTACAAAAGTACATTTATGCCGGTAAGTTGCGTCAGCATATGAATTCCGACCCCCAGCAAGGTCCGCCTTCGATTGTTCTCGATACCTTTGTGCATCAACGAAGAATAGCTTTTGGAAGAAAAGTGCTTATCGAACGAAACATCTTGTACAATGCCAATGTATTCCATCTGGATCGAGTCTTCACCGACACTGCTACGAATACTGGTTAAGATAGTAAACGCTTCTGCCATACGCTCTCGATAGATGAGCCAACGTGGGCTATTAGAACTTTTAGGGCCGATCATGTTGTGATGGGTGTGTGTCACAATAACAAAGCATGTATACCTCTCAGGTAACGCGAATAGGCCAGCAAATAATAGAAAAGGCGGCAATATCTGGAGCCCTAAAGGAAGCCTAGAAACTCACGTGTGTGCTATTAATCAATAAAGATGTATTCGGAAGAAGACATAGCTTGTCGCGCTATCGTATGTATGCAAATGATGCGTAAAGGATATATGTTACCTCCACGACAAATTGGTGGAAATATGACTCGTTCCGTAGCCGATCCAAAATGCAACGCAAAATCCGAGTGTGACACCCAATTGATAAAAGGCAATGAGCCGACCGCGATGCTCGGGCTGCGATATTTCGCTCTGATCTATTACATTTGTAGCACATGAATACATACTCCTCCTTCCCCCTTAAGTATGGATTTTTATACAAATATGGAAATTGTTGTTCATGCTGCAAAAAAAAGAAACTTGCATAATGGTACAAGCATGCTAAAGATACTAGATGACGACGGTGAAGCATCGGCATAAGGATCAATAACAACAAGCTGATGTCGGCGTGCTTCTTCCGAGTGTTCATAAAATACAAGACAATTTACCCAATCGCATAGAATGAAATGATCCGGCCGAGTATCAAGGTTCCGATTGAAGTTGCCATGATCTGGACCAACGATCCTGTAAATTTTGAGATAGCAGCAACAAAAAAGTAGTTCCTTCGGCCAATCCGGTCGGCAACCGGTCCTGAAAGCTAATCTTATTTTGAATGTCCTGGATGTAACAAAGAGTAGCTGTGTGTGTTATGAGACTCACTATAGATCCAAAAACAGATGCAGCTAGTGGAATTGATACGATACTGGAGTTACTGGGTAGGTCACTGACAGAGAACGTTCTCTGGAAATCCGCCATGACTAAACATCCCGAGAGTGTGCCGCTGTCGTATCTTTATGATTTGATTATGCATACATTGTCATCAGCTCATATCTTTTGATTCAGCTCTTCATTATCGCTTGTACGATTTCGGCATTATATATTTACATACCCATACTATGCATGAGCAAGAGTTTCAAATGACATACATAGAGCGTATTTATCAACGGGTAAAGATGGATGCGTGTGGCACCTTATTTTTATTATATAACCATACTTACCATGAAACCACCAAGCGATACAAATCTATCTGATGAGCATATGATGAAACATCGAAGGCATGTCATTTTTTATCGATTTCATCATTGCCTTTTTGCGAGAGAGGACTTGTCTTACCCGCATATAACGTAGAGTCTGTTATTGCCAGATATAGGCATACAAGACCATGTCATTTCTCATATATGTTAACAACAGTTCTAAAATGAGTATTCAATATAAGAAGCAACGGATGCGTTATATTAAATTTGGATAGCTTCTCTGATTCGTGAAGAGAAAGGAAAGAGCGCGAGGAAGGGGATAGTGGAAATCTGCTAACGACATATGAAATAAGAAAAGCTATGCCGTCCTTGAAGCCGGCAAAGGAGGTGGCGGCAAAAGTGGTAAATGAAGAGAGCCGGTTGGGACTACAATATACAGTAAAGGAAGAAAAAGGATGGAGGAAAGGAATGACGGTGCTTTGTTCATTGTTTTTACAAAGTGCGCGACACTTGCCAGACGCGGACCAGGTTGTCAGAGTGACCAGAGAACAAAGTCGAGCCGTCAGCAGACCAGGCAAGCGACAAGCATTGAGGATCCTGGACCTTGTTGGTAGCAGTGAAAGTAGGGCGAAGCACCTCAACCAATTTCTTGTTCTCCAAATCCCAGACCTTGATTGACGAACCAGTGGCAGCGCAAAGCCAGTAGCGGTTAGGCGAGAAGATAAGTGCATGGACCACATCATTGGCTTCGAGCGAGTAGAGATGCTTGGAATCATTCAGGTCCCACAGCATGACAACGCCATCCTTGCCGGCTGAAGCACACAACGAACCATCAGGCGAAACAGTGACAGTGTTGACGTAGCCATTGTGGCCGATGAAGTTCGAGCGCAGCTTGAGTTTGGTAAGGTCCCAGATCTATTACCATGTTAATTACGCAGTTAGCGTCAATCCATTTTCCTTTAATATATCACAGTATTGTAGGAATCTCATCAAGAGGAAGAAAGAACAAAGAACGCTAGGTTGCTCGTCTTATCCGACATGTGTCTTCTCCAAACTTTCTTTCTCTTGCCACTGTAATAAAGAAGGCAAACAATTACCTTGACAACCTTGTCCCAACCACCCGAAACGATGACAGGGTTGGCAGGATTAGGCGAGAATTGCACACACGAGACCCAGTCTTGATGACCATCTTCAGTCAAGCTGTACTTGCACTCACCCCTAATAACATTGGCACATTACAGATCAATCAATAACTGCAATTCCTAAAATTTCCATATAACCACACCGCCACATACACCTCGTGCCTTGAAAAAGATCCAATAAACTTACAAAGTGTTCCACAACTTGATGGACTTGTCGCGAGAGCCAGACACGATCTGGCGGTTGTCAGCCGAGAAAGACACGGACATGACATCGTTCGTGTGGCCCACGAAGCGACGGGTGGTGGTACCCGTGTTCAAATCCCAGAGACGAAGCGTCTTGTCCCAGGAAGCCGACAAGGCAAACTGACCATCGGAAGAGATAGCCAAGTCTTCGACAAAGTGGTTGTGACCCAAGAGAGATTTGCGAGGAACTCCATAGTCAATTTCATCCCTTTTTTCATATATTTAGAATATAAAATACACAATCAGGGCAATCGTGAGCAATTTTTCCATTAGAAAAAATGGCATTCACTTCAACTTTGAGGTAGTTCCCAAAACTCTCTTTCACAACCTTGGATAAACTATAAGAATAAATAAATAGAAATTTACCTGACACGGAATTAGCATCGTAAAGTTCATTATTACTGAAACCTCTCTCCACGTCTTTCCTCCAAATCAACAAACCTCGTAATGTGCCAAACAATGATTGACTTGTCTATTAAATAGTTATTATTAGCATGAAGCTCGAGTGCTAGTATATTTTAAAAGGAAGCATGTTGCTGGGCGAGTCAAACTTACCGCGCGAGGCGGAAAGAATCATGTCTGGTGCCTCGGCCGACGTAACAATCGAAGTGACCCAGCCGTTGTGGCCTAAATCCATCCGTTAGTTTTCCTTCAATTTTGTCCATCCGTCCATCCATCCATCCATCTATCCCCATTTTTCGAACCTACCCTTAAGTTCTCCGCGGAAAGTGAGTGTGTCCATGATGAATGTGCTGTGATATAAGAAAGTGAAAGAGAGAGTATTCACCCTTACCCCCTTCTGCCAATTTTCTCGCACATTTCCAATTCCGGCACTGCCTGGACTTCATGCGCGTGCGATCATTAGCAGGAAACAGATCCATTCCTTTCTACTTCTTAGTCTTATCACTAGTTCTTAGCAGCAGGGTCAGGTATCGACTTCATATGCAACATGATTCTCAATCTCCCTTTACATAGCCTTGTAGCTCACCATGAAAAAGGGCTTGTCTTTCTTTCATGTTTCTATTGGATTGAGGATGCACGAAAACAATGAAACAGCATAAAGAATAGTATATGAAATCTTGTCCTGACTTGCGCTGTAATATATAGCGCTGATTTTCACTATGCCGTTGCAGAGGGCGAGTCGTGCTCAACACTGTTCAGGATAGCCCTGATAAAAAGGGCAAGCTTCTTACATATAAGGTCGAGCCGAGTTGTGTCCAAAACACGCATTGTCGTCTTTGTATCCATCGTTACTACTTTGTAGCAGCCTTACAGGATACACGCTTATGACGACCCAATCTTATTATTGTTGCATACAAGTGTAGCACTTTAAAAAGAGGTACAGTACAACAGCGTTGAATCCAGTCAGTTCATATAGTGTTCGTTGCATTGTACATGAACTTCCTCCTGTAAACGAATATGTAAAACTTCAATATAATGCATGTACATGGGCACCTCTCTTTAATTATAGCCGCTAAAAGATATATTTTCTACATTCTAAATACACCAAACTTGGTCTTTTCGATAGGGGCGTTTAAGCTAGCGCTCAGCGCCAGTCCGAGCACATTACGCGTGTCCCGTGGGTTGATAATACCATCGTCCCATAAGCGTGCACTGGAAAAGTAGGGATGACCTTCAGCCTCGTACTTTTCACGGATAGGTGCCTTGAATTTCTCTTCTTCGTCCACAGGCCACTCTTCGCCTCGCTTGGCCTTGCTTTCGCGAGTGATTTGAGCTAGAACATTGGCACTTTGTTCACCACCCATGACGGAAATTCGGGCATTCTATTGATATTTTACATCCTATTAGGGCCTAATACATCACCATTCAAAAGTGAGGAGGTAAGGAAAAAGAGTAAATCAACTTACAGGCCACATCCACAAAAAGCGTGGAGAATATGCGCGACCACACATGCCATAGTTACCCGCACCGAAACTGCCACCAGTGATCACAGTAAATTTGGGTACCTTGGCGCAGGAAACAGCAGTGACAAGTTTGGCACCGTTCTTGGCAATGCCACCTGCCTCAGCCGAAGAACCGACCATGAAACCGGTGATGTTCTGCAAGAACACTAATGGAATACCGCGCTGCGAGCAAAGTTCAATAAAGTGGGCGCCTTTAAGAGCCGACTCGGAAAACAAGATACCATTGTTGGCAACAATACCGACAGGATAGCCATGAATATGAGCAAAGCCTAGCAATAGGTTATTAGTGTGTAATTCATAGATAAGATAGGCAGTAAAAGTGGTATATAACCGGAGAGATATACGGAGTCGGGCATGTGTCATCATGTACCTGTTACCAAGCTTGTGCCATAATGTTCCTTGAATTCGGCAAATCGACTGCCATCCACAACACGTGCAATAATGTTCTTGCTGTCAAAAGTCTTTTTCAAGTTGTCACCAACAATACCGCCGATTTCATCAGCAGAATAGAGGGGATCTTCAGGTGTACGGATGGCAAGTTGGGGATCCTTGACCCGATTCAGTGTGCCAACAACTCTGCGAGCAAGAACCAATGCGTGTTCGTCATCCAAAGCATAATGATCCGTCACACCCGAAGTACGGCCTAAGTAGCAAACAGTATCAATCCAGGTTTGAGAGCGTTAAAGCTCTTGCTTTTTCTTTCCTTAACTTTCCCCCCCCTTTTTTTTTTATCAAATTATCCGCAAATCAGCTTACAATGTAAATCAGCACCACCTAGATCTTCTGCACTGATGTTTTCGCCAATAGCGGCTTTAACTAGCGGCGGTCCAGCAAGGAAAATGGTTCCCTGTTTCTTGACAATGATACTTTCGTCGGACATGGCGGGTACATAAGCACCACCGGCAGTACAGGAGCCCATCACAGCAGCAATCTGAGGGATACCCATGGCGGACATGTTTGCTTGGTTGAAGAAAATGCGACCAAAATGCTCACGATCGGGAAACACATCAGCCTGGCGAGGCAAGTTGGCACCTCCGGAATCGACTATCAAATAGAACGCAATGTGTTCAGCATAGACGCACGCAATATGGCTGTGCCATGCCTTTCTCCTTTTCCATCCAATTTGCAATGTTTTAGAAAACAGGTTTCTTAATTACCCAAATAGATACAGGGAAGGTTATTATCTTTGGCAACTTCTTGTGCTCGCAAATGCTTCTTGACTAAATGGTTTGACTCCACTTGAGTATTCTTGATGCCGATAAAAGTTTATCGCTTCTATATGCTATCTCTTACCTGTGATGGGATAGTAGGATCCACCCTATAGAGTACATGATCACATATTGAATATCATATCTCAAAATACAGTAATGAGGCCGGATCATTAACAGCAGCTACTGCTTACCTTGACAGTAGGATCATTTGCAACAATCATACATTCGACGCTAAATGCAGCAAAAAAAAAATGCTTAGTCTTCAATTGATCCCTTGTGGCAAAAAGTTCTTCTCACTGAAACTTACCCATTAACGCGTCCGATACCTGTGATGATGCCACCTGCAGGAACATCATCCTCGTATAATTCGTAACCAGCCAAAGGCGACAGTTCCAAGAATGGTGAGCTAACCCGTTAGATATTACCGTCAGTAAGTATCCCTTATGATTAGACAAAGCGGAGTCATTTCGTTTCCTTACTTTTGATCCAACAGACGATTAATTCTATTTTATCAGGCAGTGTGCCCAAATGAAATTAGCATGTGAATTAGATATCAGACTGGATATCCAACCCAACAACAACCACACACACAAGCCCATCATCGCATCCTTGTTACCTGTCGCGTGGCAGCAATTTGTTTCTGGACAAGTGTCGTTGACGTGCGCGTTCGCCACCACCTTAACGAGCGTGTCAGTCTCTTTCATATCAAGTCCGCGGCGTACACGCGCTTGCATACACTCACTATCTTACCCAGTTTGATTTTTTCAATTTTCAGTTCAAGGTCCTCAATGGCTTTTTGCATGCTTGCCGCGTTTTCCTACAACATAGTAAACAGACGCCATGAACATTGGAAGCAGGAATTGGGGATGATGATGATGCCGTCTGTCCAGCTGTTGTGGAGGTTCTCTTATTCTTGGTTTTTGTTTTGTCCTTACCTTGAACGTCGCGCTGGCAGCCTCGACTTTATTGGGAAGCACAGTGGCTTGCTGTTCGTGTATGGTGTGATAGCATCGTGAAACCGCCTGAAGAGTCAAGGGACGAAGCGAAGTCGAAACAACCGGTCGTATGCGAGCTGCGAGCATGGGGGCGACGAAGTTTGTAGGTGAAAGAAGCGTGTGGGCGTCGTGTAAAAGGTGGAGCGAGAATAAGAGGCGGGGGCAGTCGGCGAAAGTGAACACAAAAATTCCCACGCTTCAGACATGTATTTTTAAACTCCTCATTATCATCCATCCCCAATGCCGACCCACCAAAGTGCAAATGCGGGGTTGCCCGTGGTAATTTTCTTCTTTTCTATCTCACCATCAAGTAGGATTTATTGAAGCCAGTACTCATCTGTACCGCTGTAAGGGTGCATTGTAATCGAGACAGTTATTTGAATTGGAAAATATGTGTGGGAGGGGGTATAATGGAAATGTCGCTTCTTATGATACAACTTTAATCACTCCATCTCTGTCACCGCTGATGATCATTGGATAAGGCACTTCTGTCAAAATCACGTCCGTAATAGCGTCGGTATGGTTGCGTAGCAAATGCTGTTGCTGTGCAAAGTTTGTTTCACTGGGCGTTTGATGATTGCCGCGGCCACTGCTATTGCTGTCGCTGTATCCCATCTGCATAGAGGCTGCGGACGACGGGTTGCGTAGTGCATATGGGTATTCGAAATGGAACTTGATTTGATCATGGACAGTTGCGCTAGATAGGTTACGAAGAGCATCTGTTAATATCTCCATTGTTTGCTATTATACGGCATCCGTCCTACACATATTACATTCAATTCAACCAGAAAAATATATTTACATGTAACGCGGTTTTGGTTCATCCGAATCAAGTCCCAAAAGTACACTTGAGCTCTCTGCCCGTGCAGTATCCCAGAACCTGAGCTTGCGGTCTGATCCACCCGTGATGATAAATCGACAGTCAGATGGTGATACAATCGCCTTGATTGAGTTTTCCGCAAAGTGGACTTCATTAATGATATTGGGCTCTTCGAAAAGATCATCTTCAGACGGTGCTTCGACGAGCTATGATAACAGCACATGTATCATCAGTCCCGCACGTATCATTAACAAGCATATGACTCTCAATTGGCAAAAGTAGAAAAAAGCTCTATAGTGTGTACCTTGTAGTGATCCGTACGAATGTCATTGGCGGCTTTAGGCATATCTTCACCCAGCTTGACCGCAAAGACTTCAACACAGCGTAGCTGCATAATGTCCCAAACAGATACTTCATTGCTTCCAGCTGCGATAATGACGTGCTTTCCTTCAGCTTTTGGATCATGACTTAGCAGCATATAATTGATTCGACTTCCGCTGTGATGAAGCCATGACCGTAACGGGATCTGGAATCGTAGATCATACAAGGTCAAAAAGCCGCGCGTAGTTCCCACTAGCATCCACGTGTGAAGACGATCTGTTACGACGCTGCTAATTACACCATAACTCAAGGGGTTCTTCAATTTCCATAATGTTTCCATAGTCAGTAGATCCAAGGCATAGATGTTTCCTTTGTTGCTTGCAAGTAGCAATATGGACTTCGATCCAGCCATCGTGTTTGAGGCATCTGCAATAAATGGATATATTAGAAAGTGCGAAACTTAAATTAAATCAATACTACTGCCGTTACCACTAGTAAAATGCTTGATAGTCATAGCGTATTCGTTGTCCAGTTGGTGCTTCCTGACAGGAACACATTTTCCAAACTTCAAAGCGGAGCCCGCATTACGCATGTCCACACTGTAAAGAGATAGTGTTAATGGGAAAGGAGCACAGTTCGCATATCTAACTATGCTTTACTCACCGAAAGACATGTACACTTCCATTATCAGATGCAGCTGCAATACTGTATGTTTGTTGGATAAAAGTCAAGCATTTGATTCGGCCACCTAGAGTAGCACATCATTAATAAACGGTCTCCCGCCATATACCACATATCATTCAGAGAGTCTTTCTTACCTTGTTGATTATATGTCACGCGAGATCGATTGGTAACGTTCCGTTCAAGCCGAGAACAGTCCCATATTTTCACTGATCCATCATCAGAACATGATGCAAACAACAAATTATCCCACGAAATCGCCAGCTGATTGACAGACGCCGTATGCTCAGTAAAGTGAGCGACCAAGTTGCCTGGTATAACCACCCTTAATATACTTTGCAAATCGAAAAAAAAGAACGTACAAATAATTTGTGTCCGAAAAGAAATTACCTTCAGGTTTCCAGCTACTGATACTGCGGAATGAAGACGCTCCTTGAGGAAGTCGCCGGATCCGTTTCATAACAGCAGGATCACCAGCGAATTCTATACGAAATATTAGCCAACCTCCCTTTTTCGATGATTCATTGAGTCAAAAACGTACCTGGCATATGTGGTGGAAACGCCTCCTGAGCAACCTTGGTCAGCAAATTTTGTAAATGGCTATAGCCAGCTATAATAATGGGCAAAAATAGAAGAAAGAATAAGCATCATATTCAGGAAGAAGTACAGTATATCAATCACAGGATACAGAAGGTAACTTGAAAGACAAACCTGTAGATTTTCGAAGCTCATGGTCACTCTTTGTGTGTGGTCCTGCCGACCTTGACACTGTTAATGCAACACCTGTGTCATTGAAGTTTTACAAAGTTATGCTTTTTCAAAACGGAGAGAGCGGGGATATTATAATGTATACTTACCATCGAGCTTTGATGCGACTTCACCAGACCGATTCGCGCGTGGTGTTGGTGCTGAACGAACAGTAGCACGATCATCTGTACTCATCCTTTCGTTAAGAGACAGGTTATCGACTGCGTTAGAATGTTCATCTACTAGGCCAGGGAGGATGGCTTGGACATGTGGCTCGCTTGCGACACGGTTAAGCTTGCATACATCTTGTTTGGACTGAGTTTGCATCAATGCATTCCTATCGTAACCGACATGATTGTCAGCTTGACTATCTATCTGCAATATTACTCTAGGATAACAAGGGGACGTACTTTTCGGTTGGGCTCGTCTAATAAATGTTGCGTCATATAAGTTACTAATCCATTTTCAAAAAAGTTATTCTTTTGTGTGTGTTTACCGTTTGATTGGAGAGATCATTGGGAACGTCTGGCAGAAAGACTGTCAGAGGTGTTACGCCAATGCTTTTCAAAAAGACTTCGCCACTCTAAAAAGCATCAGCGTATGTTAGATGTTGCTTATCTTGTTTTACTGGAATTCTAGTGCATTGTTACTTACAAAAATGCTAAACTCGTCGAATCCTCTCGGTCGACTATTACAAGATGGCATATTAATTCATTGTTCCCTCATTCATATATCAGCACTATAAATGAAAAACTTGATAATTCTCTTTTTACCTCAGTTTGGAACGTGATACTTTGTACAAGTATTCACGCATGTATAATAGCTTCTCTTCGTCCTCAGCGTCCATTCCAATATTTCGCAAGCGCTCGAGATACCCCTCATCCCTTTTATCATATTGTTGATTTAGAAATTATGAATGGGGACAGCACGTCGGTTTCGTACTTACTCTTTTGATATTTGAGCTTGGTCGGATACATTTATATCGTTATTCGCGCTATTGAATGGCCAGTCTAGAAGTAGTATTCAATTATTGCTCCATGGAAAGAAAAAACGAGGAAAACAGTAAACTTACTTTGCGTTCGGCCCTCTGAACGGTAGCTAGGAAAAATGGCATTGGGTGTCTTTGACTTTTTGGCCTTGGGCACTTGCCAATAGATCGACTGTGATGTTGCTTTACCAGCCCAAGAAATGGCTCGTTCATAAACTTGACGTGAAAGCTAAATTGGGTATACAGTTAGTTTTGAATACGCAAAATACCAGTAAATAAATGACTTACCGGTGCTTTAACATTCTCCATAAGATGATACTCATCAATCTCAACAATCTCTGTCGTCAAGAAAGGCATCAAACGGGGGTATACGATACACCATAAATCAGTCTGTGATAGATTTTTTGATGCGGACGCAATAAATCCAATGGCGCCTACATACGATTTTTCATCAGCCTTCCATCTTTTCTTTTGCAAAAGTTCCTACTTGTGGCATCTCACGATAATAAATTCAACGTACCATAACGTATCCAAGTACTAGGGTGGCACATTAATGGCGCTACGGTACCAATAAGTTCCCACAGCTTGATCTTGTTGAAGAGATCCAGATCGGTCAAACTTGTTAATGAATTCAACACTTTTTCTATCACAAACTCCTCGGCATCTATATGAGAAGATTCAGTTACATGCATCCACAATGTATTCACCATCTCATACCTGTCAACGCTTGTATCATCAGAGGGAGTATATATTCATCCAAGCTTCTTGCACCAACATATGTTCCAACTCCTTTAATGCTCTCGAAAAATGTACTGATGGACATAATTTAGCATAAACATCAGTGTGCTTTATATTCCATTCCTTTCTTAATTGTTATTTACTACAAACCTTCGCAACATCCAATCCTTGTCATTGAGATATGTAATCATATGGCTGAGCAAGATGTCGTTAGCTTTCTGTCTTCCAAAAAACACACAGAGGCACGTAATGTTGGAAAGCAGCGCACGCTTCACAGTGCTTTCTGAGTCGATTAAAAGAGTCGTCACTTGCTCCTGGATAACAGACTTTAAATCTTGTAGCGAGGAGTCATATGTTGACTATTACACAGACGTATAAAGTGTGTTAGCAAATCAGACAGAATTCGATTGAAAAACTATTGCAACTATACCTCAAAGTCAAGCTCTTCAGTGTCGGCATCACCCAAAAGATAAGCATTGTTGTTCTTCAATAGCTGCGTCATTTCTAGGAATCGAAGGGCGGTCTCTGCCAAAAGCGCTATACAGCTGGCGTAGGTCGTTCGCACGAGGACATCTTGATCGGTAGCAAATTCTCGGACGCTTGGTAAGATATATTCGGGGAATATACGTGCGTTGATGGGTGAAATTGATTCCACCATGCATAACTGTCAGAAGATTATAATTGAGACAACCACCAGTAAGAAAGAAATATTATATCACTTTTTAACAGTTTGCTCTATAACCCTTTGTGCTTTTGTATATTTACCACTTGTGTGAGTGTTTTGATTGCATTGGCTCGCACAAGCGCTGTTTCGTCCGTGAGTAAAGTCATGAGATATGGTACAAGTCTGTCTAATTTGACATCATCGGGCAAATGTTCACCAAGAGCCAACAGTATATCTAGCGCCTTTAATTTCGAGCTTGGATATGCCGCATTGCGCAGCAAGGAGCAAACAAATGACAAGAATATAAGCGAGCCCTGTTCTGATGTGGCTTTGATTTAGTTCAGCGATAGAATATCCATTTACTCGGAAGAGAAGTATATAGCCTACCTCCAGGTTTTCGCAAAGATCCCGTCCGATTTGTAAATGCGCTATCTGGCTCGTAATTGGGAATATTCAGCGTTGGCGGTAAAATAATCTATTCACATAGAATACACTCGTTAATATATATACTCTTTTCCTTTGCTTTTTACAGAAAAAAAAATGACATCTTTTAATGCTTACCGCCGACGCGATTGTTTTGGGTAAATCTAAACATTCTCGTTGTCAGATCAAATTTCGCATTAAGAGTAAAATAATGGATTAATTAGCATTGCATTATACCTGACAATGTGCGTCGTCGCTCATCAATAAGCGAGCCGGTATCTGTATTAGAATCTCCTTGTGACACATTGGCATCCACAAAATAAGCAATCTTGTCAAAGTCGTGGTATATTCGCTCGATTTTCTCGTCTGCATCCGTAAGCTTTCGATTGGTAGTATTTAACCCCGAAATCGCCTGTGTAGTAGTCGATGCAGGTGCGTTAGGTGCAGTAGTACCGTCCTGTGTCGATACATTGTAGCCTTTGTCGGTGACTGAGCTGATATAATGATGTAGAAAGGTATAAAAATACCGAGGGAATGCCTTGTCGCACCTGTACGATAGTGGTTAGCACTTCAATTATCTCGGTAGCGCAGCGATTAATGCATTTTTTTTAAAAAGCACGAACCACTCTGCAAGATATCGATCCGCTGTGTAACGTGCATTGGGATCCAACTGAATCATATGCTTCACCATGTCCTAAATTACGACCGCATTAGTGTTTTCAATTTTAAAGATCTGGTAAGCTTTATACTTGTCTTACCCTTATATGTTCATCCTCAATCTTATCCAAGTTCGCATTTGGCGAATATTCATCTGACCGATACTTGAAAAGTTGGGATAATGAAAAGACAGATGTTCCCTCCAAAAAAAGCTCAGCTATAATACAACTGCACGACCATGTTTAGTACACATACTTTTTTTTCCATTCTCTTCATCTCTAAGCAATACCCGACAGAAAATATGTCCATTTCCGGCGTCAATTCGTCAATTTGATCACCAATACCCAAGTTTTTCTAATTAATCACTACTAGTTAGCAAAAGCATTCACTCTTTTTTTCCATTGACTTATAGCGATAACGGACTTAATCATACCATGCGTTGATCGATCTCGGTTCCAGACTGATAAAAACGTTCCGGAGCAATGTAACAACTACGCCGTGAAGACATATCAAAAAAGAACAAAAAGTCCGCTGGATCGTCCTGATTTTATGCAAAATACAACAATTTGTCAGGAACCCCATCAGCTCGCCTCGCCTGTCCATTTCATCCACATGCGTATAGAGTACTTGACTCTTTCAATAATCCACCTGATACATACTTCAGGAAGATATGTCGGCTTGTACGATGCAAAATCGACTAGGTATGCCCAATTCCAAGATGTCACCATGACATTTTCGGTCTTAATATCTCCATGATAGATCTTGCAAAAAGTGATAAAAATACGGGTGATGAGCAACGACGCCTATGAAACAGCTTATAGCCCTCTAAATCGAAAAGCATTACATTTTTCGCGTGTGCATCGGCAACTCCTCTTAGAATTTGATAAGAGATCCATTTCTTCTCGATAAGGGTCAAGAACGGGCGAGTACTGTCGTTTCGTCACGAGAACCGTTTTGTTTTTGTAAGCTGCACATATTTCTGAAAGGCAAAATAGGATATGCCAGATAAATTTGTAGTACGCTACCTTATTCTGTCGTATAGACTGCTGTAGAAATATTGTCGTACAATGTAAGCTGCCTTTTCGGTTTCGAGAATACGTTGGCATGAAAATGTGTTTGGGACATCGTTCAAGGCGTCATGTTCATCTATCCACAGAAATGATCGCATGAGTTTATGAAATTATACACCGACACTCTATTTTAACAAAAGTATGAAAGAGAAACCTTGCAGTTTTTTGACATTTTTTGAAAGTGACAGTTGGGGATCGGATTTGACGAATATCTTTACAACGACAAGTGAATCTTTATGCCGCCCGCATATGGTTTTCATAAAACGCGCATTGCCAATGCTAATTATAACTCTTTATTAATATTGTGACTCTGGGTATAATGCTTTCTAACAGCAAAGGTTACGTGTACCTTTTCTCATAATAAATGTCACCCAACTCGCTCACATAGCTGTCTATACCAGCGATCGCAGTGACATTGGATATTTTGTTGCCCATGTCGAAAAGGTTACGCTATAAGAAGCGAAAAAGTGGGGAAACAGCAGCAGAACAAGTGGAGTTTGATTCCTGTGATACGCAGCTGCTTGGGCCCTCTCATTGATTGAATGCGCAGTTTTTGCTATATTGACGGACAAGTGATTAACAGATAGTGTGATATGTTTTTGCTTGTTGAGAAGAGAGAACTCTGCGTAGTAGTTTGTATAGATGTCCATTTATTAAGCATTAGGTTGCTGATTAAACTGTATATCAGACGAAATGAATCGTTTATGTTCCTCCTATGTAGTAGACGACAAAAGCTAATACGTCCGACGGATGGTTTCCTTCCACACTTCTACCCTTAATGTACCCTTTCTGTACTGAACATGCTGTTGGATCTGGGTTTGAAGCGATTAGGCAAGCCGATAATAGTGAACACCCAGCAGACTAAACTACTATGATGTACTTGAAAAAAAGAATTGGGTAAATACCAGCGCCTTAGCAGATGGTTTTAAAAAAAGGTCAATTTAACATTTCTTATATGTAGGATGGCAGTGGTAGCTGATGGAAGAACATTAGGCAAAGATGTACAACAAGAAGCGATATCTCTAAAGTAGTAAATCTGGATACGATAATCGAGACTTCAGAGTGTTTTTTGATATACGTATGATCATTACACATAAACATTATCGCTTCCAATAGAGAAAGAGTCTCGATAATAGAAAAAGCTTCAATAAGCCATTCACATCCTGCTTTGTCTATGAAAGCAATCCACGATAAAGGGAAGATTTACACTGCATGCAAGTTAAACGCTATATCGAGAACAAGTAGCAAAATAGCTATACTTTTTCACCGATACATATGCAAGGTATCAAAAGTGTACATATCATACTCTCAGCCATGTAAAGCGAAAATGGAAGCACTGAGAAACGGCTATATGCTATGTTTATATGTCGGTTACATGGACGCAATAATAACACGTTTTCCGACGGGAAAAAAAGACAGGCACGTTTATTTCTCCCGCCACCCGTAATCGAGTATGTCTAGTAGCATAAACCACTCTAGAGCGACAAAAAGTAGGGATTTGTACTTAAGATGCTATGCGAGCAACTTTTTATGATCCACACTGTCCGATTGCGTCATGAGAAGCAAACGCTTTTCGATCCAAATTCCCGTTACAAGAACCAGTTCTCCCAACCTAGCACATCCCATTTATCCCGTCCAATCACATTTGAAGAAGACTTAAGCATGTTGATATTATGTTTATATGGACATGTTTACAAATGCATTTTATTCTCCTCTCTCGTGAGGGCAAGGTTTTTTTCGTTATAAAGTTCTATACATATGATAAAGAAAGAAAGGAAAATGTGTGGGAAATCGTTAAGGAGGTGTTTGTGGGATTGGAAAAATGTTTTTTTTAGACCTTCAAGTTCTATAAGAAAGAAAGAAAGAACGTTTAGCCTTTGACGGGACAAAAAAAAAAAAAAAACGGCGGAGTTAGTTATATTCTTCTTTACCTGGATGACAGCGTTGGTGTACTGGGTGTTGGTGGAGCGACCGCCCAAGTCAGCAGTAAGGGCCTTGCCCTCAGCGATGGTCTTGAAGACAGCCTGTTCAATGTTGCTGGCTTGCTCGTTCAAGCGCATGTGTCTCAACATCATGATACCCGACAAAAGCAAGGCGGTGGGGTTGGCCTTATCTTGACCCTACAATGTGCGTATAAAAAAAAGTGTCCGGCTTATGTCAGGGCTACCCTGAAAAAACAACAACAACAACAACCTTAAATTGTATAACAATAAGAAAGAGAGAGAGGGACAACTTACAGCAATATCAGGGGCGGTACCGTGGACAGCCTCGAAGATGGAGGCGTCACGGCCAATGTTACCGGAAGGAGTCAAGCCAAGACCACCGATCAAACCGGCGCACATATCAGACAAAATGTCACCATACAAGTTAGGCATGACCATGACGGTATCAGCGTAGATGGCGGGATCAGCGACAATCTAATTATGTAAACATATGTCGTCGTCCCATTAAGCATACTCTCACTATAGCCTGCCACTTTTATTTTCCCTTTTAATTTCTTAAAGACTTACGTGGAGACAGGCACGGTCCAAAAGGACTTCATCGAACTTGATGTTAGGGAACTCCTTGGAGACTTGTCGGCAGACATCCAAGAAAAGACCATCGGATAATTTCCTAACCGAATCCATCCCGTTTAGAAACACCTTCTCTACTTCTTTGACTCCTCTCTCTCACTTGCACTCCGCATGAAGAAAGATAGGAAAAACGAAAAACTCTTGCTTACATGATGTTAGCCTTGTGGACGGCAGTGACATGGTCTCTGCCAACCGACTCGGCGTAGGTGAAAGCATAACGAGCGACACGCTCAGAAGCATCCTTGGTGATTAACTTGATGGACTGAACGACGCCATTGACGACCTAATAACGTAGACACGTATACACACACACACCGAGAAAGATTAGACAAAGAACAGAGGAGCCTTCTACCATTTCTTCCCCGTATTACCCGCGCGCGCAAAAAAAAAACTCATTTTTACCTCGTGTTCAATGCCAGAGTATTCACCCTCAGTGTTTTCACGGATGAGGACAGTGTTGACGTTCTCATAAGGGGTCTTGAAGCCCTCGACCGAACGGCAAGGACGGACGTTGGCATAGAGGTTGAAGGTACGGCGGAGCGTCAAGTTGAGGGAAACGTGACCCTTGCCAATGGGTGTAGCGAGGGGACCCTTGAGAGCAACGGTGCTGGCACGGACGCTCTGGATAGCTTCGTCAGGAATAGCAGTCTTGCCGTCCTTGATGATGGGGGTGACGTCCACTTCCTCCCAGTCAATAGGTGTGTTGGCAGCAGCAAAAATGTTCTTGACCGACTGGGCAATCTCAGGACCGATACCGTCACCAGGAATAAGTGTCACGGTGTAGTTGCCCTTTTATTTAATTCCAAAAACCCATCCCAAATTAGAGTGATTTAGTTTGGAGCGAGAGCATGAACCTTTTTTTTTTTTTGGTCAGCAGGGCTTTAGTATAAAGCTACACTTACGTTGGCCTTCTTCTGGGCATTGAAGGCTTGGGTAATGGTGGGGGTGGCGGTGGTAATGGAGCGAGCCGCGTTAGACTACAGAGAGAGAAAAAGCAGGGACAATGGCGTGTGAATTGTCACGTAGCAACAAGAGCGAAGCTCAGGCAATCTGTTGAGAGGAAGAAGCACGGTACTTTACCTTGGCAGCAGACATGGCAGAGAGTTTGAAGGCGTTGGCGGCGGTGCGGGACAAGAGCATGGTTTATGACAAGGGTAGCTGTTTAAAAAACAGAAAAAAAGATAGGAAGCGACGGGAAGAAGTTGAAAATCTTTTCTCGTGAAAATTAAAGCTCTCCCGGTCTTGTCGGGACGCGCGTCATAAACATTTAGCCACCTCTTTATTACCAGCAGTCCCCTCTTCTTTTTCCTTTGCTGCTATACGCTCATTATTTGGTATACATGCTACTTATAATAGCGCTTCTTTGTTTTAGTCACTTTGCAGTCAAAAGTAGAGCGCATGGATATTTGCATATACTAATGAGGAACCCTCAACATCTGTGTATTCTGCAGGGCATGCCAGTATGGACGAAATAGGCATGGGTGTGTGTAGTGGTAGTGGTTGTATAGAGGAGGTAAATATATAAGAGAAGACCGTCACAATGAGCGATTCTGGTTGGCTGTGGGAGACGATTGCATTGTTTGCCTTCAAACAATGGCTTGACATATTCCACAAAGGCATTGTTTGGAAGGAGTTCCCATCCAACGAGAAGAGGCATTGATCCTGCAGAGATACGCTTCACTCGGATCTAACCGTGCGCAGCAACATGGACGAGACTCGGGAAATCAGGGAAGCGAAGGCATCATCGGATCAGTTTACCCCGCACTACTTTAAAAAGACGTCTATTTCCAAGAAGCCGCTTTGATCCGCCACCCCCACTTTGGATCGTTACAGCATAGCGACATACGTGCACCCTCACGACTGCTGCCATAGATACCATCCTGTATACGAATAGAAGGAATGCGACGAGAGCCTTGTACCAGCCCTTGGTGCTACTAGTACCATGAAACCGCCAGTCGACTTTTGATACAATGACGCAAATTGTAAAACTCGCTTTGAATGCAAAAATGCAATAGGTAACAGTAGGTAAGGACACCGACGACCGTGAGACCCCGGATCATGCCGAGATCAGGAATGCTACAACCTTCCCCGCACTATTTGATACGGTTTTCGGACGGACTGTACCGATGATTGCTCCGAAGAGGCTCCAGGGCGTGGTAAAAAAAACAGCAATGAAGAGTAGATCAAAAAAAGATTTTATATTACTTTTTTTATTCTTTACACAAAAAAAAACGGTATGAACACAGATTTATTGGAGGGAGGGAGGGAGGGAGGGAGGGAGGGACGACGACAAGAGGGGAAAGAAAATCAAATCAAAAACTTTTTATTTTTTTACAAAATCTTTTCAACCACGCCAATGTTCTCCTTCTCGAGCAACTCCATGATGGGGTTGTTGATCTCAGGAGTCATGGGAGCAAGGACACCCTTCTGGTTGAGCTTGCCGTCGAGGATAAGCTGGGTGGCGATACCGCAGGGAACACCGACCGTCTTGGCCATGGCAGAAAAGCCGCCGGGCGTACCATATTCGATCATGGTCGAAGTGCGGGTCTGGTGCGAGCCGTCCTTCAACTCAATCTCGAAACGATGCTGCAAGAAGCACATGTCGCGCTCGCCTTCCTCGTACTGCATCTTTTCTTCCAAAGTGGCGCAGAAGGTGTCCAACAAGTTGCCACGACGATGGGCCTTGACGTCGGAGAAGAAACCCAACCAGCGCATACCGTCAAGGATCTGGGCCAAGCGAGGGCTGTCGGCAATGCCGGCCTTTTCAATGATGGCGGCCTTCAAGGCATCTTCAGCAGTAGAGTTGATGCCGACGACCTGGGCAATGACCTGGCTCCAGGTAATGTCACCAGCGTCAGCAGCCAAGTGGGCAACGGGCTCTTCGCTCAAGAAGCCGAGGCTGACAAGAGCCTTGGCGAATTGGGGGAAACCGTCATAGCGGATGGAGCCACGGATGATGGTCTCGGCATCAGGGATGTTGTAGCGCTTGTCATAGGGAGTGGAGTCACGGTTACCATAGCCGACGAAGGAATAGCCGGGATAGCCAGTGTTGAGAACGCGAACAGAGTCCATAAGTTCAGGACCCGACACTTCAACGACCTATTCGCAGAGAGAGAGAGAGAGACAGAGAACGATTCATTAAGATATACGTCATTGCTGTCACCTAAATATTCATGCCGCAACCTCCCGCCACACTCTCACTTGGTATGTGTGCTTACCTTGCCCTTTTCAAGGTACTTTGCAGTGTTCTTCAAAGCCAACAAGACGCCACGGGCGGACCAGGAGAACTTGTAACCGAAGGGGTTATCCGAGTTCTCGGGTGCGGGGAGACCACCGCAGAACGAGATGAACTCCTTGAGCTGTCAATTTTAATTTTTCACACGCACACACACCAACAATAGGTTAGTCATTTACCCTTGTGGGGGGAAAACCACGCAGAACAAAAGAGGCCACTCTTTTACCTTGCCACCCTCCTTGTGGACTTCATCGATGGTCTTGACAGCGTACAAGTGATCGATACCAGGGTCCAAACCGATCTCGTTCATGACAGTGATACCAGCATCCTTGGCACTGTATATAACAACACCCCATGGTTAGAAACTCGATGGCTACCTTAGTGTCACCTTTCATTCCTTTGGGAGAAAACTTACGCTTGGTCATATTCCATCATGGCAGGCGAGACGTACGAGGTGGTGACGACATTCTTCTTGTGCTTGACAGCAGCGGCAATGACCTTGGCGTGGTAGATATAAGGGATCAAGCTATTTTTTCCGAGACCACGTTAGAAACAGCAACAACTCACCGCTCTTTTCTCCCTCAAGAACATACCTGATGGCAATGTCGTGCTGGGCAACGAGATCTTCAATAGCCTTGTCATCAGTGATATCGACGGCAACAGCAGTGGTGTTGTTGGGGTATTTGGCAGCAAGAGCCTGAGCGTTGGCCAAAGTGCGGCTGGCTACAAGCAGTACACGATGAGAAACAGCAGAATAGACACACACAACTTCAAATTTTGCTACTTTACCAACAGTCAACTTGTTCTCAGGACGACGAAGGACGTATTCGACAAAGGGAGCAGCGACAAAGCCGGATCCAAGCAAAAGAATCTTCCTGTTGTCGTCAAGAACGGTGAGTCTCTTTCTTTCTTGCGCTATCCCTCTAGCACCTGCTCCAACAGGCCTTGGCTATTTTCTTACTTTTCAGACATGATGGATTCTCTATAAAGACAGAAGGGAGAAGAGCGAAAAGGACGTGTGTATTAAAAAAACGCGGGTTTAAAAGGAAACAGTCAAAACCACATCGGAGATCGCTTTTCCCCATTTGAAAGCTATCAAAGATCGCGGCCTGTCATTGGATGAAAAGTACGAAGCCCGTCCCATCGAGCCTTTACCAATTCGAGGATTGCATGGCTGTTTGTTGCTGCTGCTCTTGGCTATCAATTCAATTTTTACATGTACACACACGTTGTCAAGAACGACAAAGTGTGTTGAATCGCCAAAGCCCTGGCCTAGAGGTTGCAAGGTGCTTGTGTTGATCACGATAGTCAGCAACAGCTAAGCAGCTTTAATATACCAGACGTAGTTTCAACCCATCATACGATGTTTTTCTAGAGGAGCGACAGTAGACACGTAACGAGAGCGATGGGAAGGGAGGGCCCCACACTCTGTTTGTATGCATGAATCCGTTTCGTCCTGAGAAGTGAGATTCCCACACCACTTTTTTTTTTCTCTTTACTTCTTCTTTCTTCTTTTGTATTTACAGTAACTCTTTTTAAAACTTTCCCCACTCTCTCTTTCTCTCTCTCTCTCTCTCTCTCTCTCTCTCTCTCTCTCTCTCTCTCTCTCTCTCTCTTCAGTTATAATGTATCCCGCTGTTATTGGCCGCACTGCTCTTCGTTCGCGTGTAGCTACACGTCAGCTCATTCGCTCCGACCTCTACCATTTCGAAAACTCAAATGGCCAGGTTAGTTGAACAATACCTTAAAAACGGGTCGAGGTGGAGGTGGGAGGGGGGTGTGGGGGAACGGTATTACATGATAAAAATTAACGAGTGTGGCATCAGAACCTTCCTTTCAAGACCAGCAACAAGACGGGCCTTGCTGTGAAGATGACAGTGTTCTTGGGGTTGGGCTTTGCTGCCCCCTTCCTCGGTAAGGTTTCTGCTGTTTTGGAGCTGGAGCAGTAGTCGTTGTTGTACTACGACAGAACAAAAAAAAAAGAGGCTAACGTGAGAGAGGATGATGATGTTGTCATTTGTATCCATCCCATTTTTACGAATAGGCGCGGCGTGGCAGTTGTAAGCTAGGTTTTTCTTTTTTTTTTGGGTGTGATGCACATACTAACAAACATGCTTGTTTGTAGCCACAAGGCAGGCTAAGCAAGCACAACGAGCAGCTGTCGTTGCTGCACTACACACACAGCCCTCGCATACAGAGCACAAGAAATAGATTTTTACGTTTTCCAAGCCCTTCGTTGTACGCACGCCATCTATTTCCAGTGCCAAATAAAAACAAATTATCTTTTCGACGATCCCTCCTTTTTCCCCTTCTTCTTTTCTTTTTTTCGTCTTGCTTGCTTGCCTGCTTACACTTGCTTGCTTTGCCTGGCGATAGTCTCTTTTATATTCTTGCGCTCTTGGATGGCAACTCGATGCAATTTGTCTTAACCACACAATTGGGTCTCGACCGCCATGATATATTTACTCTGCAGTACTGTTATGCATCCAGTGCCATTGCTGATAACAACAAAATCAACAATAATAATGGCAGCACTCCTGCTTTCCATCATCCTCCTAGTATCGCCTTCACTTGTTCTTGTTGCTGCCCAGGATGTTCCTAGTCCTACTACAGATGCTGATCATGATTTTACACGTCTGCTCGGTCTACCTCGCCACAATCATTGCGCGTTCGCGTCTAATAACTCGCTCTATATCTTTGGTGGCAGCCATCAGTCATTGTCATTGTCGACAACAACAACCCTCAATGATAGTGCATTCCATCTCAGCTTTTCCCCTTCCCTCGACGCTCGTCCCGCAATGGAGCAACTCGCTGATAGCCAGCAGCCCGCGCTTAACGACATTGCGCTTGGCGCTGGCTGTGCTGTCACAAGCTACGGTCATGCGCTCTTTCTTCCGCCGCACGGAGCACTTTTAACTTACAACGTGCTCACACACCAATGGACGACTTTTGGCGACCACGACGTACATGGCTCGCCTGCGGCATTAGCATCATTTAACGGAACAAGCTCGTTCCGGCGGCGCGAAATGGCCTCAGCCATGTGGAACGACATGTGGATTATTTTTGGTGGACGTGTCGATAATAGCAACAGCTTTACCCAAAGTACATTTGTTCTCGATGCACGTATGCAGTCTCCCTGGATCTGGTTCGAATCACCTATTACATTTTATACACCACCACCACCACCCTCATCACAACAGTCACCAGGCACAATGGTCGCCACGTCGCGTTGGGTCTTGTATTTTGCCATTACCACCGCCACCACCACTACCACTACTACTACTACTAGTAATAACACTGTAGCACCAATACCGTTCAACACTAGACCATACAATGTGGCGGTGCATTGCTTTGATCCGTATGTGCTACTATGGGTAGGCCAGGTAGCTAACTTTACCGCCTCGACAAACCATCTACACGCCGTGAGCTTCGACCTCGACTCTGTGCTCGTTGTTCCCGCTTATTCATCATCATCATCATCATTTAATAATACTACTACCATTACCGAAACCAACAGTAATAATAATAGCACCAACAGCGAAGAAACACGAATGGCTGTCCTGCCACCTCAAGGGTTATGGCGTTTAGACATGTCACGGGACTCAGCTGCAGGTACCGTCAATTGGATCGGTGACGCAAGGCCATTCCGGCCTCTCGAGGGAGGCACAGTAACAAGACTCACGGACGATCTAATTGTATTATACGGCGGAGCACCATTTAGTCATGACAGTTTACGATTCTGGAATATCACTGCGGGCAATTTCGTTGACCCAGCATGGTGGCGTGAGACACAGTGGAATACTAGACCTAGCGGGGATGGACCCACTACTACTGCTGCTAACGATAACGATGGTGGACCCAACATACTAGCCATTGTACTTGGAACAGTACTGGGTTTTTTGGGGCTGATACTAGTCATTCTGGCCATCTATTATTTCTGTTGTTATCGACGACGACGACGACGACGATGGGATGGAGCGAAAAAAGAAACACGATCCCGTCAAATGAGAGGACGATCTGCAACGCCAATTTCCATTCGAACCAATGTGTCGTCGTCCCTGCGTCGCGGCACTGCTGAGTTGTTTTCTGTGGAGAATAACAATAATCATAACAGAAATTTATCGCCGGCGACAACGACGAGCACTGCAGCAGCGGATCAAGAAGACGCGGGAACATGGGCTGTGCAGCTAAGGCGTACGCTTTCGGCAATAGCACGCAGCAACCGCGTTCCTTGGTCACGTTCTTCACCTCAGGCTTTGCAGGACATGATCTCGTCGGGTTCACCGTCAAACGACAGATTAATGTCTTTGTCGTCTCCTGTTGCTGGAGATGCGACAGCGGTTGGAGCAGCAGCAGGGAACAGCTACCATAATGACGACAACGACGACAGAACCAACAATGCACCTATCCCTCCTGGTGACATTGATAGTGAGCGACATCGACGGATACGTGAAAGCAGCAGATTTAGCGAGCATTTTGACTTGATGGCACCGCCTGAATCCATCCGTCTTTCGCAAGTCATGGAGGAAAATGACGAGCCCTAAAAAAAACCTTAATCTACTTTAATCTTTCTATTCTACACGTCTTCTTTCTAGCATTTCCAACCATCCCCTTACGTTTTAGACATAAGCATCTTTATACATACATATTACTTTCATCTATACATACTTTCATCTATACAACGTGCACTTGTACATGTAATTGCTGTTTCCTCTCTCTCTCTCTCTCTCTCTTTCCTTCCACTCTCCCCCATTGTAACGTTGTAATATTGTTCCCTACTTTTAATGGTTGCTGTTTGTAGATAAGGAAAAAAAAATAACCGTATACTATATTAAAAAACAACGCGTGGAAAGACACAAAAAAAAGTGACACAGAAATCTGGGCTGTGCTTCCCTCTTTCTCCAAGCAAACATGATACAAACTTACAACAATGCCATGAAATATCGGTGGCTCAGGTTTTACATACGGCTAGACTTATTATAGAGTATAGTGAGTCCTCTCTCTCTCTCCTCACTGATTATTTATCGTGACACGGTTTCATCATTTTGAGGCAACCGCTGCACCAAAAAAATAGAAAAAAAATAAGCCCATCACTGTTAGCTACTATTAATACAATTAACCTTTCTTTTCTTGATCTGAAATCGAGAACACACACTTTTACCCGGTTACAGATTATTCTCAGGGTCAGCACACTATCCTCATCTTTTACCTGGCTCATTGTGTAATATCATAACTGCAGCGGTAGTAAGCACAAGGTCTCTCCGAACTTTAAATCCTACTCTTGGAACTATTGGTATTCGGCTTTGTAACAGCAATTTATAAAAGCAAGTTACTGTAGCAGCTGACGATGATGAGCTAGCAGTACATAACATGGCTATCCAGTTCTTTTCAGCGAATGATATTGTAGTTGCGCCATACAGCAGAAAATGCATTGACCAACAACTTCAACAACTTTGTATACAAACATAGTTTAGGTGAATAAACTTGCAGCTATTTTTTCTTGTAAACAAGTTGGACGGTTCCCTGGTTGTTGCCATTATTTATTTCGTCGTTGAAAGTCTTCTTAGTCTTCCATTGATGCTGGTAGTGACTACGATCCGTCGTACGACTTTCCGACTTCCTTTGCGATACCAAGGACATACTAGATAAATGATGTGGTATCAGCGGGAGTGTTCAAACGTCAGAGTGATAGTTAGTCGATGTACACCTGTGATCTGGAGCAATTCAGACTGTCTGATTATCTTGGAGCGTCATACGATTCGTTCGAGAAATGTACTGTCCAGTGGGATGATGGACGCTCTTGAATTCTCCCAAATTTTTGCGAGCCAAAAATCGACTCGCTAAACTACTTGTTGATCCTGTACCTTATTTTTTAAAACAAACTCAAAAACAACTCCCACCACCCCCACAAGCACCTAACTCCCCTTTGCCTACTTCCGCTCCTATACTACTTTGCCCTCTTCCGTGAAGGAAAAGAAGAACTATGGAAAGCCAGGAGGGTCGCGAAGGCAACCTCAATTATTCTCCAGCAGAAGATCTTCAACTGTGTAAATCATGGTTCAAGTTCTCGATTAGTGCCGAAACAGGAACAGACCAGGATGGTGGCCAATGCTGGGAAAAAAGTTTGCTGTTCACTTTGCTTCGCATATCGAGGAATCAAGAGGCGAACGTACGGCCAAAGCTTTGATGGGGCCGTTGGAGTCGTAACATCCAAAAAGAAGTTGCAAAGTTCTGTGGACATTACGCGCTCTGCGACAAAGTGGTCAGAATGAGTTGGATCTGGTTAGTATTAATTTAAAAAAGTTAAAGAAAAAACATGTTTAGTTATACAGGGCCTGACATTAGTAACTTTCAGCGTACGCAAGCGAAGGAAGCGTATTTCAAATTTGAAAAGAAACAATTCGCTTTTGAGCTCTTGTTGGGAAACCCTCCGTTCTTTCGACAGGTGGAATGACAAGCTGGAAGAAATGAAGGCACCTGCAGCTTTCAATGTCGATCAAGAAGGCGAAAATGGTGAATCGTCGACCGCGCAACCCACCAACAAAAGACCTGACGGCAACAAAAAGGGAAGGGTTCGAACAGAGCTCAAGCGCGACTTTGATCAAGCGATGAAGAAACAAGCCGCATCTCTTGAAGAAACGAGAAAAAAGAGCAAATATTTGGAGCAGCTCGTGGCCGTAGAGAAAAGAAAAGCGAAGGACGACAGAAAAGAAAGGGATGAGAAGATCATGGCTGTCGATCCTTCACAATTGGATCCCATCCGCCGTCAGTTCTATGAGATCTGGCAAAAACAGATCTTAGAAAGATTGCTTGCAGGAGGAGCAGAAGATGAAGAGGATAAAGAAGACGATGGAGAAGAAGATGAACGAAGAAGTTGAAGAAGTAGAAGCAGTAGAACAATCAGGGGATGAACATGATGTAGTTGAGTAGGATTAAGATGATGATAAGAGTTTTTTTAATCAAGAAAAAGTATCCATCATTTGACTTTACCATACGATTTCCACAAATGTACAACAAGATCATCTTGTAGTTGTTGATGCTTCTGAGTATCGCGGATTTCTTGATATCGACTAAGATACTGTTTGAAAACAGCGTCATCACCGGGCACTGTTGCTAATGTTGTTGCTGCAACCTCTTCTGAATTCACATCAACACCATCTGAATTAGATGTGCTAGCTCGAACTCGCTTTCTGTCTTTATTGCGGCGTGCTTTTTCTCGGCGAGTTGCTTCATCATCATACTCATGATCAACTTCTGTACTGCGTCCATCCTCAATGGTCATATTGTGGAGAATAATGCAAGCTTTTATGATGTTGGTGAGAGTTGCAATGTTCCATTGTCTTGCTGGCTGCTGGATGATGTGATATCGAGCCTTTAAAACACCAAACGCGCGCTCAACATCTTTGCGCACGCTTTCTTGCATCTTGCTGAAATGCTACAAAGGATAAATGATTATTATATTGGCGTTACAAATCGAATAGTTTAATATACCTGTTCTTGAAGGTCATCAGGCATCTTGATGGATTGCACCAATGTTGCCCATGTAGGGTATATCCCATCAGCAAGATTATATGATACCGGCGGTGTACGTCCAGCAGCAAGATCCGAAAACAGAGGCGAGCGATCCAACACATTGATATCATTGAGGCTTCCTGGAAGCCCGAAATAAGCATGCCATATCCATAAATCAAAAAATTTGCTACTACTGTACTTCCAAGATTACCAGCTTCTCCTTCCTTGCCCCTGTACATCCCATGCGATGCTTTGGGACAATTCTTTTAAACCCAATGAGTGCAATCCACCGAGCCTAGCATCCCAAGGAAGCCGCGTGCTTCTCCTTGAGCTAACAGTCTTGCCATGTCTGTTTCATTTGGTGCACGTGAATACGTTTCACTAAATATATTGATGACTGCTTGACAAAAACGGAGCAGACATTGACGAGTAGTCTCTTCGCCCATACGTAAGTAGTCATCTACTGCATCAGCAGGCACACCATAGGCAAGTTGCCTCATTGCTGCAGTTGCTTTCGCGATGGCCGGAAACATAAGCTTGCCAGCAGCATCCTTCTTTTGAGTGAAGTAATCGTCTTGCTTACCCATCGCATCGACGATTCTTAGGAAAAGTGGGCGGAACATTCGAAAACGACGGCGAAATTTCTCTGGACCATGAAGTGGAACGTCGTCGAAATAATCATGTTGAAGCAACATTTGTACCACTTCGCGTCTTCTCTCTTTGTACTTTCGCCCAAAGACTGATCCACGTTTCAAAGTACCTCCTTCCTCAATCTCCTTCCTTAATGCTTTGCAATGCGCGGTGGTGAAGTTCAAGCCAGAGTAGCTCATCGGCATCAATGTCAGAAAATATTTGGGTAATTCGCGAGTGGTTGGCATGTTCTGAAAGAGTTCGAGATTTCGCGATACCGCTGGGATGCTTTAAACAACCCATAAATATTGCTCTCGTCCAAACTACTCCAGGATTAGGGTATATCACGGTTTCACGCTTGTGATAAAGGCGATCAGAAATTCTAATGGCAGAACCAGTCGGCGATGGTCACATGTATCTAGCAACGCTTTAAAAACGCACAAAAGCCAGTGTCGAATCGTCCAACTAACTACGCGAGATTACGTACAGAACGACCAAGACCATGATGAGCCACAGAGTGCCCTTCGTTAGCTCATGTATAGACTCAGTCAACAAGTTAGGTGGCCGAACTTAACATCAACACCAAGCACTGCAAGATTCAACCTCCCTAAGAAACGACTAGCTGCTTAAATCGTGGTTGAATAGCGCTCATTCTTCCACACTTGCGTTCCCAGTCCTCTTTATGACTCTGCATTTCTCAATGTTATATTTAAATTGGTGAAGCTTCCGCGTATATATTTGATGAATTGATGTTCAGCTCTTTTGAATGTTATTAAGATCCACAAGGATTCTAATGTTCTTTATTTTGAAATTAAAACGAAATGCCCTTTGTAAGTCACGATGCTTAAACAAAGTTAATTGAGAATCAGATCTTCGGCACAGTTTATGGTGTTTTATCATTTTCTTATTATTTTATCATTTTCTTATTACTTTAATGGCCAGAAGGCTGAAACCCGAAGGTCGAAGCCCGAAGACTAATTGAACCCGAAGGTCGATTGAACCCGTAGGTCGAAGCCCGAAGACTAATTGAACCCGAAGGTCGATTGAACCCGCAGGTCGATTGAACCCGAAGGTCGAAGCCCGAAGACTAATTGAACCCGAAGGTCGATTGAACCCGCAGGTCGAAGCCAGAAGATTAATTGAACCCGAAGGTCGATTGAACCCGCAGGTCGATTGAACCCGAAGGTCGAAGCCCGAAGACTAATTGAACCCGAAGGTCGATTGAACCCGTAGGTCGAAGCCCGAAGACTAATTGAACCCGAAGGTCGATTGAACCCGAAGGTCGAAGCCCAAAAGGCTGAAAGAAAAAGAAGCTCTAAAGGCTGAAAGAAAAAGAAGCCCAAAAGGCTGAAAGAAAAAAGGCTGATAGCTTATTGAAAGAAAAGAAAAAAAAAGAGTAATAATATGTAATAATGTACAGTACATAATACAAAGACAAAAGACGCCTACAAATTATACCGTGGTATACTGTATACGTTTTTGGTGGTGCTACACTGTAATATTACCATGGACATCCTTAGCAACATAACCTCTTTCGTTTATATGTACATATTATAGCAACATATATTTTTGCTACGATGGAAGCTCAAAGGCCATTCTGGACTCAATTAAGCGGATTAATTCAATGCTTATAAGCAGCAGTATTCATTGGATTACTTTCAATTGTTTCATTGATATTGCCGGCCAAATCATCAACTATTTTCACTTTGCTTTTCCAGTATGCAACTATCATATCGGCAATCTCAGTGCTAAAAGCGTCTTTATTCCCGGGCAGACAACTATCATATATAGGAGAATGGTTTAACAACTGCCAAATCCCATTAGTATGTTTCACACTACTGTAGTAGAGACTGTTCTCTTTGTCATGCTCTGTGTGTTTCGGTATGATTTTGAGATCACTAGCTTATAGATACAGTACCGCTCGTTAAACCGATCACCTCTGATTTTCGAGAAAGTGATCGGTTTAACGAATGATCGGTTTAAAGATTGAGGGTCCACTGTATGACATACATACTGCTTACCAAGCTGGTATTTTGGGGAAGTGATTGGTTTAACGAAATATCGGTTTAAAGGTGATCGGCTTAACGAGCGGGTACTGTACATAGACGTTACATTCTCAAATTCTATCGTTATAAACAGGATATTAGCTTGCTGTGATGTCTTTCTTCAACTACAGTCGTCCGACGGGCAGTGGTTTTCAATGAATAGCAATACCGGTAGTTGTATGCATCGTATGATAGAAATCGCTCTTGAAAGCCGTTCCTCAGCTCGTATTCAGCTCCTAGGGAAGCATCTTTGCAAGCAGATAAAGCTGCAGGTAACTCTAGCAGATTCACTTGGATTCAATGAGATCGTACTAAATTATCAATAATATGTTTAAAGTGATAAAGTAAAAAAAGAGAAGCTTACACAACGACAAACACTGTAAGAAAGATGTAGGTTGTGAAAGTAGGACTTTTTACTCAGGAATCTCTCCAGCAGTCTCTCCCTGCACGACCTGATTCTCGATTTCAAACCTGCCATCACGGTGAAGCCAGAGCTTGCAAATATGTTTCGTGCACGGGGTCCGCAATAGTTTGGACGTGAAGTTTTGCTAGTTTGGATTTGTAAGCATCCCGTATCATGCATAATGCAATGACGCCAAACAACCCTGACACAAGCCGCGCATTTGCTTATAACTTACTTGAGGGCCAACCAAGGTCTAGATCGTACAGAGAGGACATGTTAGAGCGTTTGTTAGAGACCGGTTTGCTCGACATAAAGTGTAGGTGTGGATAAAGAATAGACTTTGGAACGGACTTGGGCCACAAGTCATCTTTCCGCTCAGAATTCTCGTCGCATATCGAGCACACTCGTGTTTCGTTTTGCACAATGTTGTGAGTAAAGTCATTTGTTATTACTTCACATTGGAGAGAGAGGCGCAAAGACGTTAGAGAATGTGAAAGAGAGACTGCGTTACTTGGACGACGAGATCCTTGTGTAACTTAGACCCGTTCAATTGTTCTGCAGGATGACCTGTCGAAAGATATTGACAGTTTGCTGCATTTCTCCTTTCAACATACCCAGCGTGATATTGCACATGGGGACGAGGAGAGATCAATATCTACGGAAATCTAAATTTGTGCTCGATGACATGTAGTGATCTTCCGGCTACATAAAGCATAGTTGTTACAGGCATCTTTGGCGCAGCAGGACAAAGCAGGCAGGCAGCTGACGAAGGGCGATTAAAATGTCAAGAATGCATGCGTTTCCATTTCAGACGTGTGTTGTAATACTTGGATTACATTGAGATGATTAATAAGAGACAATGCAGCCGAGCACTACGCATAATCTGATTGCTTCTTCCACCAATCAAAGGGCATCCCTTTCTTTTCATGACTGAGATCACGATACCACACCGTGTAGCGAGCAGTGGTTTCGACGCACAGACACACTAAATTCATATTCCGTTCCAGAAAAAAAAGGATTATGATTGCTTCTTGGTCGATTCGCTCTCTTCCCTTTACTATTCCTGCCCATCATCCATTATCAGTAAAGAGTATAAAAGAACAACGGAAATTGGCAACCTGCCCCCAAAAAGAGTTACCATGGATATCATACAGCCTTCCGAATATTACGACGAAGTACGTCTTTTTTTCTTTCACTCGCGGTGGTGATTGGTTAATTAATGGTTTGTTATGATAATTAAGAAACACCCACAGCGCAGTCACCATCAGGGTATTTTCATCACGCTCACAGACATTGCCCATTGATTAACATGGAGCAGTGGATAGAGTATCAGACTGCGTGAAAAGAGACAATGTAGCACCACATAGTAGGCGGTTCTTAGTCTTCCTAATATGTGAGCTACAAGAAGAAGATTACTGCAGTCAGCCTTCCTACAGTAGTGCCTTCTTTTTTAGGCCTTATTCCATCGCTTTTACAACATGGCGACGAAATGTCGGTTTTACCGCTGCTGGTGCTGTTGTTACTAGAATATCTCATTGTCGTTGTTGTTTACTTGTTCAAGACATAGCACGCATCCAAGTACCATGCTAGATCCACACCCCCGTTGTATTCTGTTCGTAGTTCGCAGGATCCTATGCCATTCGAATGTAGATATTAGTTTTGTAGCGTGACCATGGTAGGACAATCAATATTGCATCGGCGAAACGCCTTGGATACAGTCATGCACCGAAGGATATCACCAAAAGAGAGCTCGTTTAGGATCACGGTGAGCATCATGTCCGTACGCTTTTCAAGCATATGGTGAGCTTCATTGGAGATGTAGAATATTGTGTCTGTCAGCGGATTATATCGGAACTTGCGGAACCCTCCTTCACCGTTATTCAGAACCCTGCGCATATCGCTATTGCTTTCTTGAATCTCTGTTGTCTGATCAAAAATACGTGCGGCGATACCATATGTCCTCAAATAGCCGGGGAAGTTGTCGACAAAGAATAAGGCATCACTATACACCTTAGTGACTTTCCCTGTTGCGCGTATGCTTTGACGCGGACTGCCAGGAACTGCTCTAGATATCTGTGTAGCTGAGCGAGTGCTGAGGTTGAGTCATGAACTGCTGTCGCGAGATTGCGTGCTTGGAAGGCTTCGCTTCGATTTATGCAAAGTGTCTTCCAGTGAAGCCAGCGATGGCAACTCGGTCACAGAGTCCAGGTGGGGATCAGGAGTTGTGACGATCCCATCAGTACGCCGTTGATAAGTACTTTGTGTTGGGCAACAGCGAGAACATGCCATACTATTATAGCAACGACTCTTAGCGGTCACTTATGCCTCAGTTGCCATCGCAAACGTCTATTACATCAAAGCGACAAAAGCTCGCGCGATACACGCTATTAAAAAACAGAAATATTTGTAAAGGGAAACAGATGGAAAAGTTATTTTATTATTTCAAAGAATGTAAGAAAATTAACAAAGGTGAAAAAAGAGTCTAGCTGAAAAAAAGAAGAAGGCATTGACAGTTCTCTCGTCCATTGATTTGACAATGAACGAGAAAGAAGGAGGTTGAGAAAAGGCACAAAGCACATTTCAACCTCCATGTCCACCACAGCCTCAGTCCCAGCTCGAAGCTGGAACCTACACCGCCAATCCTTCCAGCAAGCCTTCCGGCAAGCCTTCAGGAATGGCACCAATGCCAATGCCTTTTCCGTCAATTCCTTTTTCCGTCAATTCCTCAAGCGTTATTTCAGGACTATCTGACAGACCCACCATACTCCGGAGAGTACGGCAAGTCCAGGCTACAACAGACACGCTTGTGATCGTCCAAGGCGGGACCCGATCGTTCAGGATAGCCACTGAAGGTGATCGAGCTCTTCTTCGCGGGGCCGATGCGACTAATGGTCTCCCAAAATGAACAATAGACCTCGACGTAGCGCCCACCTTTGTGTCAAGCCAGGAGTCGAACCTGCAAACGTGCCCAGAAACACTACCGACACATTCAAAAAGTTGGTGGACCTTTGAAAAAGGCCACTACGGTTATTCACAGCTGAAACACAGGTGTGAGCGTGTGTAAAGCAGCAGAAGCAGTGTTATAAAGGAATTTACCTGTGATTGGCTTAAGGCCGCGTTTATGACGATTACGACTGCGCGAAATAGAAAAGCATGGAGATAAGGGAAAGAGAAGCGAAAAGGCAACTGAGCTGAGATAGCCGGACTTTATAACCATGGGAATTCTTATCGATTCTGATTGGCCGCCGCTTGAACAGCAAACTTCTCAAAGCTGCCCCGCGCAAATTTTGTGATTTGGGTTGGTGTACCCATAGTCGTATCCTAGAATGGACGATACTGCTTCTGTTGGATATGTAGTTCTGCACCACTCCCTCTTTCAATGAAGATGGTGATGAAGTACGCCATGCGCATGTATGGATAAATAACAAATAGTAAATGCACGTTATTTGCAGCTTCACGCGACAAACATGATGTGACATTTAAAAAGGTCGATAAACAACCTCTCTTTTATTTTTCTTAGCTACACATCTACCAGCTTTTGAGATTACTATTGACAAGTATGATACTCATAAGCTCAACTTTCAAATGGTAGTACAGACAGCAACAGCGCGACGCTTCTTGTCTTGCCTTCTCGACATCCACCTTGTCACGAGGATGCAGCGACAGTCTTAAGCTAAATATAATTCTCCCACATTGTTCTGCACTGAAACTCGAGCAGAAGTGCTCGGCTAAAGCTACATCCCCACAATCACTGAAGCATAGAAGCTAAATGGAGCAAAAATGTGCATATGTAAATTGTCACTGTAAAGTGAACGCCGGCTGTATACAATTGTTCTGAATTTTAGCTAATGCAAACTCTTTCAGATGAAAGATCAAACCACTCTATATTGTGATTATGGATTGTACTGATGTTTTGCGGCATAATATGCGCTTTTTAAAGGAAGAGCTAGAGGAGCCTCTCCTATGATATCATTCCTTACTCTTTAGAAGTATCAATGGTATCATCAATAGTGTTTATTAGTATGTAATGAGAGCAAGATATCGAACATACAGTATTTGCTTTATTTTATTTCTATAATACTCTTTTGATCTCCAACTCAAGCACACACTTAGACTAATCGTAATATGTACGCTCATTTGTCATCAGCTCTTTCTTTCGAATATATACGAATTCCCGATCTTAATAGATAAAGGGATTTGCGATTGTTGTTAGTAATACATAGCGTTGCTGGGGGTGTATGATTTGGATAGGATGAGTAACGATGTCGATGGGTCTTGTTTTGTAGGTAGGTCAGTTTTTCGTAGTAGAGCTTGTATGATACAAAGAAACTGCCATCATGTGTGCGTTTGTAAATCTTTGATGTAAGATAGTTGCTACGAGCTAAATCTTCTATATGGCAATAAATAAAGAGATGTGCTGATAAGCATGGGAGCTCACTATATAATGCTACTGTACAGCTTATCACAGCGAGACAAAAAGGTGAATCCTTCTTTTTGAAAAGTCAAATACAGACCGGAAATGTCAAGGTCGAATGTGTATGACTCGACCTATAGCTTGCATTGCTTTGCGCGAGCTTTTGAGTTCTAACAGTGCTGGGTTACTTCCAACAGTACTAATCGAACGTTCTGTGGATATTCAACATAAAAATGAGGTCCAGCCTCACCATTGTCTAAATCTAATCAATTGCAAAAAGTAGTGTACTACCTCAAACCCACAAGAGGCACTCCAGCCTGCTTTCCAGGTACCGCTGCTTTCACACAACATTAACCTCTGTTAATCTTATTTTTCACGATGATTCCCACTTTAGTGCATCCGATATCATACCCATCTTAGTCCGCCCTACAACGGCCCGAATGCGACCGTCTTATACCATGTTGTTGGTAACCTTTGAGGGGACGAACAAGTTGCTGGTTGAACCAACCGCCATTCAGCACCGAGGTGGCTTTTGCAAAGAAAAAAAGGCACCGGCACTATCATAGCACCGCAGATCGGTTCGTTATCCACAGCCAACCGCTGAACAATCCATGCGTTTATTCGTCAGATATAAAATCCATACGTTAGCAAGAATCCTCCATAAATAAATTCAAACACTATTCCAGTCTTATACATATCTGCAATACCCTCCCAAATCAAATGATATCTTACATAAACCTTAATAACCTCTTTCTTGTTCTTTAGTTTACATTCTTTTAACGATGTGAGGATACATCTTTCTTTCTCAGGCCAAGTGCTATGCGATATTGTAGACTATCATAGTCACTGTTGAGGCCCGCTAGAGATATAACCGCGATCACAGGGTAATAGAGGATATCAAAAGTATCATAGCTACACCCCCCCCCAAAGAGTTACCATCTCCATTCAGCATTTACCAGCCTATGCACCGTATTATCTGACCGCCTTCATTAAAGGTTAATAGATAACTTAGCTTTAACCTCCACTCTCTCGTTCTCAAAACAAGTCGTATCAAAACTACAGAATGATGATCTCTTTGTCATATGGGGACAACGCTTACGGAACCGCACTGGACGAAAATACAATTCGACCGACAAATCGTTCAAGCCATGCTGTGGAATTTAATGAGGGTTACCTCCATCTCTCTCATTGGTTACAAGCGCTTTGTCCACCCTCAGTCTTCAACTGCCAAGCAGCAATATCTACCGAGGCATCAATAACTCCACAAACCCGTATCTATACAGCATTTTACAACTGCTACCCTTCGACGAACTTAATGGCAACCCACGACGTCTTCCAAGAAGCACCGGTGCTCTCTTGTTCAAAAATGGCGGCGTTTCTGGCGTGCCCAATCCAACATTACACGCGCACACGACCTGGTGGCGCCTGCTAAGAGAGCGCATAATACCCACTCGCATCGTGGTCCAATACCTTTATGCCGGATCGTTCTCCATATGATATGTCATAACGAAGATTATTATATATGGTTAGAAAAAGACATCCTATATTGTTCAGACACAAAAGTAGGGCTACAAGGGAGAACCAGAGGATTGAAACTACAGATCGTAATAAGTGTGCCCCAGACCATCTCTATTAGTACACAGGAGAAGCTTTCTGAGCTTGCTGTATAAATTGCCACACACTAACGACAGGAAGGTAAATAAAGCGAAATAGAGTGATATATCCCGAACAATGATATTTTCCATTTTTTTAAACATTGAAATGTACACCAGAAGAAGAAGAACTATATGGAGAAAGGGGAAGCAAAAAAGAGGACACGAGGTAAGAGAAGGGTAAAGGGAGACTATATTGCATCGATGTGGGAACAGAAAATGAAGACGTAGAAAAAAAAAGAAATGTATGTTACATGAGAGAGAGAGAGAGAGTTGTTGCTGTTTTTTGTTCAGAGGGCAATGGGTTCTTGTGTGTTTATATGGTAGTAGGACATATTGCCTCCCTGTCATTGTGTTGTGTGTTTGCGTGAAAGGAAGATGTGTTGCTGTTGTTGCTGTGTATATAAAAATGCAATTATAAAATAAGAAGGGGGGAAAATATGCTTTTTTTTTAAAAAGAAGTTGGTTGCTGTTGTTGCTTATTTACCGAGATACGCTTTCAAAGAGGCGTTCAATATCAGTGGCGCATCGGACAAACTTGTATTCCCAGAACTTGTACGATGGGTTCTTCATCAATTCGATAAACGTGATCAGTAGACCCCATGGGTGTGGACGGTTGACGATCAATCGCTCCAGCAGCACACGTGTGATTTGTTCCTTGATAAACTCGTCGTTGGACTCTTTGAATAGCGAGAGCAAGACACAGCTGAAATAGTGCGTGTGGCTATTGGGATAGCGTAATTGGTTGGCAATCGCGCTCAAGTAAAGGTAGCGACCTAAAGAAAAGAAGGTGGGATGAATAAGTTTAACGAAAACACCTCCTCTCTCTTTTCGTATACACCGCTTTCTTTGTTTGCTTCTTACCTTCAGGGTCCAGTTGAACAAGAACTTGCTCAAGGGCCTTCCAGTGTACGCTTTGATGCACTTCGGTCTGCTTTCCAATACCGTCCAATCCGACGTAAAACACAAATGCATTGATCTTGGAGACATCATATTCACCGTCCGTTCTCAGTTGGTCGCACACTGTCGCCAAAAAGTTGCTAGGTGACTGCGTCTTCAGATACTCGTCAATCTGCTCCTTGAAATTGCCTGGTTCAAGTGCTGCTGTGTAGTCTGACAAGATCTGTGGCTCCACCCGGATCTCGGGAAGCAAGTCCACCTTCAACTGTGGAGTGAATGGATCGGGCAGACGCATGTTGCGAGGGAACGCGCTCAAGACCAAGTTGCGTAGTTGCACACACGATGCCGGAATGACGTCGCAGAAGCTTTGATGGTAGTCGCACAAAAACTCGGGGAAATCATGCAGTAGGACCAAAAGCATGCGTAGAGTACCTTTATAGAGCAGTCGAGTTGTGTCTCGAAGCTCGGATGATAGATATGGGCTCATGAATTGAAGGCCAGAAGACAAAAGGCGATGGAATAACGGCCAGCCCTATAGAGAAATGAAAAACCACACATTTAATGAGTTGCTTTTTTTGTGTGCGTACAAACTAAACACTTACCGCTTGGTTTTCGGTCAACAATAACTTGGGCATGAACATGCGATGTGAGATGAGCTGGAACCAGGCAAATGTAAAACCGGGGAAATGTCTAGGTTGAACAACATATAGGATATTGCCGATAGCCGAGAGTGCAGTGAAGCACAGAGCATCCGAGCCTCGGTGATACTCGTTCAATAAGCTAACAAACAGGCGCATAAATGGTCGCTGATCAAACTGCTGCTGCCGTGCTTCGTGATAACGCGCCAGCACAACAATGATGACCGACAAAAACTGGGTCAGATCGTGGTTTCGTTCTCCACTGTTCTCGACGAGCAACTGAGAATAGCCCATAAGAAGCTTGGCCAAAGCATCCATCGGAATGTACACGGACAGCTTGTTGGCATCCTTGTCCATCTGGCGCATGGCGTGCTCGACCGACGTTTCAATGGCAATACGGAAAAACAGCGACACGGCTTCGCTGTTACTGCCATTCTTGAAGATGCCTTGTTCAAAGAGCTGCACGATGAATGTGCGTCGCGACTGCTCGGTTGCTGCTGCAAGTTGGCAGTGCTTGACCCAATCTACAAACTGCACCCGGAACTGCTCACAGATAGATGCTTCGTACTCGCTTCGTTCGATGGCTGTCAGCTGCCGTATTTCGCTCATCAATAACTTGACGCTGTCGGGTGCAGGACTACGCAGACGGCTTATTGCCTCAAGGGATGTGATCATATCTTGTCTTGTAGCCAACGGAGGGTCTGCAAACAGCGTCGCATGGATCAAACGTGCCGTATAATCGACCGCACCAGTATGACCTTGTTCAACAAGTCGAGACAGTTCGCGATCATAGTCAGGCAAATGAATCATTCCACCTTTGATCAGAGCAAGCGTCACTGGCAGCACAAACTTGCGTTCATCGTCTGCACGTCCAATCCATGCCTTGACCTGCTGAGCAACCTCGGGCGAAATTTCACACAGACGGTCCAAGAGCACGACATGTGTTTCAATAGCCAGCTGTGTTTCACTGCGGTACAGAAGCTGCATGAGCCGCTGGGCAAGTTCACGGACAATTTCAGTCTTGTCGTAGCTGGACATCACCAACAACAGGATTTCACGGATGATCAAGCGGATGTCGTGTTGGGCAGGAAGCGAGTCAAAGCTTGGAAGGTGGTATTGATTGGCAAGGATGCTAAGATCAGCAACGAGTTGTGCAGTGGTGTCGATAATCTGTGCAGTGTTGCCAGGCCCCTGGGATCCTTGCATCGATACAGCATCGTAGCGTCCAGGGTGGCTCATACCGCCCGGTGTCATTGGGCCCGGGCTGCCGTACTGGTGGTGCTCAACGCCGCCGAGCTGATTCTCTGCAAGACCTTCGTTTGCGGCTGCGTTGTTCATCATCGACTTGAGTCGAGGCAGTCTTGCAAACTCTTCGTAGACCACAAGGTATCCTGGCTGGACGCCACCGGGCGTGATTCGGAGGGGAGGAGGCAGTCTGGCAACATAGCGTGCCATCGATGCGTATTCAGGGTCAATGTACGTCTGATCAGGTCGCTGTTCACGGTGATTTCGGCGTGTGGCATACGATTCCATGAGCGCACGATCTACCTGGGACTTGGCTTTCTGGATGGTCACTCTTTCGACTACGACACATGCAAGCTCCATGTTGTCCGCTGCAGTGAGGAAGGCGGCTTGCTCTGCAAGAGACTGTACATGGATATGAGGGTTTATCATGTAAGTGAAACATAGATTACCATAACAGCATTCTTCCTTTTAAACATACCTCAGCAATACCATGGTGGACGAATACAGTATGCAGACCAGAGACCAAAGTGGGCTTCAAAGATTCTTTGCATGTCACGATTGCAAAACCACTTGCCAATCCAGACACCATCATATGGGCAGCCTCGCGCATCTTTTCTCCGTCTGAATCTAACGCAAAGTCCTTGGCGATGATATCACGAGTCGAAAAGGCCGCAATACTGACGGATCTTTCGACGATAGCATGAACAACCTACATATTCAATTGTAAACGTTTAGCAAAACAGAAATAACCCAGTAATCTCTATTTCATCATACCTCTCGAACGCTCTGCAAAATGGATTGAACGACCACACGTCTCAAGTCTGGTTCGGTACTGTACATGTTGATTTGTGAATTAAAGGTAATATAGGGTGCGATTTCGGCAAGCATGGTAGATAATTCTGGCTCAGCGTGCGATGATAGTGCAGCCTCTGCATCCGAGCCAGCGGTATGCACCGAGGAAGCAACCGTGGGCTTTCCAGGTGTTGTAGTTGCTAGGTGGTGTTCACCCAGTCTGCCAGCAGCTGAGATAGCTTTCTTTTTTGGACGTTCAGCGTTAAGTAAAGATGTAGGCTCGATTTCTAATGGTAAAAGTTTAGTTGAATACGACCCTTATTTTGCATTATCGTTGTGCAACAGAGAAAGACTTTACCTTCCAGCCCAACATCAAGACTTTTGCATAATACTTCAATCTCAAACTTCAAATTCAACCGAAGGTCGGCTGAATGATATAGCTCGACCAATAGTTTCATTACTGCCATCAGCCATGGATTAGGCGGTCTAAATACGCGACTTTTGGCGCCTTGTTCAAGAACTTTGCACACGAATGGGATTATCACGATCAAACGCTTGCTGTCATAGCCCTCGAGCAATAGATCCTAAATGTTTAATACACAAATTAGTTTTCCCTTCCTTTTCCACCGTCAACAATAGAAAAGGAAATGTAGCCGATTACTTACCTTGAAAGACACATTCTTTTGCTTGAGTGGTCGATTTTTTGCAAGCGTCAGTCCGCCCAGCCATGCTCCCAGGTTTTTCAACAGACTACGTTCGCTGGATGAGGACGTTGTCTTGGCCGAATTGAGTAAGATTTTGATATTGGCAAAGGTCTCTCGAAGGACATGCTTGTACAAGAGAGGGCTTTCCAAAGCGTCCAACAGGAGGAGATAAAGCTCGTGGTAGTTGGGCTCGATGCTGGCGCGCTTGACGACAAGATAATCACTGAACCATTGATATGATGATGCCTCTAATTGCTGCTTTAAATCCTCCAGTTTGGAATCAAAGTTGTCACGAGCAATATTGTTGATGATGAACAGAATCTTGTCCTGAATCTTTTCGTCTGGGGTGATGTATTCGGTATTGCCTTCATCATATGGCACTCCAGGAACGTACAACGCAGTGAACACCGGTTCAGAGACAGATCGTTCATCACCGCCGTGGCCGGCGCCAGTGACGGATAGTACTTTAGCCCCTGCTGCTACTCTTGCTGCGTTGTTATCCGCCACTGTTGGTTGAGATGCAGGACCTGCTGCTGCTGCTCGTGGTGTACTGCTACTACCAGCAGGATCCTGTTGTTGCTGCAATGCTCGTCGTACAAACTGAACAAGATCCGGACTGACTTGCTCCAGATAGGGGATCTGCAGCAGTTGGCGACAGTAATCAGGCCATTCAGGAATCTGGCCCTTGAAGCGCAACAAGGCCTGAATACCGAAATTGGACATTTTCGAGCCAGGCTCGTGGTTCTGTAAAGCATCAACAACGAGGCGCAGAGCAATCGGTAACGCCGCTGGTGGCATCAATCGGTTTTGGATCATGGCGCCAAACAAGTTTGCGGTGATGGACAGTTCTTTATCAGGGTATTTGGTGAAAAAGTGATACTCGTCGAGAATATTGTGAATGATGCATTTGTAAACGTCGTTTTCGTACTTGACTGGCGAAGAACTAAAGCGCATGAGCAAGTCGATCATTTGGTCCATCGTCAATGTGCCACTGTATAATCGTACGTAATATCCGTTCGCTTCGGCTTCAATCTCCTGAGATACGGCATTCGCATCTTCGGTATCGGCTCCTGCTCCAGTAGCACCTGTAGTGGCAGCAGCAGCAGCAGCACTGCCACCACTCGCACTGCCAACGTCAGCTTGAATTCCTGCACTGGCCAGATCGGGGTATACTCTGATGCTTTTGGTTTGCAGTTCCTTCAAGAGACTCTGCTCCTCGGGACTCATCGGGCTAAAAGGATCCAGTGAAATAAAAAAAAGATGAGTTGAAAAAGAGGAGTTAAATTTATAGCGCGAAAAAGATGCTGATAGAAAGGAAAATCATTTGATCAATGTGTTGGGCAACTTACCATTCAGATATAGTTTTCAAAAACGTAGCAACGGTGTCCAATGACAACGGGATAGTTGTCAATGGTGCGTTAGGATCCGTCCGCTTTTGCTCGGCAGTGACTTTTTGCTCAACGAACTCCAACGATGCCTGCACAAGCCCCTCTTTGCCCGAATGTAAAGTCTCATAGAGCCATTTTGCCAAATTTAAATGCTGTCGTCGTGATGCCAAGGCTGCCATATCCATCGACATGAAAAATGGCAGATCAACCATGATGTCAGGGAAGATCTAAATAGTTTTTTTTTTTCAAATTTGGTTATTTTTTACAGTATGAAGGAGCATGTTCACTTCACACGAGCATTTTATACAACACTAAACAAATAATGACATACCTGCAATTCCATCACAATATCCATGACACGTGTCAGCGTTTTTGGATCCTTGTTGTACATTTCAATGAATCCTTGCTTCAGGAGCTCCGGGTTGGCCTGTTGAGCTTTGGCCAAAACTAATGTGCTGCTTGGGTTGCCCGCAAGGTAGTGTAAAAGGAGCTGCTTCAATAGCGGACGATGGAAAGAAAGCTTGATTGGCTATTTGTATAATATATCTGTCAGTATCAGTATCCTGAAACTGGGATTTGAAAAAGTTATGCTTGGCTTACAATGAACAACATACCTGAATTTGCACCATACCCAGGAACACCAATTCAGCGCTTTGATGAAGTAGCATGTCCAAAAACAGCTTGACGTCGTCCGTTGGGTTACTTTCGCCCATATTCAATACACATTCGATGAGGTCTAAAGAGTTCAATTGGCTTTGAACCAGCTGCAATGCCATGGACCGGGTTTCTCTCGAGCATGACTTGAAGTCCTCCATCTCCATGACTTTTCTTTTTGAACAAGCCAACACATCAACAAGCTTTGCCGGTGCACTGATTATTCGATATAGCGCGCTCACTTGACCCTTGACGTTTTGCCACTTGCCAAAGAATTTATTTACCGGGAACGGATGTTGGTTCTGTATTATTTATCATCATCATCATCAGTACATATTACATCTATTAAACCACCCATTCCCTTTTCCCAAATAATAACTATGAGAACTACAATTTTCACAAAGTTCCGTTACCTCTGAGCTACATTGCCATGCATGCACAAGGACGTTAAGACCCTCAGGATCATACAGAAAGAAGTCGTCGCAATCAAGGTTTTCAACCACCTTGAACCAATCCAGGCCGGGAGCCTACATATCGAATGGGAAACGTACAAGCATGTAAGTCCCTTTTTTCCATTGTACACGTAATATCGGCATCATTACACACACACACACACACACACACACACAAGATCACTTGTTCTAAACTTTCGGTCGAATTAAAGAGAAAACATACCACTTCTGTCACTGCAGTTACAAAATTTTGTACATTCCAGCCATACAAGGGCGACTTGGTATCTCTTTCATTTTGAGACCGAGACATCACTGCGAGGGCTTGACCCACATCCCTTTCTGTAAGTTTCAATCCGCTGAGGATATTGAGAATTGATTCGATAGATTCGCAGCATTCGTTTCCGGAATTGAGTAGCTTAGCACCTAGCGCACTGCTTGCCGTCGTTGAAGTTGTTGGTGCAGACGCCAATTTTTCACTGTGTCCTCTAATAATGTTATATTGTAAGATACACATGATTAATCATTCTTCACTAACTTTTACTACATATCCCCAAATATATCTAATTGAGATATATATATATATAACACGTACTTGTCTCTCATTTTTCCAATAATCTTCTCCTGTAATTCTTTTGCGCTTGGCTGCTGCTGTTCTCCCGACTTTTCCACGAGAGCTGATACTAAGTGAGTAAGTTCTTTTTGTTGTTGTTGTTGTTCCGTGCCCAGTAGGTTATCCACGCCAGCGTCAATCAGTTTGAGAGTCCAAAGAGCAAGCGGTTGTAACGATCCTCCAAAGTTACCAGCTGCTATGATAGTTGTTGCACCGCTTATGCTTCGAGTTGCTATTATTTGTGCTAGAAGTAATAGAATGGTTCCCAAGATATCAATAATTCGTAAGTTTTATTTTCCTTTTTTCTCCCTTCTCATCGCACTGTCACCATGTCACTCGTAGTGGTAATGTCACTCTTTGCACTTTTTCGATACCATCCCCCATCCCAACCCCTTTACAAACAAACAACAACGTGTAACTAAATAATGAAAAAAAAAAGAAACTCTTACCTTGAGATGCAATGGCTTCTTGAACGTCGACCAGGAGAGATGTTGAATAAAGGAATTGATCAAAAGCGTCAAGTTCGAGATGTTCAAAGAGGAGAGCCAGATCCACACGCGTATTGGCGTCTTGTTGACAAAAGAGTTGAAGTGCGTGTGCAAAAGCAATAGCGTTCTCTTTGGTTGCAAATGTGCCTGTGTCTTTTAAGAGGCGAAGGAGTTGAGGTTGCGTGCGTTTTTTCGCTTGTAGAGGTTGTTGTTTAAATATTTCAATTAAAATGTGACGGTAAAGGTATTCTCGTATATCGTTTCCGTGGGTTTCGAGCAGCTATTAAAAATATATATAATAACGATAGAACGCAGATGATGACAAAAAAATATTTACTTAATTTACAAAGATAAAATGAAAACAGAAAAAGAGAAAGAGAGAAAGAGAGAAAGACATGCAAGGAGGAAGAAGAAGAAGAAGAAAAGAAAAATAAAATAAAATATACAAAATAGTTTACCGAGCGAATCTCTGATGCGTTCCTTGCATAGTTCTCGTTGCTTAGATTGGATAATAATAGGACGACCTGTGCCTTGACAATGCGTACAAGACTCGATCGTTGTGATCGCGTAGATAATGAATTATAAGAGGGAGGGCTCGTGTTACTAAGTTCTGATCCACTACTCATGCTTCCAAAGAGAGGGATCAATCATGGACCATGGTACTTTTTTCGCGTAGAAGTTTTTTTTTGGTGGGTAAGAAAAAAAAAGAAGAGGGTACAGCGGGATTTCATTTCGAACAAAATGCTTACGTACTTGTTGCTGCCGCGTGAGCTTCTCGTATCATGATGCATATGAAGCCTACGATGCAGCATAATTCAGATGTATACTATTATTCAGTTAAAGATAGCCTATTTGGATATGCTCTTATCATACGATGGTACATAATTTTTGCAACGTATTAAGCATTCAACATAGAGTGGACTCCATGAAATCAAGGATACTGAAGTGGAGGTTGACACACAAAATTTGGGTTTCTTAATGTTTTTTCTCTCTTTTGTCTTTATTACAAAATACTTTTATCTTTAAAACATCCTTACATTCACTTTTGTATCAAATAAGCGTCTGCTCTCTCATTTTTGTCTGTACAATTAATCAACTCGTTAATATGATGACTGTTACATACATAGAACATCCAATATTGATCATTCACACTCTATCTTCTGAAAACCAGATATAATCTGTAAATGGGCTGGCTGTCAATGTGCCGCACATTTAAACAATAAGAGAGCCTCTATTCTTTTCGTTTTGTTGATCCACGGGTTATCCATTGTTATACCTCTAACAAAAACAATTTAGATACTGCAGAGGAGAAGTGTATCATCGGTTGCTTAGCTCACAAAGCATCAGTCGACTAGCAGGCTTCAGGTGATTCCATGGGAGGCCCGAACAAGATACTGCATGCGCTGTCGAGCCCAGTACGTACATACTAGTACAGACCGTTGTCAAGCAGAATAAAACCATCGGGAGGCAAGTGACCAAAGATCGTGCTGCGATTATTACCAACTTATCTTTGTTGAGAGAACCGTTGTTGTGAACAATGCTGCAAGGCCGATGGCTGCCCAGGATGTGCTTCCTTGGTGAATTGCTCTATATGCCCCAAGAACCTCGCAGAAACAGGCAATTGAGTTCTTGGAGCTCGTTGACGTTCGGTACACAACATGTAATTGTTTCGCCTTCTCTCATTATACGTTCTCAGCCTATGTTTGTACATATGGTAAATGTAAAGGGTAGTCTATCCAAACTGATAGAATCATCAAAGTTACATATAAACTTGACTTGTAAAAATCTATACCGTAGTTCTCGCACTCAAGAAATGGTGATTGTTGGTTGATTGTGCGGCACTACATAAAGCTATGTTCGATGACACGCTGAAAAGCAGTATGACCATCGCGCCTGACCACCTTCAGCAGCTTTTCCGACTTCTGTCCGCAAGTCGTGTCACATCGATCGACTTTCGACGACTGCTCGCTATGTGGAGCCATTATGGCCAAGCACCTGATCCACCGACTATTCCAACATTGACAAGCATTCGTATCAGACACCCGGACATTGGCGCAAAAGACGGCTCGGCTAGAAGATATTTAAAATGTTAACAGATGTATTCGTTGACCGCTGTCTCAACCTCAACACGCTTATCGTTACTCCTTGGCAAACCACCGAGGAAAAGATTCTGCGATTAGGGCAATCTGTGCTCCCACGATCCCCAACAGTACTGTTGTAAAAAACTATACATATCCAAGCAACCATCCCTCTACCGCATTACTGCATTATCTTTGAAAGTTTTGTAGTTTTCTTTTGCTTTTGTATATTAAGATACAGTAATGTTTGTATAAAGCTCCAGTCAGTGTGACAGCAATTTAGTAGATATCATACTAGTATTCGCGCTGTTGTGCTTAACGTTTGGGAGTTCAGTACTATGGTATAAAGCTCACTATAGTCCGACATCTGACGCATGGCGCACTTTTTTGTTATTTATACTTGTTCTGTGATGTTTACAGCACTACTACGGGAACACTACATAGTACATATGTACCATGTGGAATTGTGATGAGAGCGAACCCTGGCATACGCACTATGTATGACTTATCATTCCTGCTGGTCGCAACACCGAGAATATTAGTTTTGCAATGCCCTATGATATTGATTATCTTCTGTGATCGTTGTTCGTTCAATCAATAGCGGTTGTGCTCAAGAGTAACGTAATATCAGAGTTAGGTATCCATATGGGTTTCCGTAACCTTATTTTGGCGAAAGAAGAGTTATCAGAATTTGTTATAGCAATATCGAAGGCATGCTGTCGACACTTTGCAGAGCTTGTAAAGTTGCTCTTATAAAAAATCACATAAACTACACCGCAACTACATTGGTAGAAAAGTATCGACAGCTATACATGTACGTATACGCGTCGACATTTTACAGTGTTACTTGGTGACTACTTTGTACCTTATAGGTCGATTGCACAACTTGCTAGCTTCGCGAGTGCGTCATCATCATCATCATCAGGTCTGCCGCGGACGCCTAACCGCTCATCGACTTGATGACTGTAGGAGAGCTTAATAAACTGCCTAACAGCCACAAAGGGTCCCAAAGACAAAACGAAAATTGGCTCAAGAAGAACAAAGTAAGAGGATGGACGCTTCTGCGGTAACTGGCATGGAAAAACCGTTACAAACGGTTGGTGAAAGTATACGATTTTCCTCTGTATATTAGATCACGACTGTACTAAACGTACAACGCATTTCATTGTTTTGAAAATTTGACGGAGTGTTACTTTGGTTGGTCGAACTCGACACCTTTTAATTAATAGCATCCCCTATCGATGACTTGTGAATGTAAAAGCGTTCTTTTCCTTCTTTATACCTCAGCTGAACGTAGCACTTGGAATGTAAGTTTTCACAATTAGGCTTGTGGTATTGAACGCTGAATACGTATATTACATAGAAAACCGTCGACTATACGGCAATTAATCTGTATTATAAACTGGAGTCACAAAAATAAAGAATATATACAGGGGAATGATAGCCAACGAGAGCAAGAAGCATGGACTATCATGCTATGTTGTTTGATAATTTGTAATCTGCCTCTATTTCAGATTAAAATGCTTTTTTCTTTTGTGGAGAATGGAGGTGCTCTAACTAAGTGATGTACATCGTAAAGTAGAGCGCCTATATCATACATGGTTCATAAGCACTTACGTGACTATTTCAATAAGCTCAAGGTTTTTGGAGAGCAAACCGATTTCTGTAGAGAGCGCAGTGGATTGCGGATCAGTGTTGTCTGGGAGGGTATGTATTGCTATAAGGTGCACCAGGTGGCTGATCTCAGTGTGGAGCTTATGGAGAGTGTACATCATAATGTGTGCATTTGACAAGAACCAAACTCCTATCAATAGTTGTTGTTGTTGTTGTCAGGACCCATTACGCAAAAACGGTAAAGTATGCGACTTGTTTAAAATATGAACTAGTCATATCTTTATCAGGTCTTTCCTGTCAAGATTAAGCTTAAGCTGGTGTAAATAGGGATTTTATGGTCGTCTAATAACAAATTCTGTCTATTCACGATGCGACTTGGGCTTGTTGTTCCTGTAATTTTCTCTAGCTTTTGCGACGTGCACCCATTACGAAATTTGCCGCTGCATTTAAAAAATGGGGTTGCCATATGAAGTTGGGTGAAGCGTGCGATTTACCCAGTTCTTGCTCCTCCTAGCTCTTAGTAGCACTAGTGCAGCACTTTTTCTCTCTTCCCCCCCCCTCCCCTCAACCTTGTTGTACTAGAACCTTAGTAGGCTACCCACTTTTTATTTCGGCCTTTATTCCTTACTCCTCTTTACTTTATTCCACTTTTTTGTTGTTTCTTCCTCCCTTATACACATACACACATACGATGCAATAATGACGAACCCGTCGACTGATCCCGCATTTAACATATTTACGCTCCCGACAAACGTCGAATCGTTCATTAGCCCGTTCTGGGAAACCTTGCAGGAGAATAACCATTTTTTACTGCAACGGATAAAAACACGCAAGAGTTCAATTATGCGCAATGTGCTGGGCACTGTGCAGAATGTGTAAGCTTCTTCTTTTTTTTTCGTTGTCTAACAACAGGAATGGAGAGAGAGAGAGAGAGCTATTGCAATTGACAAATATATACGTCTTGTTGTTTTATAAAAAAGACTTGATACAAAGCAATCGCCATACCGTATCCTATATCGACGTGCAAACGGTACTTGTCTCCAAGTCGCAGTAGGAGAGACAGAGAAACAAACGGATCTAGCCTGGCGTTGGATCGAGGGTACATACATATCTCGTATTTCTATATAGTTGCATTTATATATGCAAATGGACTGTATAAAGTCTTTTGATATGGTCTGGACTCATATTTGTTTCTCTAAAACACAATATAGCCAATCTACTACCTCCGTTGACCGTGTTGGAAGATGGTGAGAAAGAAGAATTTGTTGCTACCAAGGTAAATTCCATTGTCACACGGAGAGGTATGTAGTATATATGCTTTGCGTTTCCGGGAGTATGTTATAAATATAGATTCACCGTGCGTTTCATTTTTGCTTAAATTATATCTTTCGCCATCCATGAATATAAATAGATGCTGGAACGGATGAAATCTCGACCGACGAAAAAGTACGCACAGCATCACGAAGCTTTCGTCAAACGTTCAATGTTCCTCCTATCGAGCGTCTTGTAAACTGTGAGTAAACGCACAGCCGAGGAGGCGAGGGAGACAGAAGGAATGATCTTTGCTAAGAATGCTTTACCGGCATAGATTATTCATGCGCTTATTATACCAACCGATTCACGAGCCAAGGCTGGCTTTATATCAGCGAGAATTACGTCGCATTCTATTCTTATCTACTGGGCTACGAGACAAAGCTGCTTGTAGAACTAAAGGCTATCCAAGATATCCGTAAGGAAAAGTCAAAACGAGGTGTATTTTCGGATGCGATCAAATTGGTGATGAAAGATAAGACCGAGGTAACAAGAATCTCATTTCAAGAAGCATATGGGAAAATACAGTTTTATTTTTTTTGCTGAGCCCGTTACTGGATGATTTATTAGCATTTTTTCTCCAATCTCTTCAAACGGGATCAGGTAAGCACTTGCTATCCGCACATACAATCCCCCCCTCCCCCTCAAAAAGAACTTGTCGAATCCTGTGATCATTTCCGCTTTCAGCTAGATCAGCTTGATAGAGCTGTACCGACGGATCAGAAAATATTTGTTTATTGACACACTGCTATTTCCCAGGTGTATGACACACTTGTGCAATTGACAGGCCTGGCAATGCAACGGGTGCTGAAGAGTACAGCACTAGAACAGGCGCCAGGTGGCGAAATTTCGATCGATATTCGAGACAGTGACATTGATGCGGCTAGCGACAAAGACCTGACAATGACAAAGGTGGGGGCTTTGCCCGCGTCCGAAATCCGCAAAATGATGCAGCCGCTGAAAATGGATTTGGAAGCACAAAAACGCGACGAACGATTCCGTGCACGGTTCCGGTTACCAGCGACCGAGCCACTCTTGATGAATGTCAGCGCCGCCCATTTCATTGAAACGGAAGAGGGTGACGAGAAACGAATTCACGGTCGGATGTGTCTCTCGGAAGCGTTCTTGACCTTCAGCTCAACCGACAGAGGTCAATACTACGAAGCAATCATACCCCTTTACACCATCCGTCGAGTAGAACGATTGAATGAAAAGATTCATCCTTTTGCGATAAAGCTTGTAAACTGGCACCAGGCTCATACGCAATTCCGTCTCAACGTGTAAGATCCTATTATTATCTGGAGATAGTGTCAAAGATGTCTGCAATTGGTGTGAAGTGTTAAGAAAGCGGGGTGGGGGGGGGGAGATGTTGATCTATGTGGATCATGCGGATTTCTTATATGTGAATTTTTAAAACCATCCTAGTTCGAAACAACAGTATGAAGAATTCTCAAATCGACTCACTGCCAATCTGCGCAAGCAAATCAAATCTATGAAGATGCTTAAACGATTCTTGACCACGTGTCCGTCAGAGCTTGTCGTTGCTGATAAGACAAATACAGAAATCGATCAATCACCTGGTGGACTTGGTCTCACCTTTGGGTTCCCTGGTGATGCAAAGAAACTCAAGGACAAAAGCAAAATGAAGTTATGGAAGAAATATTTCAATGGTAAAAAAAAAGGTGGCTTTACATGAGCCGATGTGTTATTTTTCTGGAACCAGAAACAAAAAAAAAAAAAAAAAAACGGGGAACTTTTAACGTGAATAGTAACTTGATTTGTATGACTTGAAAAAAAAGAGTACGGCCGAAATTTGACCATCGTCAAGACTGCACAGTTTGGTCGACTCGTCCGTGTTGGCTTACCGAACCGTTTACGCGGCGAAATATGGGAAACGTGCTCCGGCTCTATCCATCAGCGATTCATGAATCAGGGCTTATACACTAGAATTCTGGAGGAAAATAAGGATAAGACTTCGTTTAGTCTGGAGGAAATCGAAAAGGATTTGAATAGGTAAAGAAAGAAGGCATTTGAAACAGGTACAGTGTTTGTGGGTTACTAACTAGACATTCGCGTTGACTTGGGCCACTGTGTGCAGATCCTTACCAGAGTACTCTGCATACCAAACTCCTCAAGGCATTGATAGCTTACGTCGAGTTTTGAGTGCATATTCTTGGAAGGATCCCGAGCTTGGCTACTGTCAAGCCATGAATATTGTTACGTCGGCCATCTTAATGTAAGTCTTGTTCTATTGATGTAAGAGCGGCGGAAAGAATAATGGCAACGACGGTGTATACTAATCCGATACATGTATAGTTATATGAGTGAAGAGCAAGCTTTCTATACGCTGAGTGTACTATGTGACGATATGTTGCCCGGATACTATAGTACATCCATGTACGGCGCTTTGCTAGACCAGATTATTTTTGAGCACTTGCTAGAAAGCACCATGCCTGTATTATTCAACCACTTTAAAAAGACGGATATCCAGCTCTCAGTCGCTTGCTTGCCCTGGTTTTTAAGTCTTTATATCAATTCGATGCCTCTACTGTTTGCCTTCCGAGTCCTTGATTGTTTCTTTATGGATGGTCCCAAGATTTTGTTCCAAATTGGGTATGTAAAGATGTGTATATATATATATATACCACGAAGGAGTAATTTTTAAAGACAAACCTGTGCTAACGCCACTTTGTAAACAAAACAGGTTAGGTATGTTGTATACATTGGATAGCAGGTTATGTGTGGAAAATCATGTTATTGACGGACAGAAATAAAAAACAGCTATTCTCAAGATCAACGGTGACGATTTGATGCGCACGTCTGACGATGGTGCTTTTATGGATGTACTCAAAAAGTACTTTAACTCGCTGCATGAGCCGCTCTATCCGGATTCTGAGAACGTGAAAGCGCGAACGTTAACGGTAAGCGATAGTAGTATTAGTAGTAGTTTGGATTGGACAGTACTTGTGTGCGTGTGGGACCCCCTGCCGTTTCTAACTTGATTGTGTATATAAAGCGATTCAACGAGCTATTACTTGTCGCATATCGTGAATTCAGCATTATCAGCGACGAAAAAATCCGAGAACTTCGACAAACGCATCAACTCAAGGTTGTTGCTGGCATTGAGTCATTTGCCAAACGGTCGACGATTAGGAACATTGATGAAACAGCTGGTTTTTCTAAAGAGGAAATGGGTATCTTGTACGACAAATTCTACAATGTCCTATATTACCGCCAAAAGCAACAACAAAAGGGCGATCGAATGGATTATTCAGCGTTTGAAAAGTTCATTGGCACTTTGGCCGATTGGGCCAAGTTCCCCATGTCGGAACATCCAAGCGACCAGGATGAACGACAAAATAAGGTTGGTAAAACGTTTATGGTGCGACTCTATAAAAAGTTTGATCGAGGCGACCAAGGCAGCGTGAATCTCCAGGTAAAAGATTTTTGTATTACATTGCATTGAATCAACTCTCTCGGTTAAACCAATTAACCCTAACTAACGCACAAAAAAAAACAACAATGATCAGGATGCAATTATTGGTCTGGGTTCGATTCTCAAAGGAAACCACAACGATCAAATCTCGTTGTTCTTTGAGTTACACGACGTGGATAAGGACGATTATCTGAATCGAGACGAACTGTTGCAATTCTCAGAAACGCTACTATGGGTATTCCGGGATCAGCCTGACGACGATGAGGGACAGCATCTGCATGCCGTGTCGACGTTCCTACGAAACGCATTTGAGTATTCTGAAGTCAAAGAGGAAGGCTCGCAAGAAAAGTTTCTTTCACTCGCATCATTAAGGTATATTTGTTTTTCTTTTTAAAAAGAGAGATACTTTTTGATGATAACTGATTCAACAATTGCATTTTGTATCTAGAATGCTTGTCTTGGCGGATGAAGTACTCGAAACCTTTTTCGAGCATGAGTTCTCGAGCTCGTTCCGATTGGTGGAAAAGGCCGTTGAAAAGCAACGTAGTCTTGGCAGAGAAATCTTTGACAGTTTATTTGCCACAGGGGTCAGGTTTGCCAACAGTCGACCCAAGGTTCTGCCGCCATCATCACCCACCAGTGTTTCATCTCCCACAGGCAGCGCCAGCAATACCAGTGCGGCATCATTGTCTACATTGTCTCCACAGGTTACCATAAAGGATGCTAGTAGTGCTGCAACGGAACAGACGCCGACGTCCTCCCCAAGCCCCGCTTCCTCCCCCGCAGATGCGACCAGTAACAGCAGCACTGCTTCTACTGCTGCTGCTGCTACTGCTGCTGCTGCTGCTGCTGAGCATGAGCCACACAAGCCAGAAGAGGAAAAGACCAAGAAGCCGGATGAGGCTAAAAGGAACGATAAGAATGGCGATGGTGCTGATGTCACTGCAGCACACACTCAGAGCGACGATGAGGACGATGACGAGGACGATGACGATGAAGAAGGAGGGGATGTCTTGGAAGAAGTGGATAGGTTACTCAAGGAATATGGAGACGACGATGAAAATTAACCGCCCGCACTGTGAATTTTTCATTTCTATCTTCTTTCCCTCTTTCCTTTTTTAATTAACTGGGTTCATCCCAAAAGCCTCAACGCACCCACCTCCTTTCATTCACTCAAATCCCCACCCACCCCCCCTGCGTATATATTGCCTTAACTTACCCTCTACTGCTGTTGGCTCTCTATAAAGTGGCTGGTGCTTATAGCTTTGTGTGTGTGTGTGTATTCTCAAAACTAAAGACAAATTACACAGAAAAAACAAAACAAAACAAAACAGATAACAGCACGTTAGACTCGTTCAGGTCCTCTCCCCTTTTAGCCTGTCTTTCTATATTTTTCTTCTTTTTCTTCTTTCTTTTTTTGTCCCCTTCATTCTGCCTTTTTCCACTTTGTTAACAACCTAGTTTTCAAAACCACATGACCATTTCGCAGAGACCACCATCACCACCAACGCATTTCTTTCATACGGATAAAGCAGCAGCAGCACCTTACAATGACCCAACACCAACGAACTCAGCACAGCGAAACCAGAGCACTAGATGGTTAAGCGGGAACAACAATGGTCTATTCCGATTCACCAGTGCCTTAGGCCGTCGCTCTACCACTACTACTACTACTACTGCTACTGCTGCTGCTTCTGCTTCAGGTCCACCGCCACCCCCGCGTCATTCCTTACAATCCTCGCCACAACAGCAAAGAGGACGTTGGGAAAAAGTATATTTCAAAGAACAACCGAATTCTCGGGTCAGCAAAAGTCCTGCTGCTTCTCGCCAAGAAAGCGCAGTAATAAGTGAGACGACAACAGGACAAGGTATACAGCACATTTGTCAATTATCAAGTTATTAGAAAAAGGAACACTGTTTTTCTGTTTCTCTCTCTCTCTCTCTCTCTCTCTCTCTCTCTCTCTCTCTCTCTCTCTCACATTTTGTTGATTTCCTGTCCCTGCTACCAACGACACAAGGACAAAGACTAGATCTTGGACAAAGTAACATCGACAACATCAGTAACAATAGCAACCCCAACGCCACATCATCTATCACCGAGCCACAACCAGGAAGAGGAGCAGGAGAAATGTACAATACAACGTATTCTGCATACTTATCGGTTGTCGCCCGTGAGTTCCGACGACGGATAGTTCTGGTGGATAGAGTCAAGAACGGCATCGAGTATAAAAACGTCTTTGACGGACGAGAGGCTGTGGTAACAAACTCGATTATTTTTTGATGTCATCTGAGAAATAGAATAGCATTCTAAACTCAAGAACACCTGACAATAATGTTATATTCTGCTGCATCAGGATAAACTCACCAGCATAGTATCCGATCATAAACGACGGGATGTTGCGTTACGACTCGGACGGGCATTAGGAGCACAACGGTTTTTCCACGATGTCAATTACGAAAATCGATTGATCGATACGGATTCAGAGATATATCAATTCTATGACGATAACGAATACTACAGCTCTAGCAGCAGCGACGATACGAGTAGCGCGATTGCGTCTGCAGGTACCATGACAACTGCGAGCAGCAATATAAGTGACTTGTCGTCTGTGACGATGTTGCGTGATGCGGATGCTATTGCTGCTGCTGTCGCTGCCAATACGACCCCTACCACAGAATTCGACGAAGAAGAAGTAGACAATGATGTCGATGAGGACTCGGAAGGACCAACGTGGGATGCATTGCCTAATGGTGTGTTCACCGACTTGACACATTGCTATGTACCTACATGTGTTGGCCGAAAACCATGCTATAGTTTCTCATGTCCCAAACGTGAGGTAAAAACAACAACAACTGTATTATTGTAGTTTTCATGAGAATGCTATTCAAGGGAACGGGAAAACTGAACAAAAGGCCTGGGGATTATACAGAAATTACGACGACGGCAACGGCCCGAGAGCATTGATGCACGTTTAGCACGATCAACAACGCACGCTTATTTGCGACAAAAAAATCAACAATTATGGTCAACTGTTGTTCCAGTACATGTATCCGAATCCGTAACACCGAGCGAACGGAAGCGACAGGAAACCATTTTCGAATTAGCGTATACGGAAGACGATTTTGTAAAGGACCTTGAATACGTCAATGAGGTATGTTGTAACCCATTGCTGTAACATACGAGATGGCAAAAAAAAAAGAGATTGTAACTAAAAAGCTAATGGGATCTATTCTCATTTGTACTATGAAACAAGATGTGGATCCAACCGTTACGTAAAAAAGACATCATTCCTGTGGAACGGAGAGAGGCGTTCATCGACAAGGTGTTTTGCAATATCATGACGATCCATGAAGTCAATTTACGGTTTCTATCGGCACTACGTGTGCGACAAAAGGAAAACTTTATTGTTGCACACATTGGCGATGTTGTACTCGACTTTGTGGTCTTGTTGGAACCGTTTCTATTGTATGGATCGCGACAGCATGAGGCAAAATACATGGTGGACACCGAACGTGCCGTGAACCCCAAATTTGCTGCCTTTGCGGAGGTAATGTAACATGGATGAATGCGGGGGAAGAGGATTGGCTGCATAATTAAAGATTGTGTCACACACTCAAATTAAAACAATAGCAAACGGAGCGACACCCGTCTTCATACCGTCTAGAATTGGATGGTTACTTGAGCAAGCCCACGGCTCGGCTTGGTCGATACACTCTGCTTTTGGATGCTATTTTGAAACATACGACCGATGAGAGCCATCCGGATCGAGTGCATATCCCCAAGGCTACAGATATCATCAAGCGGTTTCTGACGCGTGTCAATGAGGAGAATGGCAAAGCCAAAAACCGGTTTGATTTAGAACGCATTGAGCAAAAACTGCTGTTTCGACACGACAAAATGGTACGGGATGCTTTTCTGCTTATTTACTTCGGCTATTTGTGCTGCGTATGTGTTTTTGGGCGTTCCACCACCACCACTTTTCTTTCGTAAATGAAAAAGTCGGGGGCAAAGTCTCTTCTTTTTTTTAAAAGCTTTGTATATGAATTCAGGATTTACGACTGTCGGATGAATGTCGCAAGTTTGTCAAACAAGTAAAACTGCGCAAGACTGCAAATCCAGATTCTCCCGAGTATCATTTGCTTTTGTTCGACCATTATCTCGTGATCACCAAAGTCAAATATATCAAGAGACATGAGCGTTTTGTGGTCAAGAGAAAGGTAACAAACCTCTTTAATGAAGATGCTTTTTTTTTTTTTGCTCACAGCATGTATGGTCATCCATTTAGCCCATTCCGTTGGAATTACTTGAAGTAACGTTACAAGGTAGCCCCAGCCCTCCGAAGCGAGCGAGCTCAATATTACCGCATGTTGGACCATTAGCTTACCATAACCCAGGCGCGGCAACCAGGCCATCTGTTGACTTGAATCGCAGTAACACGAGCGCTACGCTCAACGATCCACTAGCGCCAAGTCGGCTCGGGTATCCGATTACATTCCAACATTTAGGGCGTCGAGGGTCCGGGCCGATCACGTTGTTTGCCTCAGCGTTACCGATTTTGAAGCCATGGGTCGAACAAATAAAAAACCAGCAGGCTCTCAAGTCGCACCGCAGGCCTGTTTTTGAACTTGTACCCGCTGTTCAAGAACATCGGTTCCTGTATGATGCCAAGGTCAATCATATCGTCACGTTCAGTAAGTTACTTGTTGCCATGCATCGTTTTTTATAAGCTCATGTCAATGCCCCTCCCCACATACATATTTCAAATAACTGAATTGGAACAAAACAGATGCAGGAAAACAATATGTGCTGGCCACTGATGTAGGTGTGTTTGTTGGCCACACGGGCAAATCCAGCAGGCCACACAAAGTTCTTGCGATCGACAAGGCGGTACAGGTGCAAGTGTTGGAAGAGGCACAGCTCTTACTCGTGCTTGCAGATCGAACCTTGTGGGAATACAGCTTGGATGTTTTGAATGGTAAGCCCGAGCAACAACCTGCAGGCCGTCGTGTTCAGGCACATGTGCCTCACTTTCATGTAGGCACAAGCATGCATCGGCAACTCGTGTGTGTGCCACGCGTATCACCGCTCAATTCAACCATTACGCTCTTTGAACCGTCAAGACCACAGGAATTGTTAAAGAGCAAAAAGTTTTTGGGAAAATTGGTGCGTGTACCAGCGTCCGATCTCCATTTACGAAGGTACAAGGACTGTTACATCCCTTCAGAAGCGTGGGCTGTGGGACTATCCGCGAGCCAAATGCTGATCACGTGTCCACGCGGTATCGTGATGGTGGATTTACAGACGAGTAAGCCGCAACGTAAGTCTTTTATATTCTTTTTGAGAGACCAGTAGTGAACTGGTAGTAAGGTTAAAGCTGGAGTGTGTACACTGACAAGCTACGAATGGGCCATTATGTACACTAGAAATGTTGAATCCTGCCGACAGGTCTTTAAGCTTTGTGACTGAACGTGAGAAGGATGAATCGCGGATGAGCATACGGCCGCCAGTCAAACATATTGCAGTGTTCCGGACTCCGCGTGGTGACCATTTGGTCTGTTACGATGGTAAGCGATATAATGGGTGGCTGACAGCAGAAAGGAGATTTCGAAAAACTGACTCTATACAGAATACGCATTCTATATTGATGGCAAAGGGAATCGCACGTACCGGAATTTCCGGATAGAGTTTGAAGGTGCGCCGGAAGCATATGCATTCTACTATCCATATGTCATTGCCTTTGATCGCGACTTTATCGAAGTACGCCATGTCATCACTGTAAGTATCGTGAACTGGCTACACTACACGTTGAAAAGCGGTCGTCTGAAGCTTTATTTGATGATGATTGATAGGGAGAGCTAGAGCAAATCATTCGTGGCAGAGACATTCAATGCATCAACAACGGACACAAGACTGACAAAGCCTACATCTTTGGTGCCATGACCGATCGAAACGACGCCACGTTCCAGTACATCTTTCAACTGCAACCTGTTTTCGAAGACCCTTTACTTCCTACTACCTCTTTATTATAACATACAACAACCAGTCTTCTTCTTCTCCTTCCCTATCTTTCCCCTCTGCATCGAATACATCATCATCATCATCATCATCGCATCACTCATTCTTAGTTACTACTTTTTCTTCTCTTTACCATCGTATATCTACCATACCATTATTCGTTTTTTTCCTTTTCTGTCTTGTTCTATTGTATTACCTACCTTATTACTATACTTTTATTATTCACTCTTCTACTATATTATACGTATTAACAAATCCTTTATCTCCCTCCATCCATCCCCCAACCCTTACCACATCTTCCATCATCACCTCTTGACGGAACACGTTCCTTCTTCCCACTCCACATGTAATCATCTAGAGTTCAAAAAATGACCTTCGGCTTAAAGTTTATTCTTGCACACACACACACACACACACTCGCTCTCTCTTTTTTAAACAACACACGTTTTTTCCACTAATGTAATTTCTCACGTAATCGAGAGCGAATAAGATTTGAGGAAACAATTTGGAAAAGAGAATCCAACCATAGAATGACGCGATTTTTCCAATTGGAGCTCTTTTATCTTTTTCTTTCTTTTCCCCACTTTCCACCTTTGATACATACGCTTTTTGGTTAAATAGAAAAAACAATGGCAGCTACTACTACTATATAATACTATGACTACAACACTGGAACCATCGACGCCAGCCAACAACACCATGATCCCAGTATTGGATTTATCAAAGTTCCAACCCGATGATCCAAACAGCTCCGTTTCTACACAAGAGTTCCTTGACGAACTCTATACTGCCATGCATAAAGTTGGGTTCTTCTAAGTCCGAAACCACAGTGTGAAATCCGAGTTGTTGCAAGCAGGTTTTGAAGCAAGCAAGGCGTTCTTTGATCTATCCCTAGAAGAAAAACTCGAGATGGAAGAGATCCATTCGTCTCATTTTCGAGGATATACACGGTTATGTAAAGTATCCAATCATTTATTCCTCTTTATACATACATACTTATAAACCTCTGACAAGGGAACTATTATATATCCTACAATATAATAGATCACGAAATCACCGATTATAAACAAGACAATAGGTACATGATACATACGCATGTTGCTATGTTTATGGTGGAGCAGCAAGTTGTGGCACAGCATGACAAATTAACCGTATACATTTCTCACGGATATCATACATTCTACATACAGTCACTTCAGAAAGTAAAGTCGCTGATTTTGAGTTTAATGTCGTGCAAAAAAATTGTGCGTTCAATAATGATGTCGATTGATCCAAAAATAAAGTCGTGCTCACGTGGTATGAACTTCGTTTAATTTTAGTTGTCGCTTAGTAATTATCCAATTAAATTTCTTGGCATCACTTATTTCTAAGAAAAGGGGGGGGGGACGAATTTCTGTGTCCATTTTACTTTCTTCTTCCTATTTATAATTTATTTTACAGATATTGAAGATGAGTATGCAATTTTTTTATTTTATGAAGATGGACAAGGGCACGTTGTTGATGAGAATGGCGTTGAGCCGATGGATGTTGTTGTGGATGAGGAGCTATTCGCTATTGAAACAATAAGTTCTCGTACTCAGTTCCTAATGAATAAACCTTCGGAAAGGCCTAATCCTGTAATGCATCCAGTTATGGATAAGAGGAATAGTGAAGATATTGATATGGAACTATGCAACAAGCGACGCTATACGGTTTACTCTGATGAAGACAAGACTAGATTTTTTCATTTATTTTTTAGCAAATGCTTGAAAGCGTTATTACGAGAACCCTGAAAACATCTTTGAGAAGAAAAATAAGTCAGGTCGGCGTCGTATTCTTGGAAAAGAGCATAAACAGTTTCTTTTAAATTATATTGTTGAGAACCCTTCTGCCGTTGTCAATGAAGTGGTGGAAAGTTTGAAACAAAACTTTGAAGGTCTCAACGTTTCTCGTAGTACTGTTTACAACTTTATGACAACTCGGTGTAATCTGTCAATTAAGCAAGCACAGTTTCATCCTGTGGAAAGGAACAGTGAGGAAAAGATTCAGCAAAGATACGACTGGGTCCAAAGTGGCAGCAAACTGACCTGGATTTCACAACAAATTGTGTTTTTCTTGATGAATCAGCCTTTCACATTAATTTGAAACGGGGTATGGCTTGGTCAAAGAAAGGCACTCCTGCAATAGTTACAGTGCCTACAACGAAAGCAAACGCAACATCGATTTTAGGTGCAATATCTGCAAATGGCTTAATTAATGTTAGCTTGCGAGTTCCAAAGCGTATCAAAAAGAGAAAGCTTGGACGTGCGACTGATGGTTATAGCATAGGGACAGTGACAGGCCATTATCTAAGCTTTGTAAAGGCTACTCTCGACGAAATGGACAAGTATCCCGATATGAAGGGACACTACCTTGTCATGGATAATGCTCCTATTCACAACTCAGCAGACATTGGTAAGTATATCAATTCACGAGGATACAGATTCGTATGTCTTCCTCCATATTCTCCTGAACTGAATCCAATTGAGCAGTTCTGGTCAGTTGTCAAAAGTAAAGTTAAGTGAAATAAATTTTTGTAAAAAGAATTGCTAATGACTAGAATTGAAGCATGCGATAGCTTGTATTTGAGTGATTTCAAAGGCTTTGTTTCTCAATCTGTCAAATGCTTTGGTAAATGTTTAAACAAGGAGAGATTGTGAAGAGTTTTCTTCTTCTTTTTTTTTTGTGTAGGCTGTCTTTTTTTTGTGCAGGCTGTTTGTGCAGGCTGTCTTTTTTTTTGTGCAGGCTGTTTGAGTTTCAATCTATAACAATTAATTTAGCAATAAATTGCTAATTAATTTTAGTTATTCCTTTCACTGTCAAGCTAAGCTGCGTCCAAGTATTCCTTGCTTAGAGGAGGGAATGCTCACTACCGTTCCGCCACTATAAGTTTTGAATTAATCATTAAAGGATATTACATTTTAAACGATTTAAAAAAGGTTTATACAGAACCTAAACCTTTTAAAGAAAAAAAAAGTTAAAAAAAATCTTAAACGTTTAAAAAATAAATAAATTATAATCTAATTTTTTATTTTTTTATATATATCTTTGAACAATGATATACGTTTAATTAATAAAACCTTTTTTAAACAACAGTTAAGGATTAATCCCCTTTGTGCAGACTGTCTTTTTTTGTGCAGGCTGTTTGCGCAGGCTGTCTTTTTTTTTTATCAGGCTGTTTGTGCAGGCTGTTTGTGCAGACTGTCTTTTTTTGTGCAGGCTGTTTATGCAGACTGTCTTTTTTTTTGTGTACACTATCTTTTTTTCTTTTTGTCATCCTTCTTTTCAGCAACCTTTTCTTTTTATCGCCATGGTTACAATCAGCAGAGAACAGGCTATATGCATGTTTTACTGTGAGCCGTATAATGAATCAAACGTCGTCAAGTTATCAAAGTTGATTGATGACATGAACAATATCGAAATCTACTACTCGGACGATCCAACAGAGCCTATGTTAGTCTCACTCAAATCACTCTACGCTAGTCCCTTCGAATATCATCAATATCCTGCTTTGCTATTCTTAAGGTCTGTAAAAAGGACAAGGACAACAATCATGCCAATGGATGAGAGAAAACACAATTCATATATTTGTGTCGTATTTTTTTTTATTTAAACATACAAATTTTGGACACAATAATAAATCTTTCCTACTTTGATCTTTGATGTGGCTTCTTCCTGCATTCAAATTTTTTTAACATTTCTGGCTCATTCAATAGCTGATTTCGTTCATAGATATGAATGACGCTCTTGGTTAGCATGGTGTCGATCATGACTTTTTCAAGGTTTAGATGTTGTCTATTACAAAACGCAGTTAATGAGCTATTCTGATTTCACAGGGTTTCATAACTATCCGCTTAGAGGACGTATTGGTTTATTTCTATATTAATTTGCATTATCAGATTTGGTATCATCAGTTGGATTTTGAAAATCGGAATTAAATTCAATTATCAACAAAAATTGAATTTTTTTTATTAAAGTAGAAATATTTCAGTATATAATAAAGATGGTCTGTTTGAATAAAAATATTCTTTTTGATAAATTAAAATTAAAAAACAATTTAAAGACTAAGTTATGTGAAACATTAGAGTTAGAATTTGAATTAGATATAAAAAAAATTATTATAGAAAGAATAATAGAATTATTAACAATAAAATAAATGAATCATTTGAATCCGATTACTTTATATATTTAAATATGTCTAAAGATGTATGTACCCATACATACAAAAAAGGAAAAAGAGATGGGTTTTTTTGTCATAAAAAGATAACATCTAATGGAGATAAAAATACATATTCGTGCACTAAATATAATAAAAATCATATGCCCAAAAAAAGAATAAAAAAAGTACAAAAAGTGGAACTTCCTAATGTTATTGCTAATAAAGGTTATGATAAAAAAATAATACAAAAAAATAAAAAAGATATTAAAAAGGTGTTTAAAAAGAAAAGAACAAAGAGTATTTATTTATGTAATGGTAGATATATAAATTTAGGAAAAATAATAGAAAAGTTACTTGAATAAATAAAAATAAAAATATAGACATGTTCGATCTCTTTAAATATATAGGTAAGAGTATAGTCTTTTTTATTATTGTATATTTTTATCTTTCAAATACTGGTGTATAATATCTTTGGTATTAAATTCCGATTGTTTAACCCAAGTATTATCTTCATTACCATAACCCAACCATTTTACATAGAAACATATTTACCATTATTATCTATCATATAGTTTAAAATTTGTTCAACTTCATATACATCTTCTTTAATTTTATTTTTATTTCGTTTTCTTTTTTAGATGAATCTTGTAAAATATCATTATTTTCTATATCCATTTTTTAATCATCTACTTCAATATCTTCAATATTAAGGTCTATTATTTTAGCTTGTAATTCTATCATTTCATTATATTCTTTTTTTACTTTTTATTCATTATTAAAAACTAAATTAATTTTATTTAATTTTGAAGGAAAATCAAACCTATCACCATACCAAAGTTTATGATGTGGCTGAACTTCTATATTAAAATTTTCACAAAAATTATGTATATTTTTTATTAAACAAGCAATACGAAACTGTAAATTATAGTATTTTTTATCAGTCATTTGAAGTGCAGCTTTATTATTATTAAATCTA